TGTTTCGAATGTGATTTATGCTCGGATGAAACGGATTATGTTGTGTATGTGTGTGTGTGCTGTGCTAAATAACTCCCCAATCAATTAGGCATTTTTTCTTGTCTTCAGAGAAAATCATAATACAATACAAATGTTTTAACCATATTATCTACAATTTAACTACTTAATATGAATTAAAATGCATTAATTTGATAAGAAAAGAAGTTAAAATAAAATAGGAAAAATCTTGTGCAATAAATGTTTATATGTGTACGTATATTTATCGCTAGAATTCAAACTTTCCCAAAACGAATTTCATGCAAATCAACATTTTTTGCTCATAAATTATTAAGAAATCAGATTATGCTTATTCAACAATATTCTCTATGAATTCTTGAGAAATCAGTATAATGTGATTAATGGATTTTCCAAGTATTAATGTACACAAATAATTCTCTTTAACTTTTATATTTTATGGAGCTTCAAGTTTGATAGAATTTCTGAATGTCAGAAAGTATTTTAATATTAGATCTAGTTTCAAACATTTTATACTATCATGCCACCAAGTTCTTACCTGGGAATTTCAGGTATCTATCACTTCTAAAAATGAACAATAACTTAACTAGAAATCGATTTAGGGAATGTTGATATTGTAAACCTTCCTGATAATGACTGCCTTTCCATACCATTACATTTTAATCAATTAAATCTGGCTGTCTACCGGATTCCATGTTACAATTGACGGCTGCAAAAGCAGCTTAACAACCCGAATTACCTTCCATGGCGTACTAGAAAATATTTCTCCCTCACAGAGTGGAAAAAAAGGAAAAACACTTTGCCACTACCTTTGCTTCAGTTCACATTTTTCCAGGCTTCGACTGCCTTCCTCCTCCACTTGGTTTTTCTTCTACGTTGCTGCGTTGCAGTTCCTACGTCTGTCGTTCACTCAAATTCTACTGACTTTGACAAGCTGCCCCCTGCCCCGCCCTCTTTTTAAGGCTCTTTTCTACGCCCCTTCTCCCTTTCCTCGCTTTTTGTAGAACTATGAGTGTGTGTGTGTGTGTGTGTGTGTGCACTCAGTCAGAATTGTGCCTTGTAAATAGGATTCATCTCGCGACGACTCGCGACCAACTGCCGCTTGGTTCTGCCTCAGTCCTGGCACGAAATGTAAAATATAACGCGGCTTAGACAAGGAGAAACACTGGGAAAACTTCGAAAACTATTATATTATTAAAAATAAAATAAGTAGAAAAAGAAATATAAACAAGAAAGGAAGCTAACTTCGGCACGCCGAAGTTTGTATACCCTTGCAGATTGGTTTTCATATTTATATTATAAATTATAATGCCGAAAACAGACACTAAACAGAGTTTCATTAAATTTTACCTATACTTATTATGTTTACAGTTTAACAGTTACAGTTTTACATTCCCAGCTTTATATATTTTATACATTTACCGATCGCTTCTATGACAGCTATAAGATATAGTTGTCCGATTTTTATAAAATTTATACCAAATATCTATAATAATAATTAAAGCTCATATCTCGTAGATGAAAATACGTTAAAAAACAACGAAGTTATAATTTTTTCTATTACTTTCCCTATCGTTCCTATGGCAGCTATAAGATATAGTCGTCCGATTTTCATAAAATTTATACCAAAATTTTGAAATAATACCAGAAGCTCATGTGTCAAAGTAGATGAAAATACGTTGAAAAACAACGAAGTTATAATTTTTTTCGATTAATTTCCCGATCGTTCCTATGGCAGCTATAGGATATAGTGGTCAGATTTTCATAAAATTTTTACCAAAATTCTGGAATAATAAAAAAAGGCTTCATCCCAAAAATGGTGGAATAATATTGAAAAACAGCCAAGTTATAATTTTTTTTCCAAAAATTTATCGAACATTTGTATGGCAGCTATATGATATAGTCGTCCGATCCGGCCCATTCCGACATATATAGCAGTGAGAGTATATAGAAGACTATATGCCAAGTTTCATTCAGATAGCTTTAAAACTGAGGGACTAGTTTGCGTAGAAACGGACAGACGGACAGACGGACAGACGGACATGGCTAGATCGACTCGGCTGTTGATGCTGATCAAGAATATATATACTTTATAGGGTCGGAAACGTCTCCTTCACTGCGTTGCAAACTTCTGACTGAAATTATAATACCCTGCAAGGGTATAATAAGTAAATGCAGAGTCAAAGTTTCAAAGTGTAAGTCTATTTTAGAGGTTAAAGGTTTTTTCCTGTAAATATAAATTTTATATTGAATACTTTTCGCTCAGTGAACGATTCCTCCAAAGGAACGTTTTCAGACCGTGGATGTTGCTGTTGCCATTGCTGCCTCTGTTTTGCGCCCAGACACTCAAGCAAATGGCCGCCAGGCATTCGGCTACCAACAGGCGGTCCCACAGCCCCATTCCTATCCGCATCCTCATGCGGCACCCAGCTGCCATCTATCTATCTATCCAGCATCCATCCATGCATCCACACAAACCATTTTCGCCATGTCAGGCGGCAGCCAAAAGTGCGCTCATCTGTGGTTCGACGGGCGAAAAGTTTGGAGTATCTCTGTGTGTGTGTGTATTCGTGTCTGCTTGTCAATTTATCCTTTAGTTTCTCTTTCAATTTTTTTTTTTTTCTACAGCCACCCAATTTTCCCTCTTTTTTCCTGGCCACCACCCACTCGTCGTTGTCCTCCGCTTCTGTTAGTTGCGTTTGTGGTTGCCTTTGTGTGAAATTACCAAGGCGGCTCTGTCTCCGTCGCCGTCGTTGTCGTCTCGCTCACTCAGCTGCTAACTGTTTAATTAAAGACTGTGGAAGAAGGGAGTTGTCGTGTCAAAGATATCGCCGTCAATCGTTGGATACTTTTAGGCAAAGGCAGCCACTCTAATTATAAAGCTTTTGGGTGCTATAAATAATATATAAACTAATTTAATGCTGGTCTGCGACCGCTTCTTATTAATTCATTCGATAATTGCTCTTTGAAACTTTCAATTCAGGATGCTAGGAGCATTAAGAAGTTTTTTCAGGTTATCAGCAGGCTGGCGAACTTCAAAAAGCCTGGCAATAATTGATATACATACTTAAGGAAACGAGTTATTCCATATAAAAGAATATTAAGTTCATTCTAGTGCAGTAGAAGCTTACGCTTTCTAGATGATTATAATTGTTTGTATAATAAGATTTTGCCTTGCAATTAATGCTTTAGAATCCATCGCCAACATATTATCTAATTACGTAATTGAAATGGAAATGCGACGACAAAAGCGTCAAAGGCAAATCAAATTGAACATATCCTTATCCACAATCCCACAGCCTACCATTTATATGTATGCATATGTCCTCCACACATAAGCTGGTGGAGCTGTTGCTTTTGATTTTGACTGGCGTCCCATCTGCTCATCCCACCGAATCCTTTGCTGGCTGCAAACAAACATTGCCAAGGCAACCTGCGGCAGCGTACAAAAGGCAGCAGATTCACATTTCTCGTTGCCAGGAATATATCACGGCGAACACAATCTTTCCTCAACCTTCTCTTCCAACTCCTATCCATACTCCTCCTTCTTCTGGCCACCTTGTGACGAGGATTGAATGCCAGCGGGAGGCAGTCAAAGGAGAAGTAGGAGCAACTGCCGGCAAGAGGGCGCTTGCTGAATACTTTTGCATTTAGTTTTGCTGTCGATAATGATGCTGCGATGGCAAAAGACTCCGAAACACATCGCATCCCGCCTCCATGGCCTCCATCTCATCCATTTTTCGTTGCAATGAGAAACAAGGAGACGACGATGTCGATTTGATGCATGCTTATGTTCGCTTATCCCTTGCCTCTATTATACTCTTTAAAAGGAAACACGGGAAAATGCATTGCTTTTGCTATTGGTCTGGAAAAAAACGTCAATTCTTTACAATTACAATATTGCTGTGGTGTCATGATTTCAGATAACAATACTTTTTTAATGGTCAGTCTTGTAAAAATCACACATAAGGGTATTATCGAAATGTACTTGAACTTGTAAGACCACCATTTACGTATTATATTCCCTTTCGTTCTTTATTTTGTGCTCTCTTCACTTGCATCTGCTGCTGGCCCCCACATCCTTTTAGCCCTCTTTTTATGTAGCTTTTACTCCTTCTGGTGCCCACCGCCATTCTTCTCGCTCTTCAGCTGCGGCAATATATGCAAATTATTCCTCAGAATAGTTGCCATCACACCATCCCCTCCCTTAATGCTGGGCCTTAATTCAATTTACTTGGACAGAGTAACGAATTATTGAACCATATGTTGAAAGAGCTCTGGACCAAAGAATTAATTTAATAAATGCAAATGTGCTTATCTGATGGATTAACTCTTTTTTCTAAGCAAGCACACTACACACCTTTTGTGATAACCCAATTGAATTAACTGCTCCTCCAGATAATTGGAAATATTTTTGGGACCATGTGCAACGCCCCTGCTCCTCTGAAAGCCAAACAATAGCCGTGAAGAGAACTCCTCAAGATGAGCAAAAAGTGCAAAGAACTCGAATGAAACTGGTTCTGTTTCTGTTTCTGGCCCAAAACCAAATTGTATCTCCGCCTCACTCACTGTGTGTGTTAGCGGCTAAGTGGGGGCTCTCAGCTGGTGTTTGAAAATGTGCTAAGTTGCCTCTCGCTTTTGTATGCACAAAGGGAGCAAAAAGTGTAAGAAGGGGGGCAGGAAGAAGAGTGGCTGGGCAGGCCCCTTGGCAGAGTAAACAACTCTGTGAAATGGCGGACAATTATGGGAGATGCGTCGCTGCTGCTGCCTGCTTGTGTCTGTCTGCGAGATACTTGGATACTTGGGGCGACCCGAGGACAGTTGCCACTTTGGTCACGTACCAAAAAACGATTGCAGCTCCAGATATGAACGCAAAAACACACACTGCACACTTACACTCACACTTTCCGTCCATATTTATTTGGGTCAACTGTGCGCCCGATTTTTGGTAAGCAAATATTAATTTCACTACGTTTTGTTTCCAGGAATATTGTCTCCTCCGGGTCCGTTTCTGACGCCCAGTCCATCGCCATCGATCTCAGCTAGCCCTCGTCTGCAGCCATCGCCCTCGCTATCGCCGTTCCCACAGGATGTGGTGCTCGTAGCCGGTGGCAGTCAAGTAAACGCCAACAGCAATCCCCAAGAACACGTAAGTTGATCTCTTTGCGAAAAGTGTGAAAAAAAATACTCACAGAAATCTAATTCATGTTGAGAGCTTAAGATTTTGTGAAGTTGATTATGAAAGTAAAAAATGTAGTTAAAGGGAAGCAAATATTTTGTTTCTAAATAAGTTTTTAAACTCAGATTCAGGATACTACATATAACTTTAGTCAGAACCTTGCAACGCAATGAAAGAGTCATTTCCGACCCTATAAATCATATATATTATTGATCAGCATTAACAGGTTCAATATTACAGAACTGAAATTAATGCAGTTATGATCGATTTCAAACCATTAAAGCATTAAATATATTTATCCTTTTCAGGAGCGCAAGGCGGCGACGCCTGGCAGGAGACAGTCCATCCACCAGTTCACCAATGGCAGCCCCAACGCTGGAACCGTCGTTTTCCAGCCGAGCCCCTCCCAGTCACCGGCCGCTGCCACGACGGTCATCGGCGTGACCAGTGGTGGCCTCATTGCCACCGCCGCCGGAGCTGGAGCTGGAGCCGGGTTAACGGGATCACTCGGAGCCGGTAGCAGTTCGGGACTGGGAGTAGGTGTTGCCCTGCACAGCAATGCCATTGGAAACGAGCTGAATGCCACGCTTGTGGGATCCAACAACATCCAGCTCAATAAGGTAAGGGTCTTGGACAGCCTTTAATAAATATAAATAAAATTATAAATTTAAAAAATAAAATTTTGATTTTACGTTGCAGAAGGGCACAAAACGGGCCACACAGCAGCAGCAGCAGGTGCAGCAACAGTTGGGCCACCAGATCTTCAGTAGCAGCGCCGTTGCACCCACCTCGATCAGCAGCGCGACAGCGGTGGCAGCCGGCGGCGGAGGCTATGGACAGCTCAATGCCACCGCCATCAGCACGCCCACCTCGTTCGCTACGACCGGAAGTGTGGTCAGCAGCGGCTCCAAGGGCCCGGCGAAGGGTCAGAAGGCTCAGCAGCAACAGCAGCAGTTCCAGCACTATCAGAGCAGCAGTCCTCTGATAGCGGACAGCCCCATCCCAAGTCCCAGCGGCGCCATAACAGCGGCTGCGATTAAACCGCCAACACCGCAGCCACAGCCCGTGCAAATGCTGCCCCAGCAGTTTACCATCTCACAGCAGCCGCAGCAGCAACAGCAGGGGGCCCAGCAGGTCTTCCAGTTCATCCAGGGACCGCAGGGCCAGCTCATAGCCACCAGTCAGCCACAGCAGCAGCAACAGCACCATCCGATCCAGCAGCAGCAGCAACAGCACCCGCCACAGCCCCTCCAGCAGCAGCAGCAGCAGCAGGCACATCGGTTCGTAAGCAATGCTGGACTCACCACCGGCAAGAATGGCAAGGCCCCGCAACAAATCCTGCCCAAGCCGGAGCTCCAGCAGCAGCAGCAGAAGAAGGGCTCCCAAGCTGTCGGAGGAGGGGCACAGATCTCGCAGACGTCGCAGCAAACCACCAATCCCACCCAGCAACAGCAGATTCTGTTGCCAGCCACCACCGGCCAGCCACAGCAGTTGCTGCTCAATCAGATGCCCGTTTTGGTGCAGCAGAATCCACAGGGCGTGCAGCTCATCCTGCGCCCGCCTACGCCCCAGCTGACGGCGGCGCCTTCGCTAGTTATCCAGCAGAATGCCAGAGGACAGCCTCAACTGCAGACGCAGCCGGCGCAGCAGCAACTGCTGCGGATAGTGGGCACAAATGGAGCGACCATGCAGCTGGCTGCCGCGCCCACCTTCATTGTGTCGTCGCAGGCGAACCTCATTCAGCAAACTGCCTCGGGCCAGTTCCAGAGCGCCATCAAGACGGGCACGCAGCTAACGGGTCTCCATGCGGCACTGGCTCAGGCCCAGGCTCAGGCGCAGGCGCCACGATCTCAGCCGTTTGCCACGACGGCCACACTGAACACCCAGCTCCTTGGCCAGAGCGTTGCTGCCCAGCTGCAGAACCTACAGTTGGCGGCGGCGGCAGCCCAAATCCAGATGCCCAACGGTCTTACAACCATATCCCAACTGCCAGCCCATCTGCAGCAGAGTCTGGGCGGAGCCACCATCAACCTAAACCAGCTGAACGGAGCTCACATCCAGCAGATAGCCACCGCCTTTCAGACGCCTCAGGCACCAGGAGCGAACAGCTCAGGGGCTACCAGTACGGCGACGGAGCTCTTCACCCAATCCTCGCCGGCCCATGTCCCACTGGCCGTTACCCCCGAGCCGCTACGCCAGTCCACGCCGGTGCCCATGATGCAGCAGCACCAGCAGGCGGCGATGGCCACGATCCAGCTGCAGCAGCAGCAGCAACAACAGCAGCAGGCGCAGATCCAGCAGCTGCAGCATCAGCTGCAGCAAACCCAATCCCAGGTGCAGCAGGCCCAGCAATCAGTCCAGGCGGCAGAGCCCAAAAAGAAGCCCAAGCCGCGAAGGAAAAAGCAAACGGTAGCAGCAGCGGCGCCAGCTACAACACCCACTGTGGCTCCCATGGAGGTCAGTGGTGCTTGCACGCCGCAGAAGATAGCTATAGCTGCCGCGCCCGCTCAACCGCTGGTTACAATACGTTCCAAGTCACCATCGCCGCCACCGACGCACATCCAGCGGAGCAGCAACGGCAAGCTGGATCTCGGCGATGTGATGAAGTTCTGCGGCATCACGGGTGACGACGACGACGATGAGGATTACGGAATGGGCCTGGAAACCCATCCAGCAGAGCCAGAGCCCCCGGCGCAAGCCCAGGCAACCCCCAGCGGAACGGCAACGGGCAGTAGCAGCGGCGACATCATGATCTCCATACCGAACCAAAACGGCAGCGATGGCCTGCCCTTTACCCTGACCATTCCTGCCCCGCAGACTCAGCACCAGCCGACGACGGGAAGCGAATCAGCCACCGAAATACCAAATATCCTCATCAAGATTGATCCCAGCGCGGAGGCAGCGGTGCCGCCGTTCGGTCTCTCCACGCCGCGCTTGCCCACGGCTGAGGAGATACAGAAGCAGGCGCAGCAGCATCTTGCCCAGCAGGCAGCAGCAGCCGCTGCAGCGGCGGCCAAGGCAAGCTCTGCCACGCCCACCATCAACATTAGCCTGCCCAGCATGACGTTGCAGCAGCAACAGCAGCCGCAGGTGACGCCGACGCCCATTATTTCCCCTGCCCCGGCTGTCAACCAATCCAATCCGGTGGCCACCACCACGGCAGCTGTGAAGCCCAGAAGAAAGCCAGCGGTCCGAAGGAACACAAAAAAACCGGAGCTAACCAGCACCGTCAGCACCATGATCTCCTCCAGCAACAGCGGCACCACCACCACCATCACGAGCCTGAACAGCAGCATCAGCATTAGCATGCCCACCACAGTCAACACCATCACCCTAACAACGCCGTCGGCCACGCCCACGCCTACGCCTGTAACGACGAGCAGCAGTAGCAGCAGCAGCAATCCCACGCTAATGCTCAGCCACGGCACTCCAACGGCCGTGCCGAGTCAGATTGGCAACATTCAGATCTCGCAGGTTCCAAATCACCATCCCTCGTCCTCCTTGCCGGTGAGCAGTGCCGTGGAGAATAAGATTCAGATCATGCCGATCCTGCCGCCTGGAGCCACAGTAATGGGAGGAACACCAGCACCCGGAGGAGGAGGTCATGCATCCACTGCCAGCCAACAATCCACACAACTTGTATTCCAGCCTGCAACGCCATCAGTGGCCCCGACGATCAGCACGGATTCAAGCGCCGGACTGAAGCTATCCGGCGATGGCAGGCAAATGCAACTGGTAGCCATACCACAGGCCACCCCTCCACCGCCGCCACCGCCAGTGGCCACGCCCACATCCACGCCAACTCTGACTGCTGGTGGAGCAACGATACTGCCGCCGCAGCTAACCGGAATGCCCGCCAATGTCTCGGTTTCAGTGGGATCTCCCGCCTCGGCGGCCGCTCTGGTGCCGCAGCTCACCGGCAGTCTAACGCTGACCGTGTCGGAGCAGTGCGAGAGACTGATACTGCGCCACGATCCGAACAATCCGCAGGATCACCAGTCGCAGCTCATCTTGCAGGCTCTGCTCAAGGGCGCCCTGCCCAATGTGACCATCATCAATGAGCCGACGCGTGTGGATCCCAGCAAACAGCTGGCGCAGCAACAGGTTATCCAGATCCCTCAGCCACAGGCAATAGTTCAGCAGCAGCCACAGGCCCAGACGCTGCCCAAGGTTTCAGCAACTCCCAAGATTGAAGTCAAAGGTAAGGGATTAAGAAATGGAACTCTGGAATCGTTACAAAACTCACTCCCACTTTTTTATTCAGTGACCAACAATAGGAAATTATCGGGCCAAGGAGGAACTCATCCGGTCAGCAGCAGCATGCTGGGAATGACCAGTGGAACGACGTCGACGACGACGACGACCATGAAGCCACCGGCCGCGCTGCCTGCCAAGCCTAACGAGGTTGTCTCCTTTCCGCCACTGCCTCTCAACTCGCAGGTTCTCATTCAGCAGCAGCAACAGCAACCAATGCTGCAGCCCGTGACCCAACCGGCCACCATCTCCGTCCCAGTGCCCTCACCTGCTCCTGCGCCTGCTCCCCAGCTGGCCAACAATGGCCAGCAGCGTTACATTGCCCTGCCACCCATTGATCCCACCACGCAGCAGTTGTTCTGCCTGAACAGTGTGACTAATCAGATCACGGCCATGAGTGCGGGGCAGACGGCAGCCTCGATAGGACCCACGGAGCGTCTGCTCATCGCTCCGGCCGGGATCAATGCCCAGCAGCTGGCGCAGTGTCTGCAGCTGGGACAGCTCCACTTCAACGATGTGAATCCCTTGCCCGCTCAGCAGCAGCAGGCGGCGATCTCCGGTTCCAGCTCTCTGACCCTGTCGCTTCCATTGCGCCCACAGCCTCCCCAACAACAGATTGTGCATCCCATTCAGCCGATCACGAATGGATTGGCCATTACCACCACGGCCAGCAGTACGCTGACCACTACCACCAGCAGCACCACGTCCACAACCACCACGGTGACCAAGCAGGTGGCCAATGTCGCGCCAATTATAGATCAAAGCAAGGCCAAACTAGAGCCGGCCAAGGCGGCACCCAGTGGAAGCGGTGGAGGAGGAGCAGGAGTGGTTAAGAAGAAGCCGGTGAGAAAGCCCAAGGCAACGCTTACCTCGGATTTGGCCAACCTAAAGAACGCGGGCGTGGTGAAGCCAATGCCCAAGCTAGATCCGCTGTCGCAGAAGCCCAACAACAATCCCGTGCAGATTGTGCAGCCGAATGTGGCCAGCGGAAAGCAGATGATCAGCAGCCAGACGACGACCACCACCACGACCACGATGAGCTGCAGCATCCAGCCTTTTCAGACGACGAGTGGCACCAAGCTGGTGGGTGTGACAGTGCCCATGCAGCAGCAACAGCAGCAGCCCTCGGCAGCGATACTGCAGCAGCAGCAGCAGCAACAGCAGAGGACGAGCTTCAGTCTGACCACCACAACAGTGGCCACATCGGCGGCACCAATAGCGTCGTCGCCCACAGTGGCTTCCGTTGTCAGTCAACTGCAACTGCCGTCGCAACAACTGCAGCAGCAGCAGTTGCAGTTGCAGCCCCAGCAGCAGCAGCAGCTTCAGGGCCAACCCAAGCAGCAGCCACAGCCGAACACCGTATCCCGGGTGCAGACCATCCAGCTGACGCCGCAGATGCAACAGGTGTTCAAGCAGGTGCAAATGCAGATCCAGTTCCTCACAATCAAGCTTCAAAACAAGGCCACCTTCGTGCCCGTGGTGGCACAGGAAATCGATCCGGCCACAATTGCAGCCTACAACAAACCTATGACCGATGTGGAGATCAATCTGGCACTGCAGCGACTCTTTGCCGAGCAGCACAGGATCTTGGCCTCCGGCAAGGAGGTGCCCACACCCGAGGGCATGCTGCCCACAGCAAATGGTAGTGGTGGCTTCACCCTTATGTCGCAGCCAATACAGCAGCAGCAACAGCAAAAACAGCAGCAGCAACAGCAACTACAACAGCAGCAGCAACAACTGCAGCAGGCGGCACTTGCTGAGCCACTAAAGTCTACTGTCCTTCCTGCCAATGTGGTGCAGCCTAACAATCACTCGTCCTCCACGGCAGTAGCAGGAGGAAGCTCCACAGGAGCTGCTGCGAATATAACCCAAAGAATTCACATTTATCCCATGCAGCACCAACAGCAGCAGCAACAACAGGCGGCCACCAAGCAGAAGCTGGCACAGCAACCAAAAGCACAACAGCAGGAGCAGCAACTGCCACCGCAACTGCAAATAAAACCCAAAGAGACAGTAAGCCGAAATAAAGCCAACAATCAGCAGATGCAACAGAACCAGCAGCAGCAGCAGCAGTCTAATGGAAGCCTCAATATGTTGCCACAAAAAATAAATATGCTGCCCGTGGTCCAGCAACAACAGCAGCAGCAACAAGCTCAGCAACCAGTGCTGAGCAAGAATGGACCGCCACCACTGATTTTTGCCAGCTCCACAAATCTGCTAAACAGCAGCATCAGCAGTAGCAGTAGCAGCAATGCACCTCCGCTCACCATGCAAGGAAACACCATGCTGCCCATTCCGCCGCTGCAGCCCCAGCAACAACAGCAGCAGCAGCAGCAACAGCATCAACAACACCAGCAGGCGCCACCGATACAGCAGCAACTTACGCCGATCCTGCCACCTGTGCCACTACCAGGAGGAGGAGGAGGAGGATTGGGCAGCCTAGTCCCATCGCTGCCAACTATAATGCCAAGCCTGCCCCTCTACAGTCTGCCAAGCAAACTGGACGAAATGCCCACGCAGAAACCCAAAATTGCACGCCTCTCCTTGTGAGTAGTTGGTTGAACCAATGCCGGTTTCAAGATGAAGCGGCCAACACTGGATTGCGAATTGCCTAGCAATGCACGTACAGAGATACTAATTCTAGTTCCTTCGCAGATTCGTTCGCCAACTGGAGGTCGATCAGGAGAGTTGCCTGAAGCCGGACTATGTGAAGCCTTTCCGCACCAAAGATGAGGCGGTGAAGAGGCTGATAAGGTAAGGATTGAGACTCTTTTAAATCACACCTTATACTTATCCAACTCCTCATCTTAGGTACCATTGCATGCACGAAAACGATGTGGAGCTGCCCTCGGACGAGGATGAGGAGTTTGAGGCCACGGCATTGGGATTCCAGGACAAGTTCCGTCAGCTGAATGGCAAATTCCAGGAGATACTCATGCAAGAGTCAACTGTGAGTACTTTATACAATTTGAAAGAGAATTTTAATATCTATAACTCTTTTTATAAATCCCAGCTGCCCCATCGCACTTCGGAGCTATTGCAGATGCAGCATCTGATGATAGACGATCTAAAGGGTGAGATCAATGATATTCGTACAGCTGAGAAGGAGCTGGAACTGGAGCAGCAACAGCTGAAGAAGGAGGAGGAGGAGGAGGACCATAAGTGTAGCGAAAGTGTTGATCTTCAAACAGACTCAAAAATCAAGGATGAGTTGGTGAAGCTGGAACCAGAGGCAGAGGCCATTGTAGACAAGTTTGATTTGCTTAAAAACAGTGCTGATGTCAACAAGGCCTTCAACAAGCCAACGCAGCAGCAGCAATCGTGTGTCAAGCTGGAGGAAAGTAGCCAAGCAAATGAAGAGCAGCCGGTTAAGAGCGAAGGCGGCCAGGACAAGGATGCTGCCAGATACATCAAGAAGGACTATGACAACTTTGACATAGAGTCCGAGCTTACCACCAGCTTTATTATGAAGAAGGTGGAAAGTAAAACGGCGGCGGTCACCAAGAATAGTGAGAATAGCTTTGAAGAACCACAACAACAACATATCAAGGGCAATGGATTAGTAGATCCTGTGGATCAAGATGATGGCTGGTATTGTCTGCAAAAGGAGCTCAATCTGATGAATAATGAGTCCATGCAGCAGCAGCAGCTTACCGGCAACCAGCCACACCTCCCACAGCAGCCACAGCATCATCAACAGCACCCCCACTTTCTGGACAACTCCAGCTCCAACCACAACAACAACATGATGAGCAACAGCAGTAACCACATGGCAGATCTGTTTCCCAACGGCTGCATTGACAAGAGCAACCAGAGCAGCACCAGCAGCAGCAGCAGCAACAGCAGTAGCTGTGCGAAAAATAACAACTCCTCCTGCAGCGGACAGCGCGAGCAGCCACCAGTGGTGATGGATGCGGAGCAACAAAACCAAAACCAGCATCCGGCCATCAGTGAGTTCTTTAGCAGCGATTCCGATGTGCAAAAGTCGGTGGAGACGCGCCTGGAGGCCATGTTTGGCGAGTCGCCCGTGCATTTGGATGTGAAGAGCAGCAGCGATGCCCACGACATTGAGTCCAACCTGGACGAGATCTTTGGCGATTCAAAATCGCCGGTGGTTAATCACAAGAGCAAGTTGGGCATGTGGGTGCCTGATGCCACATTCATGCAGCAACAGGCGCCGCCACAGCAGCAATATGCGGCAACAACCCAGCCAGCACCACAGCAGCAGCAGCAACATCACATCGAACTCAACTGCAACAACAATCCCCGTTGGATGCAGAGCATGGAGGCGCACTACAGCGATTTCCTGTCCAGTGGCACGAGCAACGGCGGTGAGCTGGTGAATGGCGGCGGCGATTCGCGGAAGCGGAGCTGGGACAGCCAACTAATGGGGTCCGGCAGCGATATGGAGGATGACAACAGCAGCAGCAAGCGGCTGTGCACAGCCTCTTCGTCCTCCTCGTCCTCCCCCATGTCCTCGCAGCAGCAGCAGCACGTCCAAGTGCCGCAACACGGACTCTTGGATGCAACGGACATGCTGCCCACTGGCTTCCCGCAGATGTTGATGGAGCAACAGCAGCAGCAGCAGCAACATGGCTTTGCCTACACCAACATGATGGACACACAGCAGCAGCAGCAGCAGCACTTCCAACACAATATGCAGCAGCAGCAGCAGATGCAACACCAGCAACAGCAGCAGCAGATGCATGTGGGCCACATGGGCGGAGTTGCTGCAGTGGTGTCCGGTGGCGGGGAGTATGACGACGACATCAGTCGTCATGTGGCCAGCGCCATTGACAGCATCCTCAACCTGCAGAACAGCGGCGACTCGCTGCAGTTCTCCTTGGGCTCGATTCTGGGCGACAGCATGCTGGACGATCAGCGGCAGGCCGCCGCCAATCTGCCAAGCTGCCAGCAGGAGCAAGTGCATCATCAGCGACGCCGGCAGCTGGGCGAGGAAATGAACGATTGCCTGATCAGTGGTGGCGGTGGATCTGTCGGCGGTGTGGCGGACAACAACAGTAGCAGCATTTTGCTAGAACACCACCATCACCAGCAACAGCAGCATCAGATGCAGATGCAGCAGGGCCACCACCAGCAGACGCACCTGCAGCACCACCACCACAGCCACAGCCATAGTAGCATGGCGCAGCAGACCCAGGCGCAGCATCTGGGACAGCTGAACGACTTCAGTTGCGTGGCCGGCGGTGGTCTGGACGATCCTGTGAAATCGATCATGACCTCCTGACTTGGAGCCCCGCCAGCCACGGCAGCGGAAAATGCATCCTCGAACAGTCTGATACTAGAGTTTAATGCCACGACCTTATGAAGAGCGTTAGATAGCAGCGGTGACTTCCCGATTGTATAAAGAGAGAGCGAGAGCTCGTTTTAGTTATTGTTTGTCCCCCTTCCGAGCCTAGACCTAAGTTTAAATCGTAGCATAAATTGTTTAACTCCCATTTGTTTTGTATATGTCGGAGATATCCGTTATTTAATTTAACCGTAGTCGAGCCAGCGAGTTCTGTTCGCCTGCGCAGTCAAATCGAATCTGTCATCACGCCACTTTTCCTGTGGCCCTTTCACCTTTTCTTACTTTTCACTCAGATGTCATTCCTAGACAATCTCAAGCTGTCTCTCTCATTCTCTCCTATTGTTGCGACAGACGAACAGACCTCACTCAGTAACACTCCTGTTACCGACTCAACTGTCATTGCGCCTGCGCGCCAGCGACACCTACAGGGCTACCAATACCTGAGCATGCCGAATAACTCTGTTGCCATAGCAACAAGCTTTCCAAATTTGCACTTAGCAACCAACTCGCCGACACGGCCATCCTGACAATTCACGCGTCCTCGCGTGACGTGTCTTCTAATAGCTCTAAACATAACTGTCATTTATCATTCTCTCTTTTTTTCTCTCTTTGGTCTCAACTTAACATTTCATTTTATCTGTTTTATTCATGTCAAATAAGCTTTACTTTTATTTCTTCTCGCCACTTCATTCTCTTCTCGTACCAAATCTGTATCTTCTTTCTCTGCTCGTACCACAACTCTTACTCAACATCTCTTCATCAATTTATACAGGCTCTTGCTGCACACTTTGCAACGCTCACACGCACCTCTTGCGTCACGGTCTCTCTGGACCCTCACAGCCTTATAAATGATTCCACCAACGAGTGCCTCAGTCGGCGATCTCTCGCTTACACTTCTAGTGTCTTCAAATGTTAGTTTGGCAGGATAACCTTTCGAAACCATAGAGTACAAGCTCTTTTCGTATTTCAAAAGGCTCCGCTTCACATATTCTGACCATAGGAATAAAGTAGGCCCCGTTTCATGTGATCCGACACGGCCTTCCTGACAAATCACACGTCCTCGTGTGTTAACTTTAAATCACAGTATTCTAAAATTTCGGTACTCGTTACATTTTATTGTCAACAAACATTTCATTAATTTTCTAAACATAAGTATTGAGGCATTTAGACAAAATAAGCATCTTGGTTTCATGATAACATAACAAATTACATCTTCATTTTAATCATAATTTACAATTCAGACTTCTCTAATTACATAGCTTTATCAACTGGTGTATTTCCTTTTACACCCACATACTGACCCCCGCCATAACAATTCCTTCTGTTATGGTGCGGTCTCCACTGACCCCCGCCATAACAATTCCTTCTGTTATGGTGCGGTCTCCACTGACCCCCGCCATAACAATTCCTTCTGTTATGGTGCGGTCTCCACTGACCCCCGCCATAACAATTCCTTCTGTTATGGTGCGGTCTCCACTGACCCCCGCCATAACAATTCCTTCTGTTATGGTGCGGTCTTTATATCCCCTCTTGGGATTCCAAGGCATCAACCGTGCCATCCATATCATCATTCCCCACATGGGAATCAGACGCATCTCCACTTGAGTCGTCTAAATCTTTATCAATCAACGTGATTGCTTATTTGTCTATTTGGCAATGCCCTCAAAAACTCATGCGCATACTTATAAGTTCTTTTGCTTGTTAAGGATTTTAAAATGTACCGATTTCCATCTTCATTTCTTTATCTCTTTCTTTCTCCTCTCTCTCATTCGTAACAATTTCAATTTCCAATTTATCCATTTTAAGTTAATCTTGCCTTAACAAAATTGTGCTCTTACTTCCATAATTTTACCGAACCGGCATAACGTAACTTTAAATTTCTCTTTCTTTATACTTTTCTCTGTGTCATGTGGTGGTATCAAGCCCAAAGGGTGGGTCCGATTGGCATCTCTTAAGGGCTTGCATTGGTTGCACTACTAACTGTGCAGTTCGCCGCAAGTTGCACCCCGCCAAGAGCATCTTCCCATCACCTCTGCGGTCCTGGTATCCAGCCAGATGACTACTTTACAACTTTACACATGATACAATTTTCAACAATCTTTAAACTTAGTCATTTCCAACAATTCTGATAAATATTGCTGAGTCTATTTTTTCCAATCCAAACACATAACGGATTTATAACCTTGATTAATAACTATCCAACAAAATTTAAGGGACACTACTGGCAGATAACATTGCCTCACACCTCTCTGTATTCTTTAAAATCCCTCTTCGTAACTCAAGTTAATTTCAATTATTTTTAGTTGTTTATAAACTATACCAATAAATCCTGAATCCTGAAGTTGATCAGTCGGTCATTTGAGATTTCCATTCTAAGTTCAGACGTTTTTCTGTCAATTTATTTTTATTTATCGGAGTTAAATCAGTCATGTGAATTCTGGACACAAAAAGAATTCCACAATTGCCTTGCGCTTTCTCTTCCTCTACTCTATGATGCACTTCAGTTAATTTTTTTTTTTTGTTTAGAAATGATTACATCTGCAATAAGTATAGACTACAAACTCTCATCTGAGCAAACAATGCCAAAAATGTCAGAATAATTGCACGCCAACCAATATTTCCAATTCATACAAAGGCTACTTGGACTCCACAAGACACATAGTTCTACCAATATATCCACCAACATAAGGGTCTCCATTAATTAGGTGTATTAGCATTGGACCATATCCACAAGAGCTTATATCTGTTTCAAATTTGATCAGATGTTTCGAACCCACAAATAACGATTACAGGCTCATTTGTAATAATATTAAAAACGTTCGTTCCAATTTCTGAATATCGTCATTTCACTTAAAGATACTTGAAGCCGAAGAATCTGTCTCATGATCTGAGAAAATCGAGGCACACGTTTTTGAAAATAAGGCACCAATTCAATAAATGGTCTTACGACGGTCTCTTAATTGCACCGATTAAAAGGACGGACCTTTAACGTAAGGATTTTCTAGGAATTGGGTCTGATTTCTCCACCGCACACCTCATAGCTCAGATACTGCGTAGTAGGTTCAAGAAACCCACATTTGGTAACGTTAAATGGCAACTCTGGTACAGTCAACACATTTAATACAACCTTCAGCCTTCGGAAAGCCTTTTCTTCCGAGTTTGCCATGATTAACATGCATCTATGTAAACTATCGCAAATAATCATGATAAATTCCAAACGCCTTAACAATTGCATGATGAAGGTAGAAGATGCACTCTTCAAACCAAACGGCACGGCAGACCAAACAGACGGCAACTCGTAATTTTTTTAAATTAATTATTTTTCAACAGAAACATTTTTCCTTCACAGGGTCTGACATAAGCGGCAAAGGCCACTGTCCGAAACCATTTTCGAATATTGCTTCCGATAGTCTAAGCACAACCTATCGTAGCACAGGGCTCGCCAATGGGAAGGCAGATGTGCAAACAACACTGCAATCAAACACATCTCTATTCCCATCTTTTAGCCAATTCAGCTCCCAAATCAAAGAATAATTGGAAAGGGCTCACCCGATACTGTCACTGTTGAATCACACAAATCAACTCGCTTCTACATGCAGCTGATGCTGCCGCTCGCAGCCGCTGATACCCATCTCGTGCACACAGATGCAATGTGACCACCGTTATCACGCCTGAAGTGCGTCACTCCAGCTCTCCGCACTTCAGCCGCAGTTCCGCCAGTGTGCTGTTGTTGTTGTCTTCCATTCTTCCCCAAATTTTCTGGCCGACACTGATGACACTTGCAACCGTCCGGCTCAACACGCGACCAGTGCATTTGACTGCCTATCACGACTCCGGTGTCTCGCACCACGCGGCTGCGCAAGCCTTCGATGCGCCACTGAATTTAATATCGACCGAAAATCACTTTATCAGAATGCCCGCGAGGCTATGGTGAATCCCACTTCTGATGTCGGAGATATCCGTTATTTAATTTAACCGTAGTCGAGCCAGCGAGTTCTGTTCGCCTGCGCAGTCAAATCGAATCTGTCATCACGCCACTTTTCCTGTGGCCCTTTCACCTTTTCTTACTTTTCACTCAGATGTCATTCCTAGACAATCTCAAGCTGTCTCTCTCATTCTCTCCTATTGTTGCGACAGACGAACAGACCTCACTCAGTAACACTCCTGTTACCGACTCAACTGTCATTGCGCCTGCGCGCCAGCGACACCTACAGGGCTACCAATACCTGAGCATGCCGAATAACTCTGTTGCCATAGCAACAAGCTTTCCAAATTTGCACTTAGCAACCAACTCGCCGACATATACTTTAGTCCAATGTGTTTTGTACAATATTTTAACGAGTTTCCTCACAACTACGACGAATTACTTAAAGAAGAGCGAAGAAAACGCGTTCAGAGGGGAGACAGAGACCCAAAATAAAGCCAAGAAAGCAATTGATGTGAATTGAAAACTAAACGACGAAAATAGCATTAAATGCTTCTCAGTAATCGGAACCTAAGTAAAGTAATAACGTAGAGAAGCAGGCCCCCTAGACAATTATTTAAATGATGGAACCAAGACGAAGACGAAGACAAAGAAAAGTACGTAAGAAAAGCCACTGAAATGAAGGAGAGGAAAGTAAAACGAATTGGTTGTATAATTCATAATTAAGTTTACACACAAGCATGATGAACATGAAGCAATTTCTGAGAAACAATTCAAAATCCCGTTGCCAATTTTGTCGTTGTCGTTGGAGGAGGAGGAGGAGGAAGAGAAATATCAGACAGAGCAATTTATGTAGCTGCATCCCAGATAAAAAATATATGGAATTGTATATTTATTAATGCATTAAGTTGCATCCGAGTTTTGTAAATAGTTAGTGAGCATGCAACAATTATAAATAATATATATATGTATAGCTAAGCATTTTTAACGCGGGGAGGAGGAGATATACTAGATATGATTTCCAGCGCTTTACGTACGACTGCTTCTGATATTACAGACAAAACAAACTATGGACGACGTGCTCAATACGAGAAAGTAAAGGGAGAATATTTCGGCATAGGCATAGCTACGGGTGTCAAATGCAAAGATCTTAGGGATTAACAACAAGTGTACCAACTACATATGGCAAACTACGAAGCAAACCAAAAGCAGTTCAAAAAAATCACCATTTTAGCCAATTTAGTTTAAACATTTATATAAATTATTGAATCTAATGTAATATCTTATACACTTAACAATAACAACAACAACAACAACAACTGATTGATTGAAACGAGAAGCAAAGATAGGAGGTAGCAGGCGAGGTGAGGATTAGCCACAGATAACACACAAATTAACGAATCGTATCAATTGTATCCTTGATCTTGCGACAAATCTCTGACTTGTGATTTGTGCCACGTTTTAAATATATAGATGTCTGACTAGCTTGTAAACAAAAACAAACAAACATACATAATAAATACGATTAAAAAGTCTAAAACGAAGAAACCCACAACACTCACTCAGTAAGCCTCAATTACATACCAATTACAATACTAACTAACTACTTTAATGCCACCACTAACACACTTCTGCATACTACGGATACGTACTACCATTGGACATTGGATTGCTTGTATTACGTGTGTAGTCTGTAAGAGAACTTCGAGAGGTATCATATTTTAAGATGTGCTTCGTTTAACCACCACCATCCATGACCCCCGAACCTGCCCAACCCCGAACCCGAACCCAAACCCCACCTGCCACCTGCCACTTGCCCCCTCGACTATGAGTTGCATGATCTTGAATTTCTCTTCTAGTTATTACTTCAAAGACAAATAACTTTCGTGTAAAAATTGTATATGTAATAGCATAATTTAAGTTGGCAAACTCCAAACCCAAAAACTGAATAAATTTAAATCTATTGATAGATTAATCGAATGTGAATCGTTTCAAGTTGTGTATTTCAACTCAAAAGCCCTTTCCAACAGCAAAGCAAAGGGCAGTGGTGTGTCCTTGTCATTTCAATTGTTCAGCTAAAAATGTGTCTAATTGTAATTGAACCTAAAGAGAAAACTAAAGATTTTTAAGCAAACATTTTGTGAGTTTTAATTAAAAACAAAAACAAAACATCATCAGCATAGGGAGAGAGAGACAGCGAGCAAAGCAAAGGAAACAAAAGAAAACTTTAATATTTGATAGTTTATTAAGCCCATCCATTTCATAGTCGTCATAAACATTAAGTACATTAAAAGGAAACAAAACGAAACAAAGGATTCAATATGAAAATCTCACTGAAACGCAACAAAACGAAAACGAAACCGAAAGAAAGCCCAACTAAAACCGGAAACTAAATAAAATGAGAAATGCAATAAAAGATTATTATGCATTCGCGTTTTTGTACTGGGTAAAGAGAAATGTTCTTAGGCAAATAAAGAGATAATTCCATCAAATTTTAAGAAAACTCTCGCATTTTATTATATCGGCTGTTTTTCCTAATGTTTTTTTTTTCTGGGTTTGAATGAAGCCTTTGTTGGCTGAGATTCGTACTGTTTAGTTTACACACACAAATTGACTTTGTGCTCCTAACTTCTGGCTAAAGTAAATACATACACACATTGAACTACTAGGGAGATTACCAAGTTAAAACCTTCTGGCTGAGAGGGATCAGCAATGGCCCAATATCGAGGTGCTTATATAGTAGGAAATAAATTATTACAAAATAACAGATATCAGTACAAAGAATATAGATACAATCGATCGCGGCTGATATTAAAAACACATCTAAATCGCTATATTGCATTTAGTTAAAATATCATATCATTTACATTGTTCAAAGGAGACATATTAAAATTGATTTTGAATTTTGTTTCGCTTTGAGAGGGGGAGAGATTCACATATAAACGAAATTTTGTTTTCGTAAAATAACTCATCTCGAATTTTATACCATTTAGGAAGTTATCTATTTTTTTTAAGGATTTCGACGTTAGGAGAACAATTACAAAAATGACGCCTACGTCCGACATTTAAAAAAGAAAAAAATTTAATTATTTGAAAAAAATAACAAATTTGGATTTTTGTTTTTCGAAATATAACAATTATTCCAAATGCAGTTAATAGTTAAAAACATATACTATTTCGTTATCTATATGCATCTCCCCCCCTTAATCTGAATGGACCCATCCCAGCATGGGACACTGCTTCCTTCAATTGGCCACCAACTGTGTGTGAGCTCGGCCTAACCCTAAGCTTAGCATAGTATTTGGCATTTGCGCTAGAGTACGAGTACGAGTACGAGTACGAGATTATTGCAGCCTAAATGCGCCACCTCCCTCCATTCGAGTTTCCAATTAGTTCGCTACGCTGACGCAACTAAGTTGCGCTGCCCTCCAATTAGTTTCCTAATTAAGTCTTGAGCGGATACACAGGCAGTGGATGGCCCTCCGAATTGAAGACCCACTGTTCCAGATCGATCTCCTTGCGGTCATCGCTGAACAGCAGGTAAAAGTACTTCAAGGTCTCGCTCAGCCAGAAGCTCTCCATCAGATCGCGCAGGCGCGTGCTCTGCGTGTTCTTTACATTTCCCAGTGACGTATAGCCAGCATTCACCTTGGCGTGTGTCTCGAATGCCTGGAATATGGTCCAACCCATGTCCTGGTATGTGCGATTTCCGGTCAACGCGTAGAAATAGTACAGACTCTCCACGAACTCTGGCCGCAGCAGGTTGTGTGCATCGTTAGGCTTTACATAGATGTCCTGTTCGTCCTTATCCGTGAGTGCAAAGTACGAAATCTCTGCGGCCAAGTGTGTGGGATTCATAATGTAAGTCTGATAGCAAGTATCCATCAAGTCCCTGGCCAAGATCAAGTGCGAGTCCGGCATACCGTTCTGGTGTCCCAGGAGCAGAGTTCCCGGCAAGTAGCACGTCAGATGGTCCATTTTCGGCTTGAAATCTTTGCCATTGATCAGCTCGCCAATATAAACCCAATGCTCCCGCGGAGTGCGACGCATTAGCTCGGTGAGCACGCCATCAATGGCCTGCATGTAATCCAAGATAAGGCTGAACATAAAGAACACGAGTTTATTAATTAATTTTAATCATATAGTAACCACAATACTCACTTATCGTTATCCCGGCGGCCAGTCTGAACCCATTGCTTGAGCAAATACTCATAGTAAGAGTCCCCTCGTGCGCCCAGTGAAATCGTGGCATAGTTACGGAAGGTCCCCGTGTTTGCATTGATGAATATGGGCACAAGGCCATGATTCTTTTCCAGTTCATGTACCTTCTCGTTCACTTTGTGGGCAACCTTAAAGGTTTAAATATCACTTAATAGTATATAGTACTTTACATTTATAAACTCCCTTTTACCTGTTCGTAAATGGAAATGTTTGTGGAGCGACTCAGGTCACGGAACTCTAGCTGAATGGTGGTGACTTCGCTGGTGGAACTGTCCGGTGACCATTTGGGCGCGTGTGCCGAAAGATCGCCGAGATTTACGTCCGAATAGGGAATGCTAGACGGCGACAGGAAGGCGGGCAACAAGCGGTTGCCCAACTCTGATGCCTTGGCGAGAAACATTGTGTCCCCGCTGAGATGATAGGCAGACAGCAAGCCGCCCAGAACTCGTATGGTCACCTCGAAAAGATTAACATCACGCTTAGTGTCGAAGCGCAGTGAATGGTCTATCCAGTCGCGAGCCTCTTTGAATTCTGCAAGTAAACAGGGAATGTAGAAATAGAATTAAAACATTCTAACCCTTCGATTGTGCGGGGTATAGTTATTTCAGTTCTAAACCACCCACTTTTCATATTTGTTGTTGTTGTGGCGATACGGCTTAAGTAAGCTTAATGAATTATAAAGCAGCTAAAACAACAACAATGCTATGATCGATTGAAAAAACAAATGGATTTATAAATAAAAACAATAACAACCACACCAACGTATGATACCAACATGGTTGACCGCTCAGCGTAAACGTATCATTGGTTTTGTCAAAGAGGGATTACTTCAACCTACATTCATTAGGGGAGTAAAGCCAACTCACCATCATCCAAACCCATAATGTACATGGTGTCCAAAGAGTCCACAATGGTCAGACCAAGGCCAAACCACTCATGCGAGTATTGCGAGATGGGCTTCAGATTGTCATGTCCCCAGGCGTACTTCTTGTATCCCGCCCAGGAGTGCTTAAAGGCCGCCACCACCGCCGATTGCCGCTCATTGGTTGCTCCGTGGAAGTGCTGGGCCTTGGCCAGCAGCGGTTGAATCCTGCGCAGATGCTCCTTGAAGCTGACACCGCCCAGCTTCAGCGGACTCTGGATGGCCTGATCGAGCAGTTCGCGTTCGCTTAGGTGTAGCTGCTGCTGCTGCTGCTGATCGATGGGCTCTTCCACATTATTAAGTATGTCGATCCCACCGATGTCCTGCTCCTTGTTATTCTCTGGCGGGGGCACGGCCACGGCTTGCGGCGGTCCCTGTGCGGCCACTGTCTCCGGCAATCGAACCACATTCTCGGCAGAGTTTGCATCACCGTAGGCCACGATGTCATTAAACTGGAAAATTGATTGGTATCATTGATAGCGATTGATTTCACTGGAAGTGCGCCCAGCTGCTTGTAAATCAAGTCCCCAATAATAATAGGCTGATACCGTGGGCTATCTTAATGAGCCCGCGCCTTGAGTGCTGTCAATTAAGCACTTATCAATTAAGTAGTCCGCCGCCACTTACCTTATCGCTCAACGCCTCCGGGTGGGGCTGTCGCTTATCTTCGGGAGCAGGAAGCGCCGCCTCCGTTAGGGCTTCGGGTTGGTCCTTCTCCGGCATTGGTGGATGGTGGTGGGGATTCTGCAGACGCAGATGATAGGGAGCCGTCTTGGGATCCTCATCCTGGTGGCTGGTGGCTGTCAACTGATCGCCGCTCAGGCAGAGCACCGCCGTGACGCACAAGGCCGTAATACCCAGAATGATGAGATTGCGCTGACAACGCGGCAGCTGATTCCAAGCCTAAGCCGCGACGAAAACATTGCATGAGAATGGGAGTTTACTACGGAGCAGCCTCCTGCTACTCACCCGCCGCAGACTCTTTCTGCCCCGCTCATCGCCCACCAATCCCGATGTCGATCCCGATCCGGGCGAAAGCGTGAGCGTTATGTGTCCACCGTCCTTCATTGCGTTGTGACAAGTGCCGCCGTTGTCGCTGTTTTCGCTTCAGAGCTCTCTTACACTCGCGTTGGAAAGTTGAGTGGGAAATTCCGCAACATTCGCTTCGAATAAAAATCGATGGCTGAGCGCCGTCGTCGCCGCCAGCTGAGGGTATTCGGTGCTACTAACTAACTCAAGGTTGGTGAGGCTACTCTTCCCCGGCCACTTCACCCGCTAAATTCGGCCCGGACATGGATTAATACGAGATTACTCGGTCGGACACTAGGTAAAGAATTTACAAATAAGAAAGAGATTCTAAAATTATTTCTGCCAGGGCTGCATGGCTAAGCGACTTCAGCCGATAGGCAGGGCTGCGATACAGCGACACTTGCTGTTATCGATAAGCCGTTTTAACGGTTGCATTTAAAATATGGAAATCTGTAGTTCGCGGCTTAAGAAAGCTTATTATACCCTTGCAGGGTATTATAATTTCAGTCAGAAGTTTGCAACGCAGTGAAGGAGACGTTTCCGACCCTATAAAGTATATATATTCTTGATCAGCATCAACAGGGGAATCTTTCTAGGTATGTCAGGAAGAAATTGATTTTTTGGCCATTTTTGCAAAATTTTATAAGGGGTTACATCATTAAAATTTTTGATTTTGATAAAAAATTTAATTTTCAAAAATTTTTAAATGAAGTATGCAGATTTATTAACTGTAGAAAATCTTGCATAGAACAGTTTTCCGATTTAAAATTAATGTTCTTTTGGCCGAGTTATGATATTTTTAATTAAAAAAAAAAATCAAGACTTTTTTAATATAAAAAATCAGATTTTATAATACAAAATAATATTTTTCTAAGTCAAGGAATCATTTCCGACCCTATATTCTTGATCAGCATTAACATGCGAATCTTTCTAGACATGTCCGGAAGAAATCGATTTTTTTGGCCTTTTTTGCGAAATTTGATAAGGGGTTTCATCATTAAAATGAGCAAAAATGGCAAAAAATTTTGATTTCTTCAATTTTAAATTTGGTATGCAGTTTTTTTAAATTAATAAAAACTAACACAAAACTGCTTTCCGAATCGAAATTAATGCATTTTTGGCTTAGTAATTAGATATTTTAATTGTTACCTGCAAGGGTATACAAACTTTGGCTGGCCAAAGTTAGCTTTCTTTCTTGTTTTAATATTTATCCAGTCAAAATTAGGCTATTCTTTGTAAACAACTAAAATAAATTAGTTTTAGATAAATACGTAATATAAAAATTAAATGCTTCGTATTTGGAACTTTTTTATACACATTTATTAATATAATTTGATTACAAAACTCAATCAATTCATAACGTCAAGAGGTCAACTGAATACAATAGTCGAAATCTCATCTAGACAAGAGGTTTCTTAGGGGCGGGGTAAAATTTATATAAATTTATTCACAATACACAAAAAACCATTTTGATAAATTGGTAGGAACGTCTGACCTTTCGTTGAGATAGTTTACTTTTTGTCGATAAAATATAAAAATAAAAAACTATTTTTACATTGAATTATTTTCTGCATCCATAGAATGTTTTAAAAAAAATATATTAGAATTTGTTTATAAAAATTGTTCACATTGTAATCCCCGCCCTTTTCGATTCCCAGTCACATTTATTTATTTATTATCATTTAGCGGCGTAGCAGGTGTCACACACACGCACTGGCTTCCCCGGCTGACCCTGGGCATTGAGCAGCCGGAGCGTGTGCTCCGAGCAGGCCTTGCAGAAGATCTCCCCACAGCTGCGGCAGTGGTGCTTTCGGCGCGTAAGATTGAACTCCCGCTCGCAGGCGGTGCAGTGTGTGGCTATGGAATCGGGTGCCCAGATGCCGGGGCTGCCCAGCGCCTCCGGCGTGGCCTGCAGCGACTGGGCGGAGCCGGACAGCAGTTGGCGTTGGCGTCGCTCTTGATCTTGCATTTCGGATACCTTCAGCTTGCTGACGCTCAGCTGGATGCCCAACTCCTCCAGCGTGGTCTGTGCCTCCGTCCACTGGGTGCGAACCTTGTCTAGATCGGCCTTGAGCTTGCCATTCCTTTCCTTCTCCTCGGCCAGCTCCGTGAGACAGCTCTGCAGCGTGGATATCTTTTCCTTGAGCTTTAGCTCCTTCTCCTGCAGCGAGATGCGCCACTCCCGCTCGATCCGGGACTCGGCCTCGGCCCGGGCAGCCCTCTCCTCGCTAGCTGTCACCTGCGTACTTAGGCTTTGTGACGTGGTTTTCAGAATCTCACCCAGGTTGCTTTTGTCATGGGTCCACCTGTGGACAGTGGCATAAAACGGGTATATTAAAGACTTTTGCAGTGATCTGTGATGCTTTGAAGGGCTTGGGACTAGTCAGCAGTTATAGTATAGTATTTCATTGAGGATTTTAGATATCTACTCCCTAAACTCCCTTTTTAAACTACTTCTAAAATAACATTTCTATTTAAAGGGCTTGAAAAACCCCTCCAGACTTTGCTTATTTATTATTTCCTTACCTTATCCTGATTGATTATAGAATATTTCAATGCAGTTTACGTTTTAAAAGGCTTATTTTGAACTAGTAATCTCAAACTATTAACTCAAATATCAAGCAAATTTACGCTTTAATTATTAATAATTAAGACACTCCAAAATCTGACTAGCCCCCTCCGCTTCCATAGATTTAGGCGCAAGCACAGCCTTCTTACTTCTTCTCCAACTGCTCAATGGTGCTCTCCATGTCCTCCTTTTGGACCTCCAGCATGCTCATTAGCTCCGTCTTGTGCGTTAAGGATGCCTTGCAGTCCTGCCGACGAAGAAAAGAATCGGTTGTACCAGCGTCGAAAGGAAGAACCCGCTTCTTGGATTGTTAGTAAGATGTGGCAAATGAAAGACTGGGATTCGGATAAGTTTTATTTCTCTGGGATCGATTTAGGAGAGTACGAGTACTAGAATACATAGGCTGATGCTCCACAGCAGAGTTACATTGTATATAGATTTGTATATATTCATATATATGTAGTCTCAATATTTATTTATATAATTACAATACTTGTTGTTTTCGACTAGGCGGAGTGTATAATTACATTACATTTAAGCGGTTGCGCGGGGGTTGAATCCATATGTACATACATATGTATAATAAACATCTCTGAAGCCTCCTCTAATCGCACTATACATATATACATACATACGTCTTTAGTTAGTATAATAATCGTATATAATCGGGGACTCTGACTCGGGGAAGATAATTCAGCTAACAGAGGTTGCATACTTTGTAATTCATATAACCTTTAACAATTTGTATTCTATCCCCCTTCGGGGAGATCTGGTCTACGGAGTAAAGGCATCCTATTTCGTACACACGCAATGGCTATAGAGAGCTAGGGACTCTATAGTTTTGGGGGTCCTGTTAAGCAGCTGCACTTTGAGTTCCGTTCGGAACTGGACGCGAACATTGAGAGCGTTTCGATTTTCATGTGTTTTTCATTTATCTTGAGATCAAAAAAACTTAATAAATAATCATAATTGATTTTTGACAAATGGGATTTCTTCGGAATGAGATATTTCCTTTTCGCTACTTGGAATGCATACTTGCGAAGATGTTTCATCAAATTGTGTACTGGCTCCTTAGGTATAAATGCAGTCAGGCACTAAATCCATAAAGTTATAAATCTAATTTTAGTTTCCCTTTCGGGAAAAACAAATAGAAATGTGAACAAAAGCAAACGCTATCAAGTTCTGTGAGTGTGAAATTCGAAACTGGGCCATATATGTATATAGACAGAGGATCATCTTATTCTAATTTTTTTCAGGGGCTTAAGTGTCTCCAGCGGCTGTCTGCTCCCGGCACAGGACATAGTCGCTGCGGGATCCATCGCCTGACCCAAAGTGCTGAGTTACCGCAGCCGCTGCCTCGGCCAGCTCATCGTTCAGGGACTTGGCAGATGTGGGCGTCTTAACGTCCTTGCTGCTCTCCTGCAACTCCAGTGGGTTCGGTGGCTCCGGTTGACGCGGCGACTTCCTGTACTTGGCCGGATCGAAGGGCGGAAAGGCGTCCATCTTGAGGTGCATTCGCTTCATGGGCGGGCCAGCGTCCTGCTTGTGCTTCTTGGTGAGGGCCTCGAACTTCTCCAGATTCTGCTGTCGCCGTGTGTTGGGAGAGCGGTCTCCACCAATGGCTCCAGCTCCCGATCCCGCTCCCGGTCCCGATCCCGGTCCGTGGTGCTGCTGCTGGTTGTCGACGAGCTTCGACTCGTACTTCTTTTCTAGCGATTGTAAAATGTTACCAATTTGTGAGGCTTTCGTTTGCAGGCGCGAGACCATCTCGCCCTTCTGTGTGAGTTCATCTTCACATTCCTGGTTGAATTTTTAGAGGGGATTACGTTTTGACTTTAGGCTTAAACCGATTCTTACATTTGGAGCTAATGATCAAATAATAAATAAGGAAACGAAACCAAAGCTACGGATGGCCAGATGAGTGTGGTGATGAGCGGTGTTAGGTTGTGATGCTCGGGAAGGATCGGTTAGAAGGACCACAGAGAACAGAAACTGCTAATATAATAACTGATCCTAGATAATGGACTGTGTGTCCTTGCCAACCGATCCGCCATGATGTATGCGTAGATACTCACCTGCAGTTTGCGGTACATTTCCAGGTTGATCTGCTTGATGTCGTCCAGTTGGCGGCGCAGCGAGACTATCGTGTCCTGCTTCTCGTGGATGTCCTTCTCCAACAGCTTCATGGCCATGTCTGACTCCGCCTTGAGGGACACCTGCAGCTTGAGCTCCTTCTCCAGTTCGCCAGTCTTGCGACGTTCTTCCACCAGTTCCTCGGAAGCCTTATCCTTGTCTTTATTTTTTTCCTTGTCACCCGAACCAGTGGAGGTGTTGTCCCCGCCGTGAGTGGACTGTCGCATGGCCTGATTTTCGGCTTGGAGAGCCAGCAAACTGTTCCGTGCGATGGCCAAGTCCTCTTTCATCAGAGCATTCGTCGTGGTAAGCGACTCTACCTTGGCCTGCAGGTTGCCCACAGTGGCGCTGAAAGATGGGGGAATAACTTAGCCCAAAGAACGCACAGGCGGACGATGCCGATAACCCACTTGAGATGCCTGTTGAGCTCCTCTATGTAGTTCTTCTGGTCCAGCACCGCTATCATATTGCCCTGCCCGGTGGCATCCAATAGTGCCGGCGGAGCACTGTCCTCCGGCGCAGCATCCGCGTTTCTTGAGCTGGATCGCAGGTACAGGGAAAAGTCTATGACGCCCTGCTGCGAATCCAGATCCTCCTCCTTGACGCATAGATTACAGTCGATCACGTTTAAGCCCACCAGAATGCCCATTATCACAACGATCTGGTTAGAGAAGAGATGGGGTTAAAAGGGTTTCCGAAGGGGAACGGGATCGGAAGCAGACCTCGTCGCTCATCATCAGCGCATGCGGCTCGTAGTAGTCGTACAGAGAATCCTCCCGGTGTTCGATCAAAGCCTGCAAATAGTCCGATAGCTTCTTCTGCATGAGGGCAATCCTCAGCCAGGCTCTGGCCCTGCCAATGTGGGTCCGCACCGTGGGTAAGTCCCTCACGCTGGCCGTGATATCCTGCGCTTCCGGGCAGTAGTGCTCGACGCTCTGCAGCAGGTCCCACAGCTCCTTGCGCGGACCCAGCAGACCCTTCTTGGGTCTGAGGCCGTGACCCAGCACGTGCTCGATGACAATGAAGAAGTGCTGCAGCGGTAGGTGGTCCGAGTCCAGCATGCGGCCATAGCGCAGCGACTGCTCCAGCAGCTCCTTGACCACCAGCTTGCAGATGTTTACCAGGTTGCTGCGCTCGATCTCCGCCGTGTCCCGGGCTGCAAAGGGATGGGAGGGATCCCAGAATTAGAGACTCAGGCAGATAGTAGGCTGTGCTTGCAAAGTGCCAGATTCACAGCCACATTCACATCCAACTGACTAACTGAAAAAATGAACTTTCACGTGCTATCATGGCTGCTGTTCTTCCTGGCGCCAGGAGGCTGCCCCATCTACAGCATCAACGTGTCCACTCAGGAGGTGCCCACTAGCGCTTTTCAGAACGAGATGACCCTCCACACGATGATCAGCTCCGAGCTGCAACAGTTCCGCGATAACATAAACGAGGCAGGCTCTTCGAAGAACAGGAACTTTGTGTCTAAGATTTCCAAGGAACTATCCAAGGCAGCACGAAGCCCGGTCACACCAGAGACTGGTGCCACATTTCTGGGCACCAATCTCTTCGATAGCCAACGCAAGACCTGCTTCTCCGTGGAGGAGATAGCTTTGATGTCCGCCCGACGAACTTTGGAACAGCTGGTGCCCAAGTCCTTTCCCAATTGCATGCTCAGCGATAGCGTTGTCCACATGTTGATCCGGTTCGTGAATACAGTCAACCGAATCGTACAGGAGATGTCGGACGAGGGCACGCGCCGACTGCCGCAGCGAGCCTTCTATGACGCGCTGGGCGGATACCTTCGCCACCACCTGGTGCCCGCGGCCCAGGTTTCCTACTACGGCGGCCGCCTCAAGCTGAAAACCATGCAGTGCTTGCTGAAGATCAAGCGGCAGAGCTATGTTGTCCTCAACACGAACGGGAATGCCTGGCGGTCTCCGGCCAAGGATATAATGTGTCAGTTCAAGGGCTCCAAGATTGAGCCGATCAATCTGGAAGGCTCCAAGTTCGAGGATGGCGCCGCCAGTTGTAGCCAGCTCGATCAGAGCAGTGTATCGCAGGATTTGGATCAGGGACAGATGATTGTGCCGCTGCCGCAGCTAGAACCGGTGGATAGTGAGGGCTACCTGAGCAACATATTCCTGCCCTTCCGACAGCGACGAATCTACAACCTCCGGTCTCCTACCTGCTCCTGTGTGTTGGTGCGTTTTTTCAAGATCGTCACCAGCTGCCACCGCTTTCAGGGAAAGAGCCAGGCCAACTACAACAACAAGCTGCTCAATTGGATACGGGAGAACGTGCACTCGCACTACATAGACGAGATGTTCTACCCGGGTCTGGGCGGAATCCTGCGGATTCAAGAGACCCTGCTGCACCTTGCAAAAGAGCAGGAGGACTGCAAAGACGACGATAAAAGCTGCTACGCCGCGGAGACGCGTAAGGTGAGTCGCTCCGCTCGCGCCTGGCAGGAAGATCCAGAACAAAACCAAGAGGAACAACAGCAGGATGTGGCGCCTGACGAACAGGAGAATGGGCCAGCCCATGATCAGGAGCACGAGGAGTGCCGCGAATGCGAGAGCAGTAGCTCGTTGATCTGGTTCATTGCCGCCCTCCTAGTGCTGCTTCTACTAATCATCTTGTTAGTCATCTGCTGCTGCATGCGACGGGGCAGAAAGCGGAAAGACAAGGTCAAGTCTTCTCCCAGTGATGTGGAGGCACCACCGAGCTCGAAGGCCCAGCGACCCAAGAGCACTAAGGAGCAGCCTAAGAGCCCCAAGGAGCAACCCAAGGAGCAACCCAAGAGCCCCAAGGATCAACCCAAGAGCGTCAAGGACCGATCAAAAGCAGGACAGAACACCTACTATGGTGGACATGATGACCGTAGGTCTTGGGTACCATCAAAGGAGCTATTAATACTTCTCCCTTGAATCGTAGAAGGTTCCACCTCGTCGTTGAACTGTCAGCTTCACAAAAAATGTTTGCCAACCAAGTTCTCCGTCAAGAAAGGAAACAGCTACTACCGCATTATCTCCGAGGAAAGCTCTCCGCAAAGGCAGCTGGTGTCCTTGTCATCAAACCAATACGACTTGACCCCGAGCTCGGAGATCGGAGGCAGAGGGAGTAAGCGAAATCAGAAGCAACGCAAAAGCAAAGAGAACAAAAAGAAGGTGCGAAATGAAGGCGGGTCAAGCCAAAGTAGGACGGTAAGTTGAGAAGAGTTAAACTCCCTTTAGAGTCCTGAACCCAGAACCGCCTACAGGTCAAATCCTCAGTGGATAGAGAGGGCTCACCACCACCGGAAAGGCGGAAAGCCAGCAGAGTGAAGATCGGTAAGTTTTAAGTTAAAAATCTTAAAAGAGAAGGGACAGCATAAACTATTAAACCTGATAGTGGATACAGACGACTCATCCTACAATCCTCGACGGCATATAAAGAAACCAGATGAGACAAGGCTGAGGGGCGGCACTCCGGTAAGTCGACTCAACTAATTAAACTACGTGGCAGCAGAGATTAATCTTGCTACCTAAAGTCATCTCTCCATTCGATCAAGGACACTCCCAGCTGGGAAACTACCTTTGAAGACGTCTAAGTGGCTGTGACACGGAGCACCACTGATTTCATTTTCGTTACATTAATTATATTTTTTGTTAAGATTAAATAAAAGCCCTTCAGTTAAGCCCCCATCGAGACGATAAAGTGCAGGCAACGAAATGTGCAACAATGCAGAAAAGGCATGCAAATTAATCAACGATAACACACAGACCAACAAAGTGTTCAGGACCAATAGCCAACATATAGACTTTATCAGGTAGATCTTTTTTACGATACGATCGGAATATTAGTTAGGACAAGGAGATAGTTGGTCAGAAGATACTCTTAAGCTAATGTAAAAGCTATCGTTAATAATAAGTATACACTACAGGAAACTCTGCTTTGAGTAAATAGTTAATCATAAACCAAAGACAATCTAATATTTTGTATGAAGTTAAAGCCCTGACCCTGGATATACCTTCAGTATAGTTGGCCTGCGTGATCGGAACCAATCGGATAATCGAATAATGAAATAAATAAAAAGATCTACAAAGAAGGAGGCGTGCTGGGCAACAGAGGCAACAAGAAGCGACCTACAGAGATGCGACCACTCGGCGAAGAGGCCGACACTCTGGTGCTGCGACTGGGAGTGCGGCTGGGAGCCGAGTGCCGTGGAGCCACTGTGGACCATGTCGCACAGCCTGCGGCCGATAAGGTTTTCAATTGCCATAATACCATTGTCCGTGATGTCTAGGGCACCTCCTCCGCCGCCGCCACCGCCGCTGGTGCTGCCGGTGGATAATCCGGAGAAGCGCTTGCTGTTGCGCTTGCTGGAGTTTGAGCCACTGGAGAAGTGGCTGGAGTTTCCTGTGCCACCCAATGCGTCAGTGGTGGTGTGTGCTGGCTGCTGGCTGCCAGTTCCGCCGGCCACGTCAATGTCCTGCAGCTCCTTAAGGCACAGCCATTCTCCGTCGACGGACACCCGGAAGTTGCAAAGGTATATGGTGTCCTGGACGCCGCCGGCCAGCTCCTCGCTGGTGTTGGCATGCGAGGCCTTTGGCAGAGCAATCGTGGTGCTGCCGTTGTTCGCTGGGAGAGGCTGTTGCTGCTGCTGCTGTGGCGGCACGACCACCAAGGGTTGCTGTGGCTGCTGCTTTGATGCCTGCAATGGCTGTGGGGGTGGATTCTGACCCTTTTGTGCTTTGGCCGACGCTGCTGTCGCCGCTCTGGTGGCTGTTGCTGCTGTCCCAGTTGCTGTTGTCGCCGTCTTGGCAACCTTGCCAACTTGTTGTTGGGTCGCCTTTTTGGCCGCAGCCCCGGCTCCGATTGCTCCGCCTGGTGTGCTCATTGTTGGCGTTTTCGCTGCACTCCTTAGTGGCTTTGAACTGGAAGTGGAACTGCCACTGGCACCACCAGAGACAGAGCCACCAGACTTGAGGCGAGTGCTGCTCCCGCTGGTGCTGCTGTTGTTGTTGTTATTGTTGGCGCTGGATGACAGCTTGGTCTTCTTTGTATCCTCGACGAGTCCTCGCATTTTGCTAAGGCTTCAAACCTGCCTGTGTATGCAGTATGCAGTATGTGAGTGCGTGGGCGTCCGTTTTGTGTGGGGAATCGGCCATAAAAATAGAGATATATGTATGTACATACATATATGTATATCGATGTTAGGTGGTGATTAAGCTGGAAGATTCCTGCTCAGCAGTTCTTCCTTCTCTGGGATACTGTTACCTTTTCGTGTTTCTTATCCTGTTAGAACCTCTTTTGAAGAGGGTTTTTCTTGGAAATTAACCAAATAACGAAAAATACTCCCCGCTACGATGTTGCACCGTTATTATCCTTCTTGTGTACGCGTTGAGTAAGACTAACGTGGGGTCTCTTTTTATCCTATTGATTTCTCAAGTATGCAAAGCTCGAAAGCTCCGCGCGGAAGCTTTTTTGTTAGGGGTGTTCTTTGAATATATTATATAGTGGATAAAACAGTAACTATGGATATTTTAAATTTGATATTACGCTAGTAGTTAGCTCTTTTATGTTATAGTATTAGTTATAAATTTATTTTTTATGGTTTATTTTCGTAGATTTGTAATATCTTTATTTCTTTACTTTTTATTTGTTTACTATGAATAATGTAATTACTTATGTCGGTTTATAATAAATGATATGATTTATTGCCGTTTATATTCTTTTAAATATTAATAAATATCACCAAGTGAATAAAAGTGATAATCACTTTTGAATTGTATTCCTTGGAGATAATTTACTTAGTAAACAACACAAAGGATACTTAATTTATTCCACATCCTTTATTTACACAACGTAAATAGACCCGTTCTTATCATTCTAGTAAATTAATTAACAGAATTAAGCAAACTCACCGCGTTTCAGCCTTTTCGCCATGATTTTTGAAGGTGAAGGAATCGAGCCTGCTTCCGGCTCTGACGGCGCTACAGGTGGCGCAGGCATGGGCGTGGGCTGCTCTGGATACGGGTAAGTGGTCGTACCATCAATTACTTCGGATGCAGCCGCCGCCGCTGCGGCGTTGGAGAATTGCGTGGAAATGTGACTGAAGATCTGGGAGGAGATGCTCTCCGTACGCCGAAAGGTGTTGCGCAGGCGGTCAAACGAGGAGCCGGACGCAGACGCAGACGGCGTAGTGGCTCCCGTCGGGGGCGGAACCGGAGACGCGGCACTTGGGGAACGAGAAAGCGATTGGGAGTCGTCGCTCCGTTCGCGGCGCACTAGCAAATCGTCCGTGCTCATGGCGAATCACTCACTTCACGACACTTTCTCCGACTTCCTGCCAGATCACATGAATTGTAGCGTAGCGTTTAAAACGGAAATTGCACTTGCACACGGAATAAATAAACAAAACAAGTTTGTCAATAAAAATTAAAACAGCTGTTGCATCGCGATTAGGGAAGGGCGATATACGATATCACAGCTCGATAACACGCCGCAGATATGAGCCATGCAAGGCTACAATAGATACGGCAACCCTGCGCATGGTTTTGCCGCCAAAAGTAATCGCGAGTTTATTTATTTACAAAAGCCGAACGCCAAACAGGACACACACACCGAATGGACGTGGAAATAAAGCAGCAGTTCGACGAGATGGGCGTGGAGCCCGCGGACGCGGTGCTGGACAAGTGCCTGGAGCTGGCCATCTCTTACAACGTGCTCGACGCCACCGAGTTCGTGGAGCAGTGGATGGCTTTTAGCTTGTCCCACCTCCACGGTGATGATCCCACAGTCGAGAACCTGGGGGAGTTCGAGCGCAAGGTGCTGCAGCTGAGGAAGGACAAGGTTGTGCCAAAGGCCAAATCCTATTCGGCAACCACAAGCTCTGGGCCGGAAATCAGCTCACTGGCCACCTACGGCGTGATGGAACACGAACCGATGATGGACGACTATGTGAGCGAGTCTGTGGCAGACTCCTCAGCGATGCACACGCCCAAGGCTAAGAAGGATCAGCCGCGTTCCGCCGCTCTCAAAGGCGGAGTGCTCTTCAGTCCCGTCAGCTACACGCCTCAGTCGGCTAAGAGAACGCAAGTGGCAGCAGGCACACCAAGTGCCACAGTGGCCGGCAAACCAGGTGACATTGTAGACTCCTTCGGCCATCCCAAGCTTCTGGCCGGCTCCAGCTGGCAAACCGAAGTGGAGCACCAGCTACCGGTGAATCAGAAACTGCTCCACAAGGACGCCCCGCTGACCGTTGCCAATTTGGGCTACATGAACGACCTGCTGGGCGATCGCTGTGACGACTTGCACGATCGCCTCGTGGAAACCGGACGGGCTTTGGTGGAGAAGAAGCTGGGTGCAGATGGAGCCGCCGAGTGCAGTTGGTATCCGCAGGACAGACAGACTCTGCAGGCCCTTCACTTGCTCCATGCCGTGGGCATGATACATTCCGAGGACGACGGCCCGCTGGATGCCCACTCCGCCTTTCTTTCCGTGACAGACGCCGAGGAGAACAGTTTTCTGTCGCTGAACTTCTCGAGGATTAAGTCCGCCAGCATCTTTCCGGGACAGGTGGTGCTGGCTAAGGGATTCATACCTAAAGGTAACTCCTTCGTGGTGGAGGAGATCCACACGGAGCGGAAGCTGACGCCCCCCGCTCCCCTGAAGGTCGATAGGGAGCTACAGTTTGTGGTGGCGGCCGGTCCTTTTACCCACAGCACTGATCTGATCTACGAGCCACTGCACGACCTGCTAAAGTACCTCAAGGAGCACCGCCCCGATGTGCTGGTGCTAACGGGGCCCTTCCTGGATGCAGATCACAGTATAGTTAGCGAGCTTGCCGAGACCTTTGATTCCTTCTTCGAGAAGATGGTCGCCGGAATAATGGAAGTTGTTGGCAGTTACACAACAGTGCTGATGGTCAGCAGCCAGAAGGACGCCATGGTGCACTCGGTTTACCCCACCCCGCCGCCCACTCTCCGCAAAACGTATCCCAACCTGCACATGCTACCTGATCCCTCGCTGGTGGATCTGGACGGAATTACGCTGGGCGTCTCCTCCACGGACGTCGTTGACCATCTGCTCAGTCACGAGTTTGCCGCGAATGCTGGTGAACGGATGCATCGGGCTATCAACCATTTGTTCCACCAGGGCTCCTTCTATCCCATATATCCGCCGGCCGACGAGGACATGGCCTTCGACTCGCAGCTGGCGCTTAAGTACGCCCAGATAAAGCAGCTGCCAAATGTACTGATCCTGCCCGGCGATCAGCGGCATTTCATCCGGCTAGTCAGCGACTGTCTGGTTATTAATCCCGGACGCGTGGCTGACAGCAAAGGAGGCACCTTCGCCCGCTTTCTGGTGGCACCATCAGCGCCGGGAAAGTCGGCCAATATGTTTAACAGCGTCGCGTGTCAAGTGCAACGAATCTGAAATTTCTGAACCAAAATAAAAGTCAACAGCCAAGTATTCACTGTACTTTTAACCTGATAATTAAAGGGGATAGATCTGGATGATAGCTGGAAAAGCGTTAAGGGCTTGTATCAATGCATAGTTAGTAGCTATGTAAATTATTCTTAGTAAATCTTTAATAAATAAAATATATTCCTTTGTCAAAAAGAAATGTTTTTTGTTTTACCAAACGACGATCAATATTCCTTCGCGGTCCAATGGACACTTAATTTCTTGGTGCTATTCATAAATAATCGTTAAAGCATTTATTAATTTATATGTATAATAGTTTACAGCTAAACAGTAGGAAATGGTGTCTAAACGTAATGTACTCGCTAGGATCTCTATGTACGTTGGATCTCGCCCGCCCCGATAGATAGCGAAATCAATTCGTTGTCGAGGAGGCGCGATCGACGAGAACTAAAACTCCGTTGTATATTTTAACTATACAAAAAATACTGTATGCCGTGGGTGTTGTGTGTGTCCCATGATGAACTTGGCTGCAACTCAGATGCGGTTAAGTAACTGCGTGCCACCTTAAGTAATTCTCTCCTGCCGTCCCGCTTAATTCGTGGAGCTGCTTCGTCCAACAACTCTCGTTCAGTTGTTGGGCTCCTGCTTGTATTGTTATTGTCGGTTGTTCACCCCCTCGGGATTGTGGCTGCTGACCATGCTGTGCTCCATATTCTTGACAATCACATAGTTGGTGATGTGGTTTATGGCCTCGTCCTGGAGACGCTCTGGCCAGCGCTTCATATACGACTTGATAAAGTCGCCAAAGGTATCCACCTTGTCCGGAGTACTCTTATGGGTGTCCACGATGTTCTTTACAATATCCACAAACTTGTCGTAGTCCTCGTGCGACTTTTTCATCTTCTGATAATTGGCCACGCCACCGTTGGTGTTACCACCGCCACCGCTGGCTCCGCTTCCACCGGCAGCTGCATTCATTTGCTGATCCATGTTGTTGTCGGCCAAACGAGCGGAGGCAGCAGCAGCCACCGCCGCCACTGCTGCCGAGGAGGCCATAAAGTTGTCCACACTGCCGGCATTGGGAGGTGGTTGGGAGTGGTCCATAAAGTGCCGATGCATGCCGTACTCGGTCCTACAAAGCAAAAATTATGATATATTGGTATTAATAGGAGTAATGATAAGAAAAAAATTAAACTTGAATAAAAGAAGGTAGAAGTAATACTCACTTATAGAACCCCTCCGTGTTGTTGCTATTAAACTCTTGTTGAGACATTGGATTCTTCCAAACTGGTGACTCAGATGTAGAGGGTAAACTGCTAGTATTGGAGGCACTCGTCATGCGTTTGTCTCTGCAAAGGTATTCAAAAACATTAGTAACTAGCCGCATTACAAGCTCAGAGGATAAGAGAAACTCTCCGGTAGCATCTCCCAATGAAAGTTTCTCTTAACCAATAGTATCTCCAATTCCATGCTTAGCAACCCACTTGTAACCGGTGTGTGCGGCCAGACTCTTGAATACATCATCCACTTGACTGTAGAACTTCCAGGTGCTGATTATGCCCGTTGTTTCAAAGGTCTTCTGCTCCTGACGGTAGCGCTGCGTTAGATTATTGACTTTAAAGTGAACCTCTAGAGCTGTTACAGGGACACCCAGAGAGGTTAGCTGCTTGGCCATTGCCACATAGAGATGGCCATTGCGTTTAATGGTGCGCAGCTCATAGGCGCAGACTTTCCATAGTTTAATCAGCTCCAGAACACCACTATCCTCCCATTGTCGGCGCTTTTTGTTGAATTTTTCATACTGTCAGTGCGGAGAAGGTTATATTCGCAAATTATTATTACACGATCACATTAGAGACGCGGCTCCGACGAAGAGCACACTTACAGGCATTTCACATGGGTCTCACTGCCGACAACTGGGTTCGCCCAACAGACTTCGTCTGCCAGCTGAAGCAGGACATGAAGCGGTTTATCCTAGTAGACGGGCATAATGTTCATGCATTCACTCCTGTAAAGAAAAGGATAATAAGATAATATTATATATATACTCATGTGAGGATTGGTTGGGTTTCTTTCTAGTCACATTAAAATCATAACAACATTCCATATCATTTAATTGTTTATGTTTATTATTTTAAGTCTATAAAAGACTAGCTTGAAACCGAAATGTATCAACTTTATCAAGGTAAGATTTTTTCTCAGAGGTTTTTATTTGTATGGAGAAATGAGGAGATGTTATGTGATAACTTCATTTATTTATGAATCGTACGATAGCAGAGTGATAACAATTTTACAATTTCTGGCCAGAAATTGGAGGTACATAAGTAGGTACTAAATAAGTACTAAAAACTGTTTAAATCCAAAAATATCCATACTGAATAATTATTGTTGCTTCACTTGTAATTTTTAGTGCACTTAAAGGTTGAATGCATTGTTTATATGCCACAATTAACGCCCATTTCAATGCACTTTTCAGTGTTGATGAAACTTTATAAAACGCCGTTTGATATTCCTGTCGCCGAGCGGGCGCCTAGGCCGCCCCCCAAACGCGATTATGACTTGCCTGCGCCCTACTATTATAACGCTGTCATTATAATTGCTGATTTTCAATTATCATTAAGCCGGCACACACACATTTACACTGCCCCTCGCCCGCATCACAAACACGCCAGGCGAACGGTAAACAAATATAAATAGTGGGAAACAAGTTGTAAATCGCATTCGGAAGAGGAGACGGCGAGCACGAAGTGGATGCGACGACGGCTGGAATCGAAGTGAAGCGGTAATTCAGGTATACGAGATGCGGATGAAGATGCTCAACGACGACGACGCCAACGCCACGACATTGGCACTTGCTGGCCAATGTGGGGACGGGAGAGCCTATTGTGTGGCTGTAATTTGCGGGGGGAGATGTTACTTTTCTTGAATACACACGCACAACTTTTCCCTTCCTGAGATACACACAACACACACACGTACGTACTTCATCAGATTTTCTTGCGTCGATTGCGTTCTGCGGCTGGGCTCTTCTCCATGCACGAACAGTGGCGGGCAACAACAACCTCGCACAGCGTCACCAGCGGGCACACAACTTAATTATAAGTCAAATAATTAAATTTTAATTATCTTCAAGAGGGAAACACACGAAAAACGTAGCTCCTACGCTGCGCAGCGATATAATGATGTTCTCTTCTCAGTTCAGAAGTGCGAGCAAGACAGCAGACGCAACACGGTGTGAGAGGTGCAGCTGGTGTGTGCGCCGAGCGCGGCGTTGCCAGATAGGCGGGAGGGAAAACGTTATTGCTTGAATGCATCAAGTGGGAAATTGAAAATGTCAGGGAAATGTAATGCTTCTTTCCTTCCATTAGGTATGTATGTATGATGTACGTCCATTGGCCAGTCATCTGTGATTTATCTTGCCTTCTCCCGTTCCCTGCCTCCAATCCGAGCTCCGCTCGTTAGGGCGCCACAAAGCAAACGCATTTCATCGCTCATCATCATCAACCGCCCCCTCCTCTCCAGGAGCGGCTTTTGTTGGAGCATTACACACACTCACAAACCGATGCGAACACGGACACGTATTTGCCGGTCATCATCATCATCATTAGGTTGTGCGACGATGGCAGGCAATAGCAATAGCAACGGCAACAACAAGCGCCAGCTCCCAAATGCGAACGTCATTAGCGGGCTAAATAACAAAAAATGATAATGTGGCTGCCACAGTCGTCGGGCTTTGGTGTAATCATCATTAAATTGCACATCGTCTCGTTACGCGGGGGCAACGCGGAAGAAGGGAAGAGGAGGTGGATGATGCGGCGGCGGAGCAGAGGGCCCAATAACAAGGTCACCAGAATTTTATACGTTTATTTTTATCCCATTTTGGGGCACTTTTGCTTAAAGTGGAAATGAAATTGGAACCAATGGTGACAACGATTACTTAAAGAAATTAATTTTATAACCTATGACACACTTTTATCGCTTTCATACTAAAGTTTTACTAACAATAATTTTAAATTGGCGAACAAAGTCTTTAAAATATACTTTCAGGACTTTGTATTCGAATTCCATATTTTTATACCCTTGCAGGGTATTATAATTTCAGGCAGAAGTTTGCAACGCAGTGAAGGAGACGTTTCCGACCCTATAAACCATATATATTCTTGATCAGCATCAACAGGGGAATCTTTTTAGATATGCCAGGAAGAAATCGATTTTTTGACCATTTTTGCGAAATTTGATAAGGGGTTACATCATTAAAATTTTTGATTTTGATAAAAAATTAAATTTTCAAAATTTTTAAATGAAATATGCAGATTTATTAACTGTAGAAAATCTTGCACAGAACAGTTTTCCGATTTAAAATTAATGCTCTTTTGGCCGAGTTATGATATTTTTAATTAAAAAAAAAACCAAGAAGTTTTTTAATATAAAAAATCCGATTTTATAATACAAAATAATATTTTTCTAAGTCAAGGAATCATTTCCGACCCCATAAACCATATATATTCTTGATCAGCATCACCAGGGGAATCTTTCTAGACATGTCCGGAAGAAATCGATTTTTTGGCCAAAAATTTTGATTTCTTAAAACTTTAAATTTGGTATGCAGTTTTTTTAAATTAATAAAAACTAACACAAAACTGCTTCCGAATCAAAATCAATGCATTTTTGGCTTAGTTATGATATATTTTAATTGTTACCTGCAAGGGTATACAACTTTGGCTGGCCAAAGTTAGCTTTCTTTCTTGTTATCCTTTATCTCAACAGAGATGGGCAACTCAATTTCATAAAGCTCCTGAAAATATATACATACATATGTACATATATTTTTAATAATTTTATACACATACATATGTACATATATTTTTAAGATAAGTAGAAACTAAACTAAAGTTTATTTCACATTTAAACAAAATATTATTAAGTAATTTCCATTTACATTTTAAGTATTGTTTTATGTAACCGTATATTATGTGTACATTAAGTATTAGTTATATTTGTATCTTAGCTGTATACATTGGTACTTGTCCATGCTTATTCAATGGTTTATTTCCCGGTACATATGTATGTAATGTAGGTTGTGAGGCGAAGACAGCATCAATTCCCAAATAGCAACGTCATTACCGCCGGCAGGGCTAAAAAGAAAACTTAGTAGCCATAGTGCTTCCGTAATCACCATTAAACTGAACTTTGCCTCAGGGCACCATTCGGAGGATTCAGAAATAGCTCAAAATCAAGGTCAGCAGACATTTGTACAGGACCGGAAACTAACATTTATTACAATACTTAATCGGCGGTTAGGCTAAACGGCGATCCTGGTATGTGGTGCTCGCCCCACTTGGCCACCAGGACATAATCGCCAGGATCGCACACCCGATAGGTCACTCGATGGATGTTACGGCCCAAGTGCTTAACCGTCACCTCCTCGCAGGGTCCTCGCTGTCCCAGGACACCCACCAGAAGCATGTTGCTGCCCGCCTGACTGCAGTCCACCGTGAACTCGTTGCGCTCCAACAAACTAACATGGGTGAGACCCAGGCCCCGGCTGTGCACCTTGCTGGCATCCGACTCCGATATGGGCACTGATTGTGAATAAAAATTAAAGTAATTTGAATAATATCAAATAAAAATGTTTTAAAGTTTTTTATTAATACCTGCCGAGTTTGCTGGTTTTCCTTCCACAGATTCAGCAAGGCCAGCTATGGCCACAATGATGAACGGCGACCTGGGCAAAGTCACCGAATTGCACTTAACGTGGACCTTATAGAGTCCAGCCCCGGCTGCCAACTGGCAGTCGATCTGGAAGCGTTCCGGATCCAGCTGCTGCAGCTGGACAGGCTGGATGGGCTGTCCACTGGGACCCTCTACGCGCACCTCAAAGTTTCCCTTGACCCCGTTCCGTCTGATGACGAAGCTAACCGAGCTATTGACCCTCACTGCGCCACTGGGAAAGTGGAGGAGCTGCACCTTGCCGGCATCGGTCAGTTCGGGGGCCACATAAACCCGCGGCGGCTCCGCGGGATAAGCATCTAGGCGACAAGGGAGGTGAATGGGGTATTGTATAAATAGCTACTTCGATGTTTACTTCCTCATCGCCGCCGTCGGGCACTCAACTCACCCGCATCGGGCGTGCGCTGGTAGCGTCCAAAAATACCGCCTTCCTCCGGACTATGGCCCTCCAGAGCACTGTTCCCGCCCGGGCTGCAGGCGGTGGCAGCCGCTGCCTGGGTATTCAGACGCATCTCCTGCGACACTTTGAACATGCCGCAAGTATTTGGAAAGTATTTAAAGTTATATGATTTTTAAAACGATTTTTCTTCCCGAACTTAATTAGCGACTGCCCGGGGCGTGGACTGGTCCGTGCTTGCTCCTTGGACTGACTGATCTGAGTGCGCTGCTCCCTCTCTCCGTTCGAACACAATCTCAATCGTACATGTGGGGATGTGCTCTCGAAATGCTCGATTCTCGGTACTCTCAAAATGTTTATGATGTTTGTTTGCCGGACGGGCAGGCTGCCAAATATATGTACACACATTTACGCGGATCAAGCTAAAGTCGAGCACTGGACCAGACCCAGTCCGAGGCAGACGCGATTCCAATCTAAACAGAACGATCGCTGCCTGAAAATCGAAATTTCGAATAGAATTTAAGTTGAATTGCTCAATTGACACCATTTATTGATAAATTACGCTTTTGGAAAGAGATTGTTAAAAAGAATATATTTTTATACGCACTTTTTAAAAGCTCTTTTTGAAACAAAAGTGATTGTTTATTTCGCACATATTTTTTTAATAAAAAGCTTTAAAGAAATAAGCATCGAGAGTATTTGTTGAAAGATTTGTACCTGTTTCCTTTTCTTAATAATGTGTGTTTATGAATAAAACATAAATAAGTACGTATTTAGAAATACATTGCAATCTATTAAGGTATTTAATAAATAATAAAAATATATATAATTCAAAGTATTCAGTTTATTATACACATTTGGGGAAGAATTTTGGTTCAAAATGATTTGTTGTTAAAGTACAATTTGTTCCCCTGGTACTTTAAGTAATAAAGTTCCTTCACGACAACCAAGTCTGAAATCCGGTCAAATCGCAAACAAAGCAGCATCATCTGAACTACTCGCATTCCATTCTTTTTGCAATTACAATTAAAATGATAATTAGAACACATCTACGACTGGGTAGTGTGCAAAGGGAAAGGAGGTCGAAATGCTGGAATTCATGGGTGGAGTCGTCTGATGTCAAAACCGTTTATCAGGTTGTGGTAGAGATGGGGATAAACGATCATGTCTGTGTTGGTCAGGTGGCCGGTCTCATAGAGCGAGGTATAGATCTACAAAAAGAGGGGGATATATCAATAGAAATGGAAATGTTAGTCTACCCAAACATTATTTCCCTAATACTTAGTTATGTTTGGTTAAACTTACATTTTCCGTGATCTTGAGCGTCCTGATGGACTCTGTGCGCGTGTGCAGCCAAGTGTGCCGCAGGCGCTCTTCCGCATCGGAAATAAAGCCCGGCGCCCAGTTCTCCTTCATCCGGAAGAGAGTCATCCGGTTCTTTTCGCGCACTGCTCGCGGCAGTAGTCGCGCTCGCTTCGGTCGCGCATTGAGCATTTGCTCCTGCTTGGCCTTCTTCTCCTCGATCTGCAGACGCATCTTTCGGGCGAGATCCTCCCGTTTCTTGCTGGCAGCAGTTTCGGCGAAAATGGACACCTGGTTGGTCTGCCCGAAGAAGCGGGTGTAGTAGTCGGCCTTTGATGCATCTGGTGGAGGCATTATCCTCCTGAAGTTGCCCATGTGGCTGTCCTCCCAGGCGACTTGCCGCGCCAGTGCGCCCTCTTCCTCGGTCTCTGCACTAATCTTATTGGGATTACCGTTGGCCAGTCCTTCTGGATTGCCGAGATTGGTATCTATTTTAGCCTTGGACGCGGAGCCGCCATTAACACGAGGCCGAGGACCTGCCCTGGTATAAGAAGGAGAACGCTGTTCCCACCACAGGTTGCAGGCCCTTATTTGATTCTACTTACGGCTCTCCTCTGGTTTTAAGCAGTCGTTGCTTGACCCTCTTGCGATCCTCCCTGAGGATCTGTCTTTTGTCCACCAGCCCAGTGCTGACCAGATTAAGGGTGTCCCGGATAAGAGGCCGCTTTACCTCTCGGTCCACCTGCTCATTGGTGTGAAAGCTGGGTGAATGGTTCACCTCCAGGATGTAGGGCTTCAACTTCCAGTCCACTAGAATGTCGAAGCCAAGGATTTCGAAGCAGGCCTGGATCTTGTCATGCCCGGGGAAGCAGGCGTGGTAGTTGTGTTTCAAAACGGGCCAAGCACTCAGCACCGTCTTGATGATAACGTCGTCCACGTTCGTCCAGAACTCGTTCACGTCATAGTTGTGGCGCCGCATCCAGTTGTTGATCGCGCTCAGCTTTCGCTTGCTGCCGCAATCGTCGTTGTCGCACAGCTCGTAGTGCGAGTTTCGCTTGTTCACCGAGTAGTTGGTCAGGTGCATGTACAGGTCATTGGAGTTCCCAGGCGTGGGCTCCACATACTTGTTCGTCGCGAATCTTGCCAAGCCCTCGTTGTACACAAAGATACGCAGCGGGTCCACGGAGGTGATCAGCGTGTAAACACGCAAATCAAACTTGTAGCCATCAATCAGGAGGGGCTTCACAGATTTAAAGATCAAATATTATCTATAAGGAGGATATGGATGCGTCTCTTACCCTGTGGATGTACGTCTGGCATATAAGCCGGTCATGCGGTCCAATCGACTTTAGTTCATTGGTCAGCCAGATGCCACGCCCCTGAGCCCCAGAGTCCGGCTTCAGGATGAAGGTTCGCTTGTGAGTTAAGGCATAGTTCATGGCGTCTCCATAGCTGCGATTAGTTTAAAAAGTAGGGAAATGTTTCATTTATAAATTACAATAAGAGATCATTCTCCCTGGATGCAGTCGGCACAAAGTTCTGACACGATAATATAAAATAAATATAAAATATTTCACTAATAAGGTCCCTTAAATCTAATTGTTCCTACTTAGAAACAATATCTTACTCTGCGGGCAGCATCCAGGTCCTGGGAAAAATCTTGTAGTCGAAAGGGTAAATCTTTAGCATCCGGTTGAGGTTCCGCGAGAGCAAATCCTTGCGACAGATCTCGATCATACCCGGAAAGTGATTGATCTGCTGAAAGCGCTTCATGTTCTTGAACAGCTCCACACCGGGAAACGAGTCTGACCAGAAGATATTCCACAGCTTCGACTCCTTGACCAGCTTAAATCCTAGTGTCTTTGATATTTTGCCGATCATGGTGTAGCGGGAATTGGACACACATATAGTGCTCTTGGTATCGCTGGGATTAGAAGAGCGTGTGCGTCAATCGGACGCCCCAAAAAAAAGAAAGATAAAGCTAAAGAGCTCACCTGGAGCGCTCAGGGTTAAGGCTAACACCGGGTGAGGCCACCACGCGAGTGGGGCATTCCACGCGGTAGCGCTTGTTGTTCAGCTGTATGAAGCCCTGAAGCTTGGCTTCCGCCGACGCCCTCAATCCGGGCGTGGGGCTCTTGCGGTCGGAACACTGCCCGCCATTCAGGCGGTAGTCGGTGAAGAGATTTCCCATTGGCTTTCCGGCAGCCTTCTTCTTAGGATGCCTATATGCCTTGACCCGCCGCCTTGGTGAGATGGCTTGGACTGGGGGTGGCGAGGGCGAGTGCTCCGAGCTGAACCACTCCCTGTCCGAGCACGGCTGTTCTGTGATTGCCATTTTCAAAGCGCGGGAGACCCGCGTCCGATTCTCCCTATCCTTGCGTACCTTCTCCTTTGAGAAGTTGCGCAGCTCCTGGATCCTCTTGTAAAACTTGGAATTTTTTAAATTCATTGCGGGTCGTCTTGGTCCCTAATGGATCTCGATTCTTGAAATGGAAAATTTGCTCTTAAATACCATGAAATAAGATCGTCTCGATTATGGGAGCCGGAAATCTTCTTATCGAATAAAAACGGTATTATTTTGCTGTTTGTGTTGCGAAAAGGAAAAAGAGTTCTAACCAAAATGACGTTAAAATCAATACATAAAACAAACATGTCACCATCATTGGTTTTGTTTTTTGAGCCGTAACATTTTGTAGTATACTTTCCGACCCCATTTCAAGACCTTTTACAATGAGGACCGATCTCTGTGGCCTTAAACTTGCGATTTAGTGGAATAATAATAGATTTTTTATGGAATTTCGATTGATCATATATTCAGCACTTGCAGAATATTTCAAAGATTAATTATAGAGCTTGGAGTTACATTTAAAAGCAGGTCTATACAACAATAAAACGCTTACATAATAAGGCCCTAACTTAAGTCACTGTAATGCGATTAAAAATCATTGCGGAATGGCTTGAAACGGTTGAGTACTGCATCCATTGAGGGACGATCCTGCGGATCCAGAGCGGTGCAGTGCAGTCCCGCCTCTATGGCGCACATGCACATGTCCAGTTCTTCGCCCAGCGGCGTGGCAACATGCTTGTCCAACAGCTCAGTGCGATTCTGCCGCCAGTGTTGTTTGACGTAGTGCAGCAGATCCTGTTGCAGGTCGTTCTTGGGCAACCGATCGGTAACCTGTCGCCCGGTGAATACCTCCAGCAGCACAATCCCGAAGCTGTATACGTCCACGCCTGTACTAAGCTGCTTGGAGTTGCGAAACTCCGGCGGCAGATAGATTCTCGTTCCAAAGACTTTCTTCACTTGCATCACTGCATCGATGGACTTGGGACCCTCGCGCGCCAGTCCAAAGTCGCCAATCTTTGGCTGCAGGCACTGATCCAGCAGAATGTTCGCCGGCTTGATATCCCCATGGATGAGCGGAGTGCTCCGAGCTGTGTGCAGGAAGTAGATGCCCCTGGCTGTTCCGTGACTGATGCTAAATCTCTGCTGCCAGGTGAGAGCTGGCAGTGGTTGCTGCGACTTGTGTGCCCGAAGGCGATTCTCCAGCGAGCCACCCTTCATCAGCTGGTAGACAAGGCAGGGCTTCTCGCCGTTGATACTGTACCCGTACAACGCCAGGATATTGTCGTGCCGAATTGTGTTGAGGTACTTGAGCTCGTTGTAGCTCTGCTGCAGCTCCACTTGGTTCTTGTCGATGTTGGGGCTACGATAGTTCATTACCTTGATGGCCACGTCCAGCTGCTTCCACTCGCCGCGATACACCTCTCCGAATCCACCCTGCCCGAGCCGATTGTCGGGACACCATTTATCAGTGGCGCTCTCCAGCTCAGAATAATCGATCTTCAGTAGGGATTCGGCTGCCCTTTGAACCGTGCTGATGTGAATGTTGCCCAGCGACTCCAGGCTGGGAATCTCCTCGCTCGTGGTGGTCCGATTGTTGTTTGAGTTGCTAACACCGGAGGAGGAGGGAAAAGGGGGACCATTGTCCACCTTGGCACTGGAATCGGGCAGAGCGCGCAGCTCGCTGATGGTGGGAACGCTCCTGGGAATATACCTGTGCAAATCCTCGCTCACATAGTCCTTGATCAGCCGCATGGCATTGTGGAGCTTCAATCTGCAAGGCAAACCGTGTTGGTAATCCAAAGTGATTCTTATCGCCTATTTACTCACTTCTTGAACAAAGCAAACAAAGTCTGAACGGTGTGGTTGTACTGCCCGCCCCAAATGTTGAGGAACTCGTTCGACGCAGACCTGCCCCGCTGCTTCTGACTGCTTATCTGCTCCACTTGGTCCGGATAAAGCTTCACGGCCGTCGCCAGCTGCAGCCACACGTCCAGGGCGTCCAGGTGGGCACACAGCTGATGACGCACCGGCAAAGGCAGAAGCCGGATAGCCATCGTGTCATCGATGTGGGAGCGCGACCTAGTCCTATTTCCGTTCGCCTGGTCCTGGGCCAGAGCCACTGCCTCGGCAGTTTCTGCGCCACTCATCTTGTTGGTTTGTGGGCGGGACAACTGGTTGGAGCTGATTCATGCAGTTTCCAGATGCATCCAGCAGGGGAAAGCGCCGATCGGATAAACCTGTTGCAAAGTAAAGATCGGGGAAAAATCCCAGCTTGACTCGATCAAAACACGGGCGATCTGGCACCGCTGTTTATAAGAGACTTTTTGCCATTTTCTGGGAAAAACGGAGTGTTCCTATATGCCTCATATGTGCAGTCTTGTCGAAGGGGTTTCTCCGCGGAAAATAACAGGTTGCAAGAAAAACTTAGTAAAAGTAATTAATTTCGCTGCGCTGTCTGGCAACGCTGTTGCACTGAGCGCTTCGTGACTTATTTCGGTGTGACCAGCTCCCGTGTGGCACGGAAAGCCAACGCTAACACTTTTATTACAGTTTTTAGGTTTGGTAACACTTTTTTAATGCAGCAACAACAACTCGGAACGGATTTAATTCTTTAATTCTGCAACATTTTTATCAAAAACGTTTATTAGCAAACCAGCGAATAGAAAAGCCTCAAGCTGGCGGAGAAAAAGGTTCAGATGGCGCTATGCCAGACATCGGTGGTAAGTGTAACGCTGGCTCTGCAGAGTTGAATTTTTGTACCAAACACACGGACACACAAGTGCACCAGGCAGACGCCCGACATATGGAAGGTTCACAGCCAGAAGCGGTGGAGCCTACTCCTGCTGTCCTCCCCTCCGGGAAAGTGAAAGTTTCGGTCGTTGGCCAGGGACAGGACAGATCCAGATAATGTATACATACATATGTTAACCGATACTGCAACGGCGGCAGTTTGTCTGTGTGTGTGCATGCGTGCTTGTGCACGTCAGACCGCCATGCGCTTGTATTGGTGTTGGCTGCGTTCGTTGCCTTGCATTTTTTTGGGTTGCCACCTCTCAAAGGTGAGGAGGTGGCTCCTAAGCATACAGTATTACTCCCAGCAGTAAGTTGGTTCTGCGTATGCTACTCTATCAGCGGTGGGGAACCCTTATCACCCCCCTGATAAAGCAAAACTGCGTACTAACACGACGAACATTTCCACTTATGTAGGTGACTCCAGCCACTGGGGGCGATTGCAGCAATAACAAATGTCGCATTCCGTGATACCGGTACATCTTTAAAAATATACTTATGTACATATAGAAAATGAAATGAATATAATACAAACATACATACATATGAATGCATTGTACATTCTTGAAAAGTTTTCGAGTAATGGAAAACTTGACTATCTCTAGTTTAATTAAATATCAGCAACTAGTAGTAAGAAAGACGTAAAATCGGATGTCTCGTGATAATACAACGAGTGTTAATATCAACACGAAACACACACGCTATCCACTGATTGCTCATGCAATCAGAACTTAATTATACACTATTAACACCCTCTTACCGCCTGCAGCTGAAGGTGTATCATGCCGTGATCGAGGATGTCATCACAAACGTGCGCGACGCCTTCCTGGACGAGGGCGTGGACGAGCAGGTACTTCAGGAGATGAAGCAGATTTGGCGTAACAAGCTGCTGGCCAGTAAGGCTGTTGAGCTGACCCCTGAGCCGGGCGAGGGCTCGCATCCACCGCCCATTGTGGCCAATAATCCAAAGGTAAGTCTTATATCATCCGCCTTCCTCACTGCTCATTGGGTGTGTGCATCCCCGTATTCGTGTGTCATTTTGTGTCACCATTAGTTTGTCAGACTCTGATTGATATTAGATATATATGAGACTATAAATACTATAAGTTTTATACATTGGCTACAAAGTTAACCATGTTAGTTTTGTTTGCAAAAAGAAAACCAAAGACTTAAACTTTTCTATGACAACTGGTATATAGAAATTTGATGCAAACCAATTCATTTAAATACAAAAAATGCTTTAAGAATTATAATTTAATAATAAACAAATGAAAGGCAGCACCTTTATATCAAATTGTGAAAAACTACATTATATAATACATTCTGGAGGCATTTCAACTAAGATATGTTGCTTTATCTTCCTTATGGCTACCAACAACTTCAACAACAACAATGCTACTGCGCCTCACCAACAACAACAACATCGACTAATGCGCTGCCTTACACATTTCCATTTCATAAAACATATTCACTCACTTACTCACTGCCATATACACATCCACATGCACACCTCGACTGCAGAACACTAAGGTAATAAAGCCAGCTGCTCCGAGAAAATCCAGGGAATAGGTCACTAATCGCATGTATTCCATTTTGCAGGCAGCCAATGCCAAGGCCAAGAAGGCCGCCGCTGCGGCCACATCACAGCCACAAATTGGCAGCAGCAGCTCGTCGCTCGTACTAAAGTCGGTCGCCGGTGGTGCAACGGGAAGTGGCATCAAAAACGGACTGGTGCCCATCAAGCAGGAAGTTAACTCACAGAACCCGCCGCCACTGCATCCGACCTCCGGCGCCGCACTGCTGCAGAAACAACAGCAGGCGGCTGGCGGTGGTGGACAGGCATCCATTCCAATAGTGGCTACGTTGGATCCCAACCGTATAATGCCAGTAAATGTGAGTTGAGATTAGTCTGAAATTGTTTTCAAAATATTCAAAATAACCTCTTATAAACATTTAAGATCACACTGCCCTCGCCAGCCGGCTCGGCAAGTTCGGAATCTCGCGTACTCACCATTCAAGTGCCTGCCTCGGCACTCCAGGAGAATCAGCTAACACAAATACTAACGGCTCATCTGATTTCCTCCATCATGACCTTGCCCACCACTTTGGCCTCGTCTGTGCTGCAGCAGCACGTCAATGCTGCCCTTAGCAGTGCCAACCACCAGAGTAAGTCTTAAGATCTGTAGCCTTTTGATTTTATTTAAAAAATTCTCCTCATCTTAGAAAATCTGGCCGCAGCCAAACAATTGGACGGTGCCTTGGACTCGTCCGATGAAGACGAAAGCGAAGAGAGTGACGACAACATTGACAACGACGACGATGATGATGTAGACAAAGATGACGATGAAGATGTTGAGCACGAGGATGCCGCCGAAGAGGAGCCCCTCAACAGCGAGGACGACGTCACTGACGAGGACTCCGCAGAAATGTTTGACACAGACAACGTGATTGTCTGCCAATACGATAAGGTAAGTCAACTCGATATGTTCGATCTTTAAATCTGACAAAACTCCACTTACAGATCACCCGTTCACGCAACAAATGGAAGTTCTATCTCAAAGATGGCATTATGAACATGCGTGGCAAGGATTATGTATTCCAAAAATCGAATGGTGACGCCGAATGGTAAACCATGACCGCAGTGTGAATATATACATACATATATAAAAGACATCAAAACAAAGAGCCTCATCGAATGCGCCTTCGGCCTTGAACAATAAAAGCTGACTAAACCAGGACCCCCTGACCCTCTGGAAAATTCGACCAAGCGAGAGCCAAACGAAGTATATTATTTTAGTTCCATCTGTTTTTGTATACTAAGGATCCGCGAGCTGTGTTGCAATTAACCAACTCAATTACAATGTATTTAACAAAAGTCGCATACCTATTGTGTCAATAAACGGAAACACTTGTGAAGTAAGTAGTCGGTATGTTCTTTTATCCAAGTGAAAGCAGAACAGAACCCGGCAACCCGCAATTCGTATATCCTTTCAGAGTATAAAACTGCAAAGCAGTGAAGGAGTCGTTTCCGACTAGTAAAGGAGCTCATTAAATTTACACCAAGCAAACTTTCTGCATCTTACATATTTTTAAATTTCAAAAATTCCCGTTTCACCCACCTTATTGTTCATTAATAAAACATTCGCACTCATTCAAAGTATGTATGTATTTATATATAGACATGTACACGTTCATACGCTACATGCGCACTTATGGTAGATCTTGCAGTTAAGGAGTACAGCATTTTACATTTTTTTTTCAACACTTACAACAAGAGCGCTGCTAATTGTCAAGGGTCGTATCCTATGTTCAACTCTCATTGTACACTCACTGTGTGGTCATCCGTCGTCGTCGATCTATGTACATACATACATGCACGTATCGTCCGGCTTGGGTCGGGTCGGGGCACATCCTCCTTATTGCCTATCGCCTAAACAATCTAAGTAATGACTAAAGATGTGTGTGTGTGTGTGGAGTCTGGCTTACGATCCTAAACTAATGAAGATGTATGTCTGAGGGTGTCTACATGTGCGTGTGTCTTGTTTTGTGTGTGTGTTGTGTGGATTGTTGCGGCTTCTAGTTTTATTTTAATTCAATCGAAAGTGAGATGGGCTTGGTTATATCGTTCACAATTTTTATACAACTCTCCACTTGCCGTTCATCGCTATCGCAGCGCAGTTAAATAAATCGAAAATAGGTGTAAAAGTAAGTTAAAAACAATTTATAATATAGCACAACTCTCGCTCTAGGTTAGCCCTATTTGGTTTTGCCCGCAAACAAACTTGTGCTAAGCACCAAGCCGAAGAATCGCCCTCCTCCGAGTGTCAGGGTGTCATTGCAGGACAATGCCTTGCACATACACAAAGATACATAACTGACTAAATAAACATTAAGTCGTCAGTAGCGCAATGTTGATTTCCTTGACCATCTTAACGCGATGCAGCATACGCTGAAGTGCGTCCTGGCCCAGAGCCTGCGTTGAGTACCAAACGGGGGAGTCGGGCACACAGGATCGCTCCGGTTGCAGATAAAATACATCGTTTCGGGTCTTCACGCTCTCGGGGCTGTTGGTTTAAATTTAATAATATTTAATTAGTAACAGTTTATCATAATGTACTAGACAGCTTAAGATTGACGAAATTACTGATATATTGTTACTTTTATATACTGTTATATATCGACATAACGTAACGGTATAAAAGTATATACAATCGGAAAATTTAATAATTTTTTTAAATGTTCGATTTTTATAAGTTTGATTTAAGAAACTGGAAAATATTTTCGATTATATTAAGGATTGACTATAATGAGTTATGAGTTTTTGTTCGATATTTCGTTTTGATTTTTCAAACTTTTGATCGGACTTTTTCTTTCAAAAAACATCCTCAATATAGTTTCTACACTTACCATTTTGAGAGATAAAATTCGTAGAGCCGGACGGGACAACGCAGTGGATTTTCCTCGTTCTCCTGCTGTTCGTACACCTTCTTCTTTCGTGGATTGGCATCTGGTTATACAGAATAATAGAAAACAAATTAGATATCGGTTTCCGATGGAAATGTGTAGTTAACCTACCCAGACCCGCCTGCGGTGGATAGAAGCGTAAGAGGACGTTTCGTGAGCCAGGAACTTTGGAATTCTGTGACGAGCGCTTCCAGTGCTTCATAATGTGCGAGAAGGATAACTGCATGTGCTCCTCCACAGTCTGAAACAAAAAATCAGGATGATTGCCCACTCAAAGCCATGGGAAATAAGAAAATAATTACCGTCAAATTAAAGTGCTTTGTATTGAAGAACATAAGAGTACTGAGCAACACGTGCGGTGAGTGTGCGCCCAGTTGTTTGCACTCCCATAAATGCTCCTCCTCTACGCGAGTGACAATGTATTCTGTGAATGGAATAAATCACCATGATCTAAGGACATCTCGTTGAAACGCACGGATTCTCAACTTACGCGAATCGTTGTACAGCACGGAGAACTTGCGTGCCACATCGTCCAGGCACTCTGTAAACCGCTCGTAGTATGGATCGTAGAATATGTTGTCTATGCGTCCATTTACATAAAGATATTGCTGAATGCCTGGGGAACACACAAGAACAAACAAGTTAATCGAGTTACTTCGAACTATTGGAAGCTTAAAACATACCCAACACTAGGTAATATATGGTATCCGGCGCATATTCCGTGCCATTGGGCTTCCGCACCTCCTTGACAAACAGACACAGCGAGTAGTTCAGCTCGTCGGCGGTCATCTGGAGGAGTTCTGTCTTGAACGGCCGCCGGCGCATCGAACTCTTCTCAATGTCCGCATTCTTGGTCATCACCCACTGCTTCCAAGCATTCACGCCGAAAGTGTACTTGAGGAACATCTGGGCGTCCGGTTTCTCCTGCGGCTGCTGGGCCTGCTGTGACTGCTGCTGCAAGGCCGTGTGATCCATTTCGCTTCCCCGCTGCCTTTTAACCGGCGATCGATTCCGATTGGGCGACTCAAGGACAGAGCCAACGCCTCGCTTACGACCACGCGGTGATCTGGAGAGACAGAGGGATTTTATAGTTATAAAAAAAATAAATAATAATTTAAAAGCTCACAAAAACATGACTACCATAGAGACCTACAAAATCTCTACTAACCTGTTCGTGGCATCGAGCATGTGGTGCTGCTGATCCAAATGATGCACCATCTGACCCATGCCATCATGACCCATGGGAGACTGGCTGCTGATCGTGTTCGCCGTCATGGAAGTTTCAAGATCCACCGTCGACGTCTGGTGGTGGTTGTCATAGTCGCCCGTGGCCATTTTAAGGGCAATCTGTAGCATATCGTCGCCGTAGGGATTGTGTCCAGACCCACTGACATCCACCACTTGTTGCTGCTGCTGCTGTTGCTGGGCAACGGACTCGAGACTGTTTTGATACTGCAGACTTACCAAGCCTGGATCCGGCTTAATCTCATTGTCCGAATCGGAGTCCGAGTCGTGCTTCTCTTCGGCCACCATTTCGGCCATCATAAGCAGCTCTGCCTCCAGAGGATCCTCAGGCATCTTGTCCTGAATCTTCTTGATCTCCTTAAGTATGCCCTGCGAGGTGTTGCGTGTGGTGGGTATAAAAATGGGCACCGGGATGGGCAGCGGAATGGGGACGGGCACTGGGAACGGAGCCGAGTACATGTACATAGGCTGCGGCACAAAGATTGGCACCGGCACCGGGATGAGCACCTTGTTCGAATAGTCCTTCTCCGTTTGTGTGGCGCAGTCACGCACGGACGGTGTGACCTGCTCGCCGGTGGACACCATCATGGGCTTACAGCTGATGTTGACGTTTCGCACAGCCTTCGGGTATGGCGGCACTGTGATGATCTTTGTCTCCGACACCGTTGGTGGTCCAAATTCCATGGTTGTGGTGGTGTTCCGTCGGCCGGCGATACTGTGCGGGCTGGCCAATGGTATCGGTGACGGCGAGCGCGCGCTGTAGTCCACATGCTTGCGGGGCCTTCCCCGAGGTGCTGAAGAGTGTCCCCCCGGAATAGAGAGTAGCGGTGGCGGTGAAGTGCCCGAATCCCGGGGACGGCCACGCTTGCGCCGCACAGTCACATTACCAATTCGAGCTTCGGTTTCCCCGCTGGCCAGCGACTGGACGGTAGATATTACCGGTAGCATTGGTCCTCCGGACTTTTTGGCTCCCAAACCGGCATTCTTTCCAGCCTGCAAAATAATAGAAGACAAGCAAAATTAGTAATTATTAAAATGCATTTCTATAATCCAGGTCGGAAAGTAAAGTACCCCAAGAAGACGACCTCTTGTCAGCATCACAGAGTGCGCAGAGATCAAAACAAAATACTCAGAAAAGCAAAGGAGCTGTTGATTGAAATGTTTAAGCTATTGGTCTTTTTAGCAAGTAAACCGGTAACTATATTGTGAGAATTTCTCATCACAAAAAGGAAGATTTTCCTTTGAAGTTTTCGAGTTATTTATCGAGTTTATTTCTTAGTGTGTACACACAGGAATGTTTGCACGAATTTCTTATTGGACAATTTACTTTATGTAATTCAAAACTAACAAGCTTGAAGAACTGGATGAGTCGATTTTAAACATTTAAATGCGGTTATAATCTGAATATATGCGGGCATCGCATGAAGAAGTGCAGGAAACAAAACTAAAATCCCATAACCGGTAAAAAATTTGCGCTAAATTTGAAGTTTTATAGGTATAACACACTGCAATGCGACTATGACACAGTAGCTTTTAATGCAGTGTCATAGAAGAATTTTTGTAAACCATCTACTCACCTGATGCGAGAGTTTCAGCTTGACGCGCTTGGGCAGACCCGTGGGGAATGGGGCGGCATCCTTTCTTGAACCACGCGCGGACATAAGCTGAGACTTTGAACTGCTGGCGGCACCACTGCTGCTGCTGCTGGGCGGCAGGTCGCTGTCCAGTGTGAGAGGAGCGCGGGCGAACTGGTTCTGGAATTGCATTACGCACTGGTAGGTGCAGAAGTTGCGCATCGAGGCATCCGACATGGTCAGGTGATACTGCGGCGTATTGAAGTTACTGCAGTTGTCGCACTTGGTCACCGCACGTGCCGATATATTACAACTGACACCGTGCATGGTCAGGCAGTTGATGGAGCAAGTGAGCGTCTCCTGATCCTGCTGGCCGCCCACTTGGTAGATCATGTCGAAGTTGTACTTCTTCACCTTGCACCATTGGCACGAGACGATATGGCGGTTCACGATGATGAATACGTTGATGCAGACGCGCGAGCAGAAGACCTTGGGCGTCTGCTGCTCGTTGTAGATAGTGTATGCCTCAGCGCTGCGGCGCTCAAAATACTTGGAGCACATGCCGCAGGGATCTGCGTTCACGTTACTCACGAACTTAAAGGCCGAGAAGCAGGGGTTTGAGCAGAAATAGTGTTCCCTGTCCTCCAGCAGCATCTCCACACGCACAGGTTTTTCGTTATTGCAGACACCGCACACGTCCGTGCGGAGTTTTCGGCGTGGATTGCACATGCTGTCGTAGCGACGAAGGCACGTCTGCGAGCAGAAGTCCTTGAACTGATCCTTATCGCCCACTGGGGCCAGGAAGCCCTCCTGACCGCCGCTGATGTCCTTCTGACAGCAGGAGCACGTCTTGAGGCCCTTCTTGAAGGTGTTGAGGCATGCGGCGCAACAGAACTGCCGCACATCGAATCCAAACCGCACGCAATATTTGCCCAGAGCCGTGGAGCTCACCTCCTGCTTGCAGGTCTCGCAATTGGAGCCAATTGTGCGCTGGTAGCTGCCCAGGCATACCTCGTTGCAGAAGTCCATGGTCTCCCACATGAGCTGCTTTTCGTTGGTATTAATCTCCGACTCACAGTCGGCGCAACGCCTCCGGAAGCTCTCGATCCTGTCCAAGCGCGCTGTCTCCGCCTCGGCGAGCGTCCTGGCCACTACACTGCTCTCCGGCCGCTTGCCGGAAGATGAGTTTTGAGGCGGCTGGAGCGTGGTGGCGCCTATGTTGCGCACTCGGATCGAATGGCGCTTAAGCTTGAACTTGTCGGGCTCTTCTGCGTTGAGCAAGTTAAAGCAGTCGTCATTACAGATGTAGAAGCAGTCCTGGTCCTGTTTTATGAAATACTTGCAACGAGTTTTCTCCTTGCATTGCAGGCATTCATGCGTTGTTTTGGCGGGGGTCGTACCCTCATCGCCCTCGGCCTCGGGGCCTTCTTGTTGCTGCTCCTCCTCCTGCTCGGCGCCCTCATCTCGGACCACCTCTTCCACAAGGAACTTCTTGCGGCGCACAAAGAACTTGCCGGGCTGATCGGCCAATAGGGCATTGCAGCAGGCGGTGTCGCAGAGGTATTCGAACCCGCTGGGAGCCGGCTCCTGCGGTGGCTCCTCTGCGTTGTCGCCTTCTTCCTTCTCCTTGTCTTTATCCTTATCTGATTCTGATTCGTCGGATCGCTTGTACCGGAAGCCGCAGTTCTTCTCGTTGCCGCACTGTTTGCACTTCTCCACACTTCCCACAATCCAGCTGATTATGATCTTTGCCACTGCTCCAGGCTCGCCACCTGCGTCGCATGCTGCCTCGGTCTCCTCGGCTGTGGGTTCGTCTGCGTCGGGAGCATCGCCGGCGGCCTCCTCATCATTGCCCGCTGCTTCGTTTCCATCATCTGGTAGACGAAGCAAAGTAAAATATTTCGATTAATTCGATTCATTTTGTGTTGAGATAAAATGAGGATAAAATAAGGATTTGAAATTATATTGACACGAGTATTTCTTCATTGAGGTGTGGAAATAAAGATCCTTATCGAATTAAGCAGCTAGCTCTAAATTAACCCGTAAGGTACAAGATAGAACAGAAAATAAAATCGATTAATCGATGTTTCAATTAAGGGATACATTTCAGATTTAATCGAAAAAGTTCTATACGTAGAAAAGTTCAGTACAAAGTTAAACATATTTTTTATATATTATTTATAATTTATCATTTTTAATATGATTTGTGCTCTTTTAGGAATTCGGTATTCTGGACTGACCTAGTAAAAAAATCAATGTTATTTTAAAAATATCATATTTTCGATGTCAAATTAACAGTGAAGAACACACAAAGAAAAGCTTAAATGGAAAACAACCATAAAATTAATTTGGTTTTTGATTTTAATCGATTATAATCGATTCATTTTTAGAATCTTTTATTAAAATATCGCTTCATTTTCATCGAAAGTTTTGATAAAAAATTAAATTATTAACGAGGATATGGAAAAAATATTGGGGGAAAGCAAACAGTAATATCACCTAATTTAAAATTATTAAAATGTTGACCAAAAAATGCTGAAAAAAACGTAACTAGTTCGGTTTCGGTAAATTTTAAAATAGTTTTAAAATCCCCAGATAGAGATTAAAAAAAAAATGGAAAACAGTTAAACAGAATTTCGAGGCATTTGCAGTTAGAAGAAACCAGAGAAACTCATCAATTCTGACAAAAATTAAAGTCTATAAAGCTCACAGAATCAAAGCAAAAGAAATCTTGCGGGATTCGCGCAAATATAATGCTAAAATCCGCTCACCTTCGGCACTCTCTGATGCCGCCGCCTCCTTAGCTGCAGCTTGAACATCTGCCGGCAAAATTGTGATAAAACAATTGATATGGGATGGGACATTTGAATACTTTCTAGTCTATCGCACATACCAGTAGGTGTAGACGGGGATTCATCGGTGGGTCGATCCAGAGCTGCAGGCGTACTCTCATCTTCTGGATCTGCAGATCCGTCTCCCGTGGATTTTGCAACGTTGTCGGGTGTTTTGGGCTGACGCTCTTCAGCTTCCTCTTCCTCGGCGGCCTTCTCTGCGTTCTCGCGGGCCTGTTCCTTTTCCGCTTCCGTCACCTCAGTCTCGGGATCGTCGGGAATGAGGCAAACATCCGACTCCTCGGGCTCTAGCACGTTCTCAACAGTTCCTGGAGTTAGTATAAAATATGGAAAACGTTAACTTATTGAGAATAAAATATATAACCTAAATTTAATCGCACTTTAAGGGGGTCTTCTCATTCAAAAGCCGTTTTTTGGACCCTTTTTAAAAAAATTCTTATTTGAAAACGCAAAGAATAATTGAAAATTTTTTTTATTTATTGAATTCAAAAATGTTCAAAGTAACTAAAAAAGTTGTTCTTGCCTCGATACGAGGGTTGTTCAAAGAGTAATGAGACTTCAAACTTGGTGGTCGAAAAAAAGGTGTCGTCCTGGCGGCCACGATTCAGGGTCTCCAGAGCGTCCGAATTGAAAAATAAAAACGGGGTTATAATCAGAATTGATGTCATTTTCGGGTGACGGAACAGATTTTTTTTAAAAATTTTTTTAAACAAAATGGCGGCCATTCAAAAAAAAAATTTCGATTTCGGGCTTTTTTTTTGTAGTTTAGTGTAAAAAAAAAAATAGAAAAAAAATTAAAAAAAATCTGTTCCGTCACCCGAGAATGGTGACAATTCTGCGTCGACTCCACTTTGTTTCATGAAAATCGGTTCAGTTGAACTGGAGATATCATGGCCGCCAGTTCGAAAAACGTGGTTTCGAGATAAACGCGTTTGAAGTTTGAAAAAAGCTCATTTTGCATAGATCTTGCTTCACAAAAAAGGCTGTATCTTCTAAAGTATTTCAAATTTCTAAAAATCCTTTTGGGGACATATACACACCATCCCAAGCTATAAATAAATGCAAAAAAAAAAAAATCGAAAAAAAAAAGTTGCCCAATGAGAAGACCCCCTTAATTCGAATTACATTGTATCTTACCATCGCCGTGCTCAGCTTCTCCGCCTTCCTCGGCTGCTTCTTCAATTTGCTCAGATTCCGCGTCAGCATCCGCATCCGCGATGTCATCATCTTCGGCGGTCGCATCTTTTTCCGCCTCTTCTTGATCGGCCCCGGTTTCCCGATCCTCCAGGCTGGTATCCACCTCGTCCCGGCCCTCGGGGGGCTCTGTATCGTCCGCATGGTGTGAGTCCCCGCCCACAGAGCGCATTTCCACATCATCCGCAGCCTCTGGCTCGTGTGATGCCTCCTCTGCTTCCTCTTCCGGGGCTTCTCCGTCAGCATCGCCTTCGCCTTCTGCTTCGGCATCACCTTCAGCATCGTCCACATCCATGGCTTCATTAGATCCCGGACCCCCATCCACTGCATCGGTATCAGCATCGGCGGCAGCAGCTGCAGCTTCCTCCTCTTCCTCGGTGGCTTTTAGGGCATCTGTCTCTTCCTCAGCGTCCTCCTGTTCTTCCTGAGGATCAACGCTAACCGCTTCTGTCTGATGTTCACCCTCGGCGGCTAATGGCTCCTCACCCTCCGCATCTGCTTCGGCGTCTGCCTCTGCTTCGCCCTCCACAGGATCTCGTTGAGGTGTATCCTGCTTTTCCTGCGACTGGTTTTCATCGGCGTCCAAAGAGCCCTCCGATATCTGTTCAAACTCGTCTTCGGGCTCCTTACCGGAGTCCTCGGGCGGCACTTCACTGTCCTGGGCAGGTGCATCCTCCGCCGGTGGCGAGGCTGGCGTGTCTTGAGTTTCTACTGCCGCTGGCGGCTGTTCCTGCTCCTCCTCCGTCCGGGGGGTGGCCGACTCAGGGCGTGCGTTGGAGTCCGCGCCGAACGAGTCTAGGCTGGATATCTCTTCCATTTCAATTGCTTTTTAGTTCTAGACGGTCGTTGTTCGCCTGTTTATATAGACATGAACTGCAAAGAAAACAAACAACAAACAAATTGTTAGTGCGCGCATTTCGATAACTATCGGCTGGCTAGCGCGCTATCGGCTGGCCAGGGCCTCACACCATTGCCGCCTAAAATGTGTACACACACATGCACAGGCCCACCGACGCACACAGGCACACACGGGCGCTCCACTGTGGTGTACAGTGCACGAAAAAACAAAACATGCGCCGCCAGAAAACTGCCTGCTGTCCGCTGTGCCCGCTTGCGCGGTTAACTTGCTTATTATTTACTTGCACTTGCATTAACTTCCGGCGTTGCACTGGCCTCGGCTTAGGCGCCGCCTTTTTATTTTCTATTTATTTGTAAACTAAGTGGCTGCCGCGGGACCCGACCTTTTCGGCACGAGTGTGTTAAGCGAGCGCGTCTATTGCCGAAATTAGCTGCCTTTCATCGCAATTGGGATGAGCACATCATTAGCGGTCGGCTCTCGGTTCGCGAAACTTTTCACAAATTATATATACACTTTTCGCAATGTGCAATTTCGCGTTTTTCTAGCCACTGTAACTCGGCTTTATGTCAAGCAGGAAAAATGGCGCACCGTGTATCTAAATCCCAAAATCCCGTGCAATACGGTCCTTGCATAACGCGTTCGGTATATACCAAAAAATACTATGAATTTGGCGAGTAAAACGAGTTGGCAGGCCCGAAAATGGCGGCACCGAAAATTAAATTTTATTATTTATTTTTCAACTTTACAAAAACGGTTGATTAATTATTAAGTAAATCTGTTGACTATATACAACCAAATCTATCCTAATTGTTAATGAAGTTTTAAAAGCTTTTATTTAGAAAATAGTTTTTAAAAAACTAGACTTGCTGAAAGTTAAGACATAGAAACTGCCAAAACCAGTTTATTTTTCAATAATTTTAAGTTTTTAAAGTTTAAAATTTTAAGGAAATCCTTAATTTAAAAATAAAATCTAGATCACTTTAATAAAACTCTATGGAATGCTTTAATTTTTCTAAGATAATTTAAAATATCGGGAGGACTTTTGAGCCCCCGGAATTTAAAAGATGTTTTGAAAGTAATTTATGATGTTTCTGAAGTGCAGGAACTTTCTGAAACTGTTGTACACCAATTAGTCCCAAAATCAAATAAAAGGATAATGTACAGTCCTAGGGGATCCTTTATTGGAGAGTGTGGGGGCAACAAACAAAATCGCTTTCAGGATCGGCTTACTTAATATATACTAAAAATACAATATTAATACCCGAACGAATCTTACAAATCAATCAACGGAAGCTGGACCTCGGCCTGGAGTCCTCTAGGAAGCCGTGGTCATGGGCCTGCACACATCCAGCTGTTGCTTCATCCCCCCCTCGACGTCCTCGTCAATTACCAGGCGGCCGCTGGGCTTGACGCTGAGAAAGTCCTCGCTGTCCAGCACCACATCATCATCACCATCATCATCGTCCTCTTCGCTCTCGAAAAGCTCCTGATTGTGCTCCATTTTGCTCCAGCCGTTGCTCCTGCCCTGCACCTTGGAGGACGCTGGTGTACGCTCCACCTTGTTATCCTCTTTCATATGTACCAAATCGGAGAATTTAATCCCAAGTCCGGTGCTATTCGTCTCGAATTTGCAGACCACGGCAATGCGCAGATTCATGATCAGCGAGTAGAGTTTCGCCGCCGGACCCACCTTCAGGTTCAGGTACTTGTCCAATTCCTGGCGCCCCAGCATCAGTAGAGCCCTGCCGTCGAGTTCATGTTCAAATATCACACGGGCTATTTCCGTGGAGTCCATGGCGCGCTCCATGAACTCGTAAACATCCCAGGTGGTCCAGTGCAGCGGATTGCTACGGATCTGGTCCTGATTAAAAGTGCTGTTCTGTTTCCAAAGGCGGTAGTTCTGAAGGAGCTGCGGGCCGTAACCCTTCAAGAAGCTTTTGGCTATGTCCAGGGTACGGGCACAGGGATCTGGTTTCTGTTCCTCCTTAGCCACATCTACACCCACGTCCACCTTCTGCTTCTTTTGCATCTTTTTCTCCGCGCAAGGTGGCGGTGTAGCCCGTTTCTTTGACACCTTTGGAGGAATTTCCTCCTTAATGGCCACCTGCTGGACATCTGGAGTAACTGCCTTCCTTGGATTCATCGTCGGAACTCCTCGCCTGATCTTATCGGGCGCCACTCGCGCTGGCTTCACCGTCTTGGAGCGCCACTGGCGCCAGTTCTCTGGCGCATACGGGCAGCAATCCCGCAAAGCGTGCACACTGAGATTAAAGCGCTTGGCATTGCCGAAACCTCGACAGCCCTCCACGTCGCAAGGCATCACGGGCGTGGCCTGCAAATATCCCGGCGGCGTTTCCAAATCGTGCGAGGTGGCCTCACACCAGCCGATGGGATGCAGGTCCGGACTGTCGTCCTCCAGCCAGAAGTAATACTCTGACGGCCAGCAATCCAAGTGGATTTGGACGCGATAGCCTTTGCGGGTTACTATGGTGGCCGGGCGAATTAGGCAGGGATTGCGTTGGTCCACCACCTCCAGCTTCATGCGTGCTTGGTACTCCATTGGCTGGCGTGGTTGAAACAGGTGCTTCGGGGCAGCCACCCCCCCGACATCGGCTATGTAGTCCGGCCAATTGAAGACGGTCGTCTTGAAATCCGGTGGAACTATCAGCTGCTGGCGATTCTCGTGCCAGCCGCAGGGATGGATGTAGGGTGAACTGACGTGCACCCACAGATCGTAGCAGTCGTCCCAGCCATCGAAATGGACGCGCACACGCTCGTCTAGTATATCCGCCACGGTGGCCACACAAATCTTGCCGGTGTCGTTCAGATCCTCTGCCTCCAAGTGCATGCCCACGGCGAATCCGTTGGAAATCCCCGTCTGTTGCGGCATTTTTAAATGCGCAAACAGCGCCCGCGGTGCAGCCTTGGCGTTGGTCTTAATCAGGTAGCGGCTCCAGTTGAAGCGCTCTGGACAGTAGTCCCTGGGCGCTTGCAGCAAGCGACCCGTTTTATCGCACCAACCGGGTGGGAAGATGTCCTGCGAGTCGGCATTTACCCAAAAGTCGTACATGGACGAATAGCCGTCAAAGGTGAGCTTCAGCCGATAGCCACGCACCTCAGCGATGCTGCACACACAAAACAAGGAGCAGTTCTCCGGATCGATGGCTTCCAGCTTCATTCCGCGTTCGAAACAGTTGGGGCTGATCGGGAAGGGGTTGAGGAACAGGTGGATGGGCGCCGCCACATCCCGGCCTTTGGCCTTGAGGTATTCGCTCCAACGGAACGGTTTACGCAGCTTATCATTATCCTTTGGCCGCTGCAGCTGATCCTGTATGTCAGGCAGGAATTTCGATGGTTGATGCTTGCCGTTGCCGCGGCTCACCTTGGTCTCCGGTTGAGAGCTGCTGGCCGGCAGACGACGTTTCTGCGACCGACGCACACAGCACACAGAGCAGTAGTCTGCGGGGATGAAAAAAAGGACATTGAATTAGAGATTAGGTTAAAATCCTTGCAGGGGATATGCATCTTACGTGGGGCCAGGAAGTCAGCGGCGGGACCGTGGCAGTTGCAGCGCTGGCACAGGTACAAAAGTGGATGGATGCTGCCCGAGGGCCTTCGCCCGGGGCGATCGAGCAGGGCCCGCTCAAAGTAGCTGGCAGGTCCCGTTCGCTGCTCGCAGCGCTCGTTCAACTGCAGCAGGTTGAAGCGGTTTAGCTCGAAGCACATCGAGGAGTTCTGCAGCTTGGCCGGCTGATGGCCACGCCATCTCAGCATGGGCAGATTTTGGACCATTCTCTTCTTGAGGCCATTGGCTCGCGACCTGGGCATCCTGTGTAGGGATGAAGACACCGTCGGTTCAGCTGCAGGTTTGCTGGGCGATGCTGTGTCCGAGGCAACGGATGATGCTCCGGATGAGGGCGGTGTGTTGGGCACCTGCTCGTCACAGCGCAGCGATTGCTCAAACTCCTCTTTGGAAAGCGGAAGGGTTTCCGCTTTGATGATGCTAATACCAGGCAGTAGGCTTATTTCTTCTTCAATGTTCTTGGCGGGCGCAATGATTTCCTCCACATCGCTGTTGGACGTACTGCTGGCGGAGGAGGAGGCCTTTCTGGAGGAGGATAGCGTTGTCACGCTTGAGTTTTTCCGCACTAGCTGAGATCTAACGCCAGATTTTGTGGTCGTGGAGATCGTTATCCCAGCTGGAAGAATAGGCAGAATGATCTCCTTCCGAATGGGCTCCTCCTCGTTCTCGTCGTCGTCGTCATCTTCAATGGTAATGGTCTCGATTGGAGCACTGGGCTCTTCGATAACATCCACCTCCTTGGCCATAATGGCCACCGAGTGGCGGCGCTCGCTGCTGCCAGCTACTGGCGGAGTCTGCTCAGGAGTGGCCACGAAGGACTTGGAGCGTTGCAGCTTCGGCGACTTGGGCAAATCCTTGGGCTCCAACTGCTGTAGTTGCGGAGGTTCCCTGGTCTCCGGTTCTCGGGGCTTGGACGGTTCCTGAGCCACCGGTTGTCGGGGCTTGGAAGGTTCATGTGCCTCCGGCTGTTGGGACTTCGGAGGTTCCCTGGCCTCCGGTTGTCGGGGCTTGGGAGGCTCCTGGGCCTCTGGTTGTACAGGCTTGGGAGGTTCCTTGACAGTTTCCTTGGAGTCTTCTTTCTGCTCCTCCAGAATGTGAGAATTAATTGCCTTCGTTGTTGTTTGCTGCTTGGGAGGTGCCTTGGCCTCTGGCTCCTTCACTTTGGGAGGGGTTTTTGGCTCACGGAGCTGCTGCTGTTCCGACTGTTGAAGTGGAGCATCCTTGGACTCCGACTGAGCTATCTTTACTGGCCCATTCAGCATGATTTCCAGACTTGAAAGCGCTCTGTGGTTGTTTTTAAGATGCGGCATGGCGATCTTCTCCTCCATTGACTCAAAGGCCGGCACAGTGATTATATCTTGACTGGCGGCCAGTGGTACCTTAATGGAGGTTGGTTTCGGCTTAATCAGGCTCTTGGTATTGCTAGGGTAGTTATTGTTGTTATTGTTGGTGGGCATGGCTTTGGGCACCTCCTCGGCTACCAGAGGAGTGGCCTTGATAGGAATAACCGAGTTTTTAATATCCTTTTCCCCGACACTGCTGCTGCGGATGCTGCTGGGCATTGACATTACACTCTTCACCTGGGCGCCCTTGCCCAGGACAATGGATTTTGGATTGGCCTTAAACTGATTGAATTTCAACTGTAACTTGTCCACTGCCACCTTGCTGAGTATGAGCGGGGCACGTGGCTTGAGTGGATTGGCCAGCAAAGAGATTTGGCCGGCTCCTCCGGCCGCGGGTATCTGGACGGCAGCTACAGGGGCTGTGAAAACGAAATGAAAGAAGTGGGAATTACCATCAATTGGCAAGGGAATTTAATTTGTTTTCTTTAATTAGTCATCATGCGAAGGCGGGCGAGGGCAAGGCAGTCAGTGATCCTCAAGTAAATGAAAAATCGATCTCTCCACCTCCTCCTCCGCCTAAGATCTTTTTTTGGTTTTGTTTTTATTGCAGCTGCAAAAACCTGATCGTCATCACTGCTCGCTGCTGCTGTTGTTGTTGCTACCCCGCCTTTTGCATACTTATTGCTATTGATAAAACCAGCAGCCAGCATATATACAAGAGAGAAGAGTAACCAAAGCCAGGGAAATTAACGTAAAGAAACCGAAATGAAAATGAAAACGTTTCTTGGACAGAAACGTAAACGAACCCAATGCCGAGGGTTAAGTATATGCCACACACAGACCCAATTAATTTTTGGAACGTTTCAAACCGTTTTCCGTGTTATGAAATGTGCAGCAGTCAAACAACAACTAAAAACTAAACTCGCAGCAAGCAAAAGCCAGCGACTGTCAGCGGCAGCAGCAACAACCACACACTGCGAACAACAACAAAAGTAAACTATATAATAATAAAAAAAAAAAAAAAAAAACAATTTACGCACACACACACTATACAATCTCTTTTGGGGGAAAACACTCGGAGCATTTTCCACTTTCCGAATCGGAAACGGAGATCGCACTTAGCTTATATAATAACCCACTTACCCGCTTTCTGGGGAAGCTCTGATTTAGCAAGCAGTGATCTGCTTGGTGTAGCTCCGCTGGTTCCTGCTACTACTGCTGCAGCCGGAGTCGGAGCTGTTGTCATGGTGGCTATGCCATTATGAATGGTGAGTTGGGACTTGTTCAACGCGGGACCCGAACGGATGACCACTGGCTGGGCATTGCTTGGGACTCCTCCTGCTCCTGCTCCTCCCATGGTTTTCCTTGGAGGTGCCAAAATGGCCACTAGTGGTTGGTTAGGATTGTTGGACGATGGCACTAGCTGGAAAAAGGGAGCTGACCCTGCGGTTGTTCCGCCTGTCACGGATCCAGTCTTTAATGTTTTCGGCACTATGTTCACCGCCGTCAGTTTGGACTTTAAGGTGGTTTGGATCTGATGAGGGACACCAGTAGTCATGCCCGGCTGGATATTGCTGAAGGTGATGTTGCAGGATTTGCTGCTAGCCATCGAGGAGAGGGGAACAAAGCGGACCTCCTCCTTTCGGGGCCCATTAACCAGGACACTGTTTCCTGCGGTACTTTGACCGCCACCGCCGCCGGAGGACGACACTGATGACATGGTGACTGCCAGCTCGCGCTGCTGCTGCATCTGCTTGGCCTCCTCGCTGGCCAAGGACAAGGGCAACATGGTGGTATCCTTTTGCTTAAGTCTATTTTCTACGTTTAGTTTTTAGCCGGATAAACCGGAAACAGGATAAAGGTGAAACGAAAGATTATTTTCCGTTCGCGTCTCGTTTTCGTAACTCTAAAATTTTTGGACGTTGAGGCGCACAAAAGTTTCTGGCATTTTAACACACTCCGCAGCCCGGGGGTTGGTATTTTTTTCTGTCTTGTTTTCACTATTTTCCGACGAGTGGTACCTCCTTGTCACAGTTTTCTTTCACTTTTTAGTTATTTACAACTCACTCCTTTTCATAAAATGTTTGCACTTGCTTGGAGAGCTACGCTTATAAAGTTTTGAGTTAAAGTTATAGTTTTCGCGCGTTTATTTGCACACACAATTATGCATATTTATTGATTTGGTATTATACCAGACAATGGTATTTTTGTCATACGCAAATTGACAGTTCGGTTCGGTATTGTTTAAACTCTTTACGGTTATTTTGCAAATTACAACCACCTGTAAAAGAGGTAAACGTTAAAATTGATTAGTTACAGTATTAAATACCTTAAAAGAAGAAAAGTTTAGAATATAAATGACGAGATGATAAGATTTTTCCACACACCCAGCACATTTGATTTGAACATTTTATGAAAGCCAACACAAAACCTTTCCTAATTTTATGCTTGAAAGTAAATATTAAATAAGCAATCATCGGTTAAACACCTAATCAGGCGTCTTGATTACAAGATCTACATATTTTATTACACATATGAATTTGGCGAAACGCCATTTTTGACAATGGCCCACCGCTCCGCAGTATTTTCTGGTTGGCCGTCTGCGGTCACACCGGATACATATTGAATTTTGATACCATTTTTAGTTATGCTTTATGGAGATTTATGTTTTCTCGAAAATAACTTGCCCTTATTTATAGCCCTGCCAAGGCATAGATTGTCCTTACAAGACACCTTCTGAATCCCATGATCATATACAAAATCTTAGTCTCTGTCGCCCATATTACGTAGCTGGCGATGTCACAAGGCCCCCAGAGCATAAACTTCTTATCTCGGGGTTCGGATGAACTGGTCCGGATTTGGGGAGAACCACCAAGCCTACAGCCTCAAATTTTTCGTATTCTGAAAGCATACCCCTTGGAAACCCAGAATCCAACAGTTGACTTACCCTCAGACAGCTCTTTAATTCCCCCGGAACGAATCAAAATGTCCAGCATAGACGGAGACGGAAGCCAGGATGCGACACTGTTCGGGCGGAGGCAACTGCTGCAATGACACGCATTTGGGATGTTATTGAAATTAACGACACTCCTGTGCGGGATAGGATGCTTACCTGTCGTTTCCGTTTGATTGAACGGCAATTGCGAGGGTGTTAAATGAGTTCGACCTCGCAGGGCAAATGGTGGCGTACTCTGTGCGAAAACGAATACCAACTAAAACAGTCGAGAACTCTGCACGATTGCTACACACTTTTCGCGGATTGAATCTAAAGTGGCTTAATTAGCGCTCAACTCGGGATAATCCGCACTCCTTGGGAATCGGACGCGTTGTGTCCAGCGGCGATATTAGAAACTGCAAAGCATGTGTGTACTTTAATTTCTATGATCGAACGGCTCAGGTGGCAACTCTGCCCGATTTGTGTGCGTCTGGTGTCGGTTATTTTGAAAAGTCGGAAAGAAATCCCTTGCATCTGCTCACACTTGCGGGAAATAGATCCATAAATGTAAATGTTTTTTGGTTGACACAGTTATTTTTATAACTTTGCGTTAAAAGTTAAAAATACACAGTCGCGCAATGATGCTGCACAAACTAAAAAAAAACAGCTAAGACTTGAAACTATTCTAGGGAAAAAAGGATGAAAAGTGAAAGTCTTAATTACCTATGTTATTTATTTTTCCCAAGCGGTTTACTTTAAAATATTTGTGTAAAGTACGCATTAAGGTTGCTGCTTCTTCCTTTTGAACTTATGCACCAGCACAGTGTTGGAAATCGCCGTCATTATAAAACAACGGCAGCGCCCGCCAGTGTTGCCTAACCTTGGACTGACAAAGTGGTAGTTTTTATTTTTCTTCGTGTCAATTTATGCGATTAGCAAACGTTTATTAATCAGCGTTTATCAGACAGAGATTTCAAGTCCAACAACCAGCCATGTCCCTGTTAAACAACGACGACAGCATTCCCAACATGGACGAGGATCCGCAGGGTGAGCGCCATGAAATTTTTTGAGAGTGGGCGAGGCAAGCCCAGTGATGATGTTATCATTAACCGTTTCCTCCAAACACAAAACAGTGATGATCCACGAAGATGAGCCGACGACGGCGCTGCACATGCCCAACGGCCGGTCTATGGACTCGTTGCGCTCCTCCTTCACCAACCGGAGCTCCACTCCGGACTCATCCCACAACTCGCTGGACACCATGGAAATAGCCCAGGACGATCGGGAGGAGAAGGCCCGGCTCATCACCCAGGTCCTGGAGCTGCAGAACACGCTGGACGACCTGTCGCAGCGCGTAGACTCCGTCAAGGAGGAAAACCTCAAGCTGCGCTCTGAAAACCAGGTGCTTGGCCAGTACATCGAGAACCTGATGTCCGCCTCCTCGGTGTTCCAATCCACCAGCCCCAGTGCAGCCAAGAAGAAGTAGCCAGGGAATATCCAAAGAAACCCAAATTCCAACTCAAATTTGCCTTCTCGTTCACGCTAGAGCTATTTTATACTCGAAATTAAGCTGTATTGCAATGTTGTTTCATTTGCTAATCCGTCGAATTTGTCCTTGTTTAGGTTAAGCTTATCGCTCTATGTATTTTATACATACAACTAATTTATTTAATAATTTAATAAATCAATATTACCCCTGCAGTCTGTCATTTAAATTGGGGCTGCCACTTGTACACCGGTCTGGCAGCCCTGGCCAGAGCATAGCTGCCAGCTGTTCGTCGCAGTCTTACAACAACAAATTCAGCAGCGAGCTGGAAATTCTATTTTCGTATTCGAAAAAACGCAGAAAACGTGTAAAAGTCGCAGGTCGCGTGTTTGGATAAAAAAAGAGTGTTCATAACTGGAATAACCAAGGCTCGGTCGGCTGACGCACACTAAAACAGATTACCTTGCCTTGTGGAGGAAAGTGATTGCGAAATACGCAGAGCTGCTGAAGGTGTGTGCATGTTTGTGTTCGTGTGTGTGTTGAAAACAAATCATTTGTTGCTGCTGTTTAACAGTTCGTGAGTGGAAATTCCCTTTTTAGAGGCTGCAACTCAAGAATCTATCTTTTGGCTAGCCTTCCTTTGTGTTGGTGGCACTCCACCTCCCTCTCGCACCCATAAAACAGCAGCAACAACAACAAATCAGACAAGGGGCAGTGTTGTAAAACGCGGGGTGCGCCCCCAATACACTTCGTGCTGCATTTATTGTTTTTTAATATGCACTTTATTTATACTCCAACACCCCCCGCCGCCACCCACGTATCTGCGTCAACAGAGAGGAAGGAAGACGTCATTCCGCATCATTCCAGAACGCCGCCGACGTCAACGGTGTTAATGGCGGAAATAGCAACAACAGCCGACAACAAAAAAGCACCGAAGGGTATCTGCGACAACTAAACAAGCAACAAGGAAGTCACTGCCAGGAGGCACACCACAACACATCTAATCCCCACCAGAAACGGCAGCCATCAAACATGTTTTGACCTTACACTCGGCACAGCTGGAGCGCCCGCTGCTCTTCTCTGTTCCCTGGTCATCGTCTCGTCACCTGTTTCAGCGTTTAAATCGCCAATCCACGGCCACACACAACACACACACACACATCCACCAACCATGTCCTTCTCCGACTTTGACGCCATATACGAGGATGAGCAGCTTGAGGACCTGGAGCACTTCCAGGACCAGACGGTGGCGCCTGTGCCCGAACCTATTATCATCCGCGGCGCGGGCAACATGACGGTGTAAGTAAACAACTGATAAAGATAACAAAAGAGTGCAGATAGTGCAGATAGTGGAGTGCAACCCAATTGGAAAAAGCGAACACAATGTTATCTGGACTTAATAAGTGTCGTTCCATTTGCAGTTGCATTTTATACTCCCGAAACTTGCATTTAAAAACAATTCTAGCTTTGGTCAAGTCAGTAAAAATTACATATCAAGATTAGAAAAATAGATGTGCATTTATATAATAAAAGGTCTTGTGCAGAGACGTATTCCTAAGATGTATTTAAAGGATTACCATGGAAGCTTAGTTAGTAATATCGTAATTCTATTTGTTTTCCTAAATATAAAGATAGGCAATAACACTTTGACCTACTACTACGCAGCATTTACAAAAAGATATATTAGTTGGAGCAGCGGAAATGTAGTTCAAGGCTATATACGAAGCCCAATTCAGTCATGAGATATGTGTAGACCCAACTTTGTTATTGATACCGCTTGACCCCGTTTTTATTTTTTGAGCGGTGGCTTTGGTTTGTTCTCTGCTATTCATTATTTACGTGTTGCATAAGAACTGCCGATACAAGGCAGAATAAATGCATTGACACGTGAATTCCAAATTTCTTACTTTATTGTTTTCTCTCGATTTTCAGCTTTGGCCTGAGCAACCGCTTCAACGTCGAGTTTCCCTGCGGTCTGCTGTCCCGCGTCGCTCCCGAGGAGTTCAAGGCAACGGTGGGCCGCATCAACGGGGTACTGAAAAAATCCCTGCCCGTCAACGTCAAGTGGCTCTTCTGCGGCTGTGTTTGCTGTTGCTGCACGCTCGGCTGCTCGCTCTGGCCCGTCATCTGTCTCAGCAAACGCGTAAGTTCACAAATATACTTAAAAACAGCTAGAAGATCATTTTAATCACGCCCAAATCCCATTTGCAGACACAACTCACTCTGGACAAACTGTTCGAATGGGAGAATAATCATTTATATCATAAGCTGGGTCTGCACTGGCGACTGCATAAGCAACAATGTGATTCCAATTCCATGATGGAGTATGTTATTTTAATTGAATTTATACCCAAAACACCCATCTATCGGCCCGACTAAGTGCTGGAATAGATCAGTGGGGACGTGGCGGGGTCGTAATGGTAATTGTAAAATATAAACATTAGCTGCTAACACTTTGCTTTAGGCGTTTACCGATCATTCAAAACGGCGGAGAGTATACATACTATATGAGTACACTAACCCATAGGCAAGCGCAGCAAAGAGCACACACACAATATGGGCATTAGCTAGTTTAGTGCACCCACAGCTCGCGCTGATTGTCGTTTTAAGCTAGTTTCTATTTAATGTTTAGTTAAAAAAAAAAACTTTTCGGAAAAATCCTAGCCAGTAAGATCGATTTAGGGCGCATTACTCTCCTTGATTTTTGCTTTACTTTTTTGTAGTTCAGTTTGTTTTGTTCAAACTAATGCAATATTAAATACTTTTCGTTTTAGGAAATTAAAATTTATTTACAAAAATTGATTTTATTTTTTTTTTTTTTTTTTTTTGGGCTAAACTAATAAAAAGAAGCATTTCCCAATTCTTAGCTCTTTTTGTTTTGTATTTTTTAATATCAATTGCGAGCAAGCTGGTGTCACTTGGAAAATCAAAATAAAAAGAAAATCACATCAATTTTAAATTCAACTTTTACTCTTCCCCCCGATTTCAAATTTGTTCAGTTAATGTACATATTTATTTGTAATATTTATCATATTGTGTGTTGTTTCAATAACTTTACAGCACTTTGGGGGCTTAATAAACAATAAATACAATTAATTTACGTTTAGGATTCGTTTATGTATTAATATGCTTAAATGTAATCAAGTCTTTTAACAATGCGCGGGTCTGGCTCTAGGAATCTACTATATAGTATATATAGCTTAAGGAATGCGATTGGAATGAATCGGTATCAACAATGGTGTCTTGTTTTCTTTTTTGGGTAATACTTGGAGGGATAGCATGCATAATGGAATAGTTGGGGAAGCAGACGAGTCGATTACTAGACTTCGCCGGTAACTTCATTCGAGTAGTCTTCGCTTGGAGCTGAGGCGGACATGGCTAGCGTGGACATTTCCATGTCGCTTTCCGCGCCCATATGTTCGTCGGCATCGTCTTCGCCTTCGTCCCCTTCTTCGCCATCATCATTGTCATCCTCCTCATCGCCATCATTCCCTTCCTCTTCTTCATTGAACTCATTCTCTCCCTCTATCAAAGTTTCCTCCGCATCCTCATCCGCTTTCCCAGCTCCATCTGGGACTTCAGGAACTTGCATCTGTGTTTCTGGCTCAAAAGGCATTTGGGTCTCGGCAACGAAATGATCCTTAGCCTGCGGCTCGTCGTTAGGGTGCTCAGGAGCTTCACCAACCAGCTCATTGGCGGTCTGCAACAGGGTTTCCGTCTGCTTGCGTAGGGCTCGCATCACCATCGAGTCCTGCTTCATCTGGAAGTTGTGCTCTCGCCGCACGAACTCTTTCTGTTGCTTAAAGAAGTCCTCCAGCATCTCCTTCTGGGCCGAGCGCATGGCATTGGCCATTTCGGTCAGCTCCTTCGCAAACAACTCCTCCTGCCGTTTCTTACGTAACTTAGATTCCTCCTCGCTGGACTTTCGCTTCGTTTCCTCTCCAGCTCCCATCGCTGACTGCGGTCGGAAGCCTTTCGGCGGAGAGGAATCGTACATTGTGGAGCTGCGCTGCAGCTTTACAGGCACGGGCATGCCCATGGGTGGGCTCTGCCCCAAGCGACGCTTCCGAGGCTGAAGCTGCTGGTGCTGATGAGGAGTCAGTTGGTGCGAGGACATCATGTGACCATGTCTGCTGGTGGAAGTACCACCCGTTTGCTGTCCGACCATCGGATACTTAGGCGGCGGTCCACGGGCCAACAAAGAAGCCATTGGCGAAGGCGACTGCGGGGGACTGTTCATCGCCTGGTCCAGATCGGGAATCATTCGGTCCGGTCGCAGCGAGTATCCCGTGTCCCGCATGGGCACCGTCTTCATGCGCATGTTGCCCGTCGGCTGGACACTAAGATCCCTTGGGAGACGCAGTCCGGATTGGGCGGGACTCGCGTTCTGCTTGCGGGGTAGCATAAGCTTGCTGTGGGGATGCACGAAGTTGATGTTGCTCGTGCTCTGAAGCGGCAGCGATCGATTCATCCGGCCCATCTTGGTTAGCGCAGGCGGAGGACGATCGATCTGCAGGATACCATGTGTGGGTCGTCGGTGCTCGTCTCCCTTGGCAAAGGATGCAACGCGAAGTGGCGGGAGTGTTTCCGGCGTAGATGCGTAGGCGGGACCATCGTCGACTTCATCTAAAACCACCGGCGGCGGCGGAGAAGGCGAGGCTGGCGCTGTCGGTGGCGGTGTGTTGGTGCCGTCCATCCCTAGATCCATGTCCGGTTCGTGTTTTACTGATACTATGAACGGCATATGGGGCACTTCGTCTTGATCACGGTGGCTGTCCTCTGCGGCATCCCCGCTTCCATAATCATAGGCTTCCAGATCCGGTTCGGACACCATGTCAGACTTCAGCAGGGTCTCATAACCTTTAATTGATACGAATTATCATATTATAACTTGGTGAGAGAGAGCGGATTAGTGTGTGCGCTCACTTATTAAAAGTCGAAAGCTCAAGACTGATTGAAAAGGTTAAATCCTGACCATAGAGCGTGACTTACCCGTATCGATTGGCTCTGGTTTAATGGGACCCAGTCGGAAGCCAAATATGGGATGCTCCACGCCCAGGATATCTTCTTTGGTTTCTTCGCCGACGGTCTTGGAGCTGTCCATCGAGTTGCCGCACTCACTGAGGTTGGCACTGACGCTGTTGCTGCTGCTTTGATGGTTTTGCAGCATCCGACATAGCACGCGATACACCTCCTCCGGGACCACTTTGGGCACTCCGGTGCCGTGCCGTGTGGTGGTGTTGTATGTGGACTTGAGAAACTTCCACTTGGTCCAGATCTGGATGCTAGACTTTTTCACGTAGCCCTTGCTGCGCATGATTTCCTCGATTTGCTTGAAGACGTGCTCGCTCTTCAGGTTGCGGTCGTTCAGCTGATCCAACGCGTTCATATTCTGCATGATGCTCAGCATCTCCAGCATTTCGGCACGGCTCCACAGGTTGCGCTCTGGTCGAGAGCTCATCGAGGTGTCGCCCTTGCCAAAGCTCCCGTTAAGGCTGCTGGCGGAGTGTGGTGGCGACAGATGCGCCTTAATGCGCATGGGCGTCAGCAGTCCGTCAACGTCGCCCACCAGGCCATTGCCAGTGGCCGCTGTGCTCAGGAGGTGGCTGATTTCCTGGCCGCTCGAATTGCTCTGGCTGCTTTGACCTTGGTTCTGACGCATGTTCTGCTCCACTTTGCTCAGCAAACGCATCTTCGTGTGAGCGGCCACTGTCGTCGGCGGAGACGAGGAGCTGCCGGCGACAGGTCCGTGGTTGCCAGACGAAGTGGAGCTATCGTTCAGGCCCAAGTAGCGTGGCATTAACATGTGGATTTGGTGGTTCACCTTTTAAAACTTCAAAAACTGCAAATGACATAAACAACAAGAAATATCAAACTATTTTTAAAATCATTCAAAAAGTTGTTTTTAAAAATCTGGAAAATGTTGACTTCAGCATTACACCTCAAAACCAGTTCTATAAAATGTCCAATCTAGAAGCAAGACAGCCTTAAAAGGTATGGTTTTCTGTTTTTATTTAGTCCAAATGTTGAATGAAGTAACTTTTCCTAATTCGATTATAATAGAAACATTATTATTGTAAATAATAAGTTTCATATCAACTGCAGGTATTGCGCTGTATACCGGAAATGGCTATTAAAGGTACATTTATGTAAAAGTTATAAAAGATTTCCATTAAATTGTAAAATCTTTCAAAAATAAAAACCTTAAAACTAATTTTTTTAAATAATTACGTAATATTTACTCTCCGATTTATAAACTTCTGCCTCCTAAAGAATGCTATTTTGAAATTGATAGAAAATTGCAATGAAAATTTGTATATGTAATTAACCCCCTTAAATTAACCCCCTTAAATATTAAATTTAAGATTTGTGAACAAAAAAGTACATATTTGTTGCGTGTTAACGAGAAAAAATCCAGTTTTGGGATATGTTGTTTGTCATAAGTGGCAAAAGCGTGGTTTCGGATATCTCTCAGGTATCTTTTGGTTTTCGTCTTCAGAATCCACCACCGTCGGACTTGATTATTATTTACCTGCATAAATATATACACATTTGTTGGTGCAAACCCCGTGAGGTTGACGTGTTTCCAACTGTTTAACACATTCGCTCACTCGCTCACGAATAAACAAATACACGAAAAGAGCTTACAAATCTAAACCAAGGAAATACACACCTGATCATATTAATAGGTACATACACAAATTATTTAATTATAGATGGTTTTTTCGTACTTTAAGTGTTGACATCTTTAAAATTTTTGGTTATTTGTTATGGTCAATATCTGCCCACGCTGTGACAAAGAGTTGAACGAGGGGAATCCCCGAATATCAAAGCTTTTCTATAAATTGTGAGTCAACCACACATTGCGCCTGATCATAATAATAGGTACAGTCTCCGTTTCTCATAAATAACAAGTGAATAATTTTGTAATCAGTGATTTTTTGGCAACTTAAGGTAAATTTCGTATAGCTACTATCAATTAAGAGAATTAAATATTTATTTTTTTTAGAAAAAATGGGTCGAAATTCTTATTGTACTAAAGAAGAAGCTCGATTGGTTCTTAGTCTGAGAAACGATGGCAAATCTTTACGAGCTATTGCCAAATTAATGAAAAGGTCCCATAATTTTGTTAAAAATGCATTAGAAAGGAAACCAAGACAGGAATCCCGTGGAAGGCCAAAAAAAACAACGGAAACGCTTGACCACTACATAGTATCTTTAAGCAAAAAGGACCCATTTAAGTCATCGAAGGCTATTGCAGCAGATATTGGGAATTCAGTTAGTGCTCCAACTATCCGAAGACGACTACAAGATGCCAACCTACCAGGAAGAATTGCCAGAAAGGTTCCACTTATGCGCAAAAAAAATATCACCATGAGGCAAACTTTTGCAAGGGACCACAAAGACTGGATAGGATGCATCGGGGAGAAAAAGTGGAGAAACATTTTATGGAGCGATGAAACCAAGATAAATTTATTTGGGAATGATTGTGAAAGGAATGTTCGACGCCCTAATGGAAAGGAATTTCATCCACGGTTTACAAAGAAAACAGTCAAACATGGAGATGGTAATATAATGGTATGGGGTTGCTTCTCCTGGTATGGCGTAGGTCCAATTTATCAGACTACGAACAGAATGACTGCTGAAGAATAAAAATCCATATTGGAAACAGTTATGGTACCATATGCTGAAGAAAATATGCCATTACGTTGGGTATTTCAGCAAGACAATGATCCTAAGCATACATCAAGGCTTTTATCTAAATTCTTTGAGGACCAAAAAGTTGACATTCTGAAGTGGCCAAGCCAATCCCCCGACCTAAACCCCATAGAAAACTTGTGGGGAGACTTAAAAAAGAAATTGGCATAGTATTCATTATCAAATAAAGCACAATTATGGGATGGTGTCCAAAAATTGTGGTATGAAACACCAGTAGAAACCTGCCAGGCTCTTATTAAAAGTATGCCAAAAAGAATAGCAGTAGTGACCAAAAATAGAGGTGGATACACTGGATACTAAGTTAGTAAATACAAATTTAGAAAAAAAAAAAACGCAAAATATATATTTAAATTTATTTTTCTCATCAGCACTTGAAGTGTACCTATTATTTTGATCAGACTGAAAACGTATCTAAGACACAAAATGATCTCCTTTTTGTTATATTATTATCCTATGTTACAATGAAGTTTATTTGATTAAAAACAAATAGTTTAAGAACCAATGAGACCAAATTTTAAGTTTAAAATAATGAATAAAACTATTTTCTGTAACCTTAAAGTCTGAGTTGATGTATGTACCTATTATTATGATCAGGTGTGTATATATATATTTTTTATCGATTTTGATTATTTCAAAACGAATAATGGCCACAAAGAAAACGTTAAAAAGCGAGCAAGTAAACTTCCACAGATACACTCTCCCGCAAACACAAACATTCACGCGAACGCACACAGATACTCCAGCAAGTGGAACACTCTCAATAACAGAACTTTTTTGAGATAGTGATTTCCAAATGCAAGTAAACAAGATACGGGAGCGAGACCCGAATATAGCATAGAAAAACAGAATTTAACAATTCGAATCTCGCACACTGCTGCTTCTTGATTTCCTGAGCGCCGATTACGCATCGGTTAATTTGGAAGTATGTATGTATGTAAGTTTGTAGTTTGTGAGATACGAAAAGTACGAAAACGGCGGATTGCGAAAAAGTTGACTCAAAAGAAATAAAAAAAAAGAGAGCAACCTAGAATATTGAGCGCTAAAAAGATAGATTCCGTGCCTTGCCCGAGTTTGGGGGATTTATCGGTGACGCAAACCCCTAAACCATTGAATCGCAACCCAAATTGAATCTCAAAGGTTTTAGTCGAGTAATTTTCCAGCGTCTTGAGATTCTCAACAAGCACAGTGGTCGCCGTTTATTTAACGCAACTTCTGATGCTGTTTTAGCCTAGGAACGCTTGTCAGATTGGAGGAGCATCACGTTTAATTACCAGCTAAATTCATTACTGGCAGGCTGGCGGAAATGTAATTGCCAACTTAATTTAAATCGCTTGAAAGCACTGTAATGCAAAAGATACGATAATAAGCTAACGAGGGGAGCAACAGCAGAATGGGAGGGTGATGGGGACTTGGACAGTGTTGCCAACTGTCGGTATCTGGACAGCCAAATAAAATAGCCGAAAATAGCTAAACTTTAAAAAAAAAATGCAAAGTAATAGCCGTTATATTTTTTATTAAAAAATTATTTAGGGGAATTTCCTTTACTACTGAAAAACTAAAAATAGTGGAAGCTAATAACATTCGCTGCAAATTGCTTAATTTCTGTCATTCAGCAAAGTAAAGTAGAGAAAATAACAGTCTACTGCTAAATTGAGCGGTTTTGAATCTGGCAAAATAGTCAGATCTGGCCTGATAGTAGCTAAGTTGGCAACACTGGACTTGGGTGACAGCCTGAGAGAGCGAGGGAGAGTAAAATATAAAGAGATGAATCGAGCACTCACACAGACACACGGGCGCTCTCCGAATTTACGCTTATTATGTGCAGCTGAGAATTTTCAAGAAAAAAGAAAAAAAAAAAAACAGAACAATTTGAGTTTCCCCCAATTACCATCGCAATATTGAATAATGTCGAAGTAACTTGCCTGCCGAATGACTGTGCTCCGAATTTGTGCTAATCAGTCAACGTTAACTGTCACTGTCACCCTGATATTTTTAATGCACATGCCTGAACACTGCCGCCTGCCATAAGTTTTCAATAATTCGACTTTAACTATTCCAGCAGAGCAGCAACACCTTGCACGCACACAGTCACAATTTTACACTTACCAGCAGCGCCAGAGAGGCGATTTCAAGCTGAGCGTCGAAAATTCAAGTCCGTCGCCGCTAACGACGATTTCAATACTAATTTCAAAACTCGAAAAAGCGACGAACGGGCCTACGAAAACCAAACTATATACACGCACACTGCGCCAGGCTCGGCCTGCATGTACACGCCGCCTGGGTGTCTGTATGTGTGCGCTTCGGCGTTATATTCGGAAGGTAGAAATAATGGTTATTTTTTGAGATTGCGAGAGATTGCCGGAGAGACAGTTGCCTATTATTTTTCGCTTTTTTTTGCCTTTTCTTCTTTCGCTTCCATTAAGCTTTTTTGTGGCTGTTTGCGTTTTTTTACTTCGCTCTTTTTTCAAGAACGGGGTTATTTCGGGAAATATAAATTTATGGGTTCGGCCCACACCCACACAAACCTACTGCCGAATAGTATACACGAGTTGAAATCGCTCGTATAATGATTTTTCAACTTTTTCTGTTTTTCTGGTCGTGGCATTTTCATTCGCAGTAAGCCGAACCCAACGAATGAAAATCTCGCATCCGTTTTCCGGAGAGGATATAACCTAAAAGTAATCGAGTTTTACTTTGAAAAGAATAAAAAGCTTTTTGAATTTTTCATTAGGTACGAAAATAATATTTTTTTTATTAGGTTTCCATTTTCGTTCAATATTTTGAATATTTTGAAAGATTGCTTGTTTTTTAATTTAAATATATTGAAGATTAGTAGATTGTGTTATAGAAGTTCTACTGTAATTAAATCTAAATAATATAATTTTATGAAATTAATAACAAAGCTTGACGACAGAGGAATTTTTTGGGAGATGAAATGTTTTCTTTATAAAATTCCCCAGAGAGTAAACATATCAAATTTCTGCGTTCACCCCATCGATGTTTCACTGTAAAAACCGATACGCAGAGGTTAGCGAGATAACTTCCAACCGTCCCTACCGGGATAATGTGCGTTTCAGAAAAAACCTGTGCACAGGTGAGCGGTAGCAACCCTTTTTCGACAAAGTATCTACATACATACATAGAAATGCGAACATATATCTGCTGAATATTTGTATTTACTTTAAAAGATTCCCATTCAGCGAGCTTCCTTGAGTTTCGGGGTGGCGATGCGATGCTGAGAATGAGAACGAGATTGAGTTTCTCAGTATCTTGTATCTGACAGTCATGTGGCAAAGTCGAAACTAGATTTACAAGTATTGAGCGGACCCGAAAAATGTGCCGTCGCGGAATCCGAAATTCGAGTTCGAAGAGGTGCCAGAACAGGAAACTTGAACTCTATTCCATGGCAGCGCGGCAGTGGCGCTAGGAAAGCGGAAAAACCTTTCGCATCTGCACGAATTACGCATCGCACGAATTCCGAGCGAAAAGAGCACGACTTATCAGAGTTATAATATAAAAAAATGAATGAAAAGTATGACACACACTTACACACGTACATCGATAGTGCAATGTAAAACACTCACACAAATACTTATGTACTTTATGGATGTATAATAATATATGTATATATTATCGAGCTTATAAAAAAAAGTTCTGTTCGAAGAAAAACAAAACGAAAGTAGGAAAATTGAGAGACTCGCCAGCTCGAAAGTGCAACCTCTGCTTTTCGTCTCTACGCTGACTAAAATTGTCTATATCATTGAAACCTTACTTATAAATATATTTATATTGTGGCCAATTTGCTTTAATAAAAATGAAATTTGTTTCAAATATTAAAATTTTCTATATACATTTTTTTTATATTAAAGATATATTTTTAATCAAAAAATTTTTAAGACAGTTTCTTTAATAGTTATTGGTTTCACCCGTGCTCAGAATTTATAATGTAAAGCTTGAGTATCTAGAAATTCTTGACGGTTTTACAGGCATATTTTCTTGAAGGTTTAGAAACGCTCTCTCCACATTGCAAATGACAATAAAATGCCATTTTAATGAACAAATACCCTTTTTCATCTATCATTCCCAAGAAAAAGCAACATAAAATAACGTCACTATTTCTTTGAGGAATGTCCTTAAGAAGAGCGACGTTAATCATGCGTTACTTTCTAGTTTTATATTTTAAACTCACACAAAAAGATAAGTAGTTTATTTAAATATAAGTCCTCCTGATGGGACAACTTATTTTTTTTTTTATAAATTTCTACTATCAATAATTGTAGAAAATAAATATTTAAAAATTCAAAACTTTAAGATTTGAATATATACCGTTAAGATTCGATATATCGGTTACTGCGCAATCATCGTACTGCAAGATACGAGCCGGCTTGGTGTAGCCCTGGCTGCAATTAATCGATATTTGTAGTCCACCCCTCGCGAAAACTGTTGGGCATGTCGGTGTCTGGCGGAAAACCCCCCAAAATCGGCCACAGCGACTGTCTGTCCTACCTGCAGGTGAGCTAAAACTCTTCATATATCCCATATTTAACAACATTAATGATTACCCAGAGCCTGGGAGATGTCCTGCCGGAGGACGCCGCCCTGCAGCTGGCCCACCGAATCCGGGCGGAGGAGGAGGAGGCGGAGGCTATGCAGGGAGACACGTGCGGCGGCGCCAACCAAGCCGCCCTGAACGTCAGCTTCCGTGTGTACTACCACATAGTGCACAAGTATGATCTGGAGGACACGCACTTCAGGGATCTTCCCGAGAGGTTGTCTTGCGAACGGCCTAGTGCTTTTCTCATGCTCCAGTCCGTGCTGCTCACTGACCACTGGAAGCAACTGGATGCTGACCGACTAGAGGACAAGTGCACGACTGCCATAATCGAGGCGCTGAGAAGGAACAGCCCCAGCTTGATGGCCGTGCTCAAGGCGACCAATCTCTTGGTGAAGAAGTTTCCCCGATTAGAGCTTCTGACTCTGCGATTGGAGCATTTCTACCACTGCCTGCAGCGCCAAAACCAAACAGGATCCCGGGAGGAAGCGCTGACCCTGTACAATCACTGCTGCAAGCAGCAGGAACGAGCCTTTTCCTACTTCCGGTTGATCAGCGAGTTCTGGCCATGGACGAATCGCAACAAGTACTACCTGCTCAGCGGCATCCTCAACTCGCACCCGTTGCCCGAGCTCCTGGCAACCACTAATCAGAGTGAGGCGGAGTTTTTCAACGGTCTGCGCCTCAGCCTGAGCTACAAGGGTTTGAGAGCAGCCAGCCAGTATCCGGTGAAGAGCCTGAGCAACCAGCGTTCCCCAGCCCTACTCGCAGCCAGTGTGGAGCTGTTGGTGAGCGGCAGCGTTGCCGAGATCCAGAACTTCCATTCGCAATGGTTTCTCCGCATCCAGCAGCGTGATGTGTTGTTCGAGCTGCTCCAGGCCAACCCGCAGATCGTCGAGTTTTTGGCCTGCTCCGAGGAGGTGAGATCGCCGCCGGATCAGTTGCGCCTTATCCTGATCTTCAGCATGTTCGCGAAGGAGATCTATACCGCCTCCAAGCTTCATTTCTTCAAGATCAGCACTGAGCTGCTGACAAACTGCAGTCAATTGGAAACCGAGGCCCAGCTGCTAGTGTTTCGCTTTCTGGTCGACAACCTGGCCAACTTTGCGGTCGAGGACTGTCTGGAGTTCTTTCACAGCTTCATCGATCGACATCGCGGCGTCGAGAGTTCGGAGTTTCGGAACACGATGCTGGGCAAGATGCCTACGATCATCAACCACACGGCCAAGCATTTTCACAGGGCGCTCAAGACAGGAGGCAATGGCCTGTCGGTGAACATCCAGCGGTTCTTCTCGCACTTGCAGGAACTTATCGAGCGCGACATCAAAAGCGAGGTCTACCAGCCCAAGATCTTTGCCCTCAAGTTGCTGGAGATTTTGAACAGGTCTTTGTACGCCGAAAACGTAGCGAAGAATGCCAAGATGTGCAGCACCCAGCAGAACCAACGAATGGGCGCGTTCCTTTTGGATCTTGGCGTCTTCCGGCCCCAGGTGGTGGCCAAGCAGCTGTTTGACTCTCTTAACGATCCCCAGGGCTTCGACGATGCCTTGGAGTTGACGGTCTCCCTGTTGATTCAGTTGGGGCAGGTGGATAGCGTGCTGTGTGTGGAGCGCTGCCTCAGCCTGTGTGTCACCTCCGACGTGGATGAATGTTCACTGGTGTCCCTCTATGCTCAGTTGGCCGTGGTAAATGAGGATTCAGGCAAAAAATTGTTTTACGAATGTCTAAAGAGGTTAAAGGAAAAAGAGCAATCATATATGGAGGATCCTCTGCTGGCGGCCAAGGCTGGAGGGCATCTCTTTGGCTACCTCCGTGGACTAGACGAGGTGGTGCGGGCAGGAGTCCCTGGAGTGGAGACGCCTCTGGAGGACTTGCTGCCCTTGCTGGAGCGCATTCTTAGTGGCATCTTGAAGTTTCTCAATTTGGCCAATGCCCGACGGCAGGATGATAAGGCTGCCACCGCAGCCAGCTTCCAGGACATGGACGAAAGTCTGCATTTGCTAGTCAGCGAGAGTTCTTTTAACTTCGGAGAAGGTTCAGAGGCGTGCCGGAAGTATTTGCTGATGAGTTTCTGGCTAACTTTAAAGGTAAGAAGCGCAAAATCCTTGACTTTTTGAGTAACTTAGAGCAAGCTTTAAATCCTCCGTAGGGCTGTTGTGATCTAGCCACCAGCATTGGCTGTTCCCTGCTTCAAGCTACTACTGCCACTGCGAAAACGGAGGCCCTACGCCGCTGCCTGGGCATCAACGTGTCGGTATTGACGCTATGCAGGCACAAGGGTGCTATTGAGGCTGCTGGCCTTAGCATAGGCAGGCTCACCCGTGGAATTACCAGCAGTTTGGAGGGCAACGATGCCGGCTTCCAGATGCTCCACGATTGCCTGGAGCGAGAGCTGCTGACAGAGAGCCGGCAGGTGAGCACTACGAGGCGTGGAGCTGGCTTTGCCATTATGTTCCTACACGTCCTCAAGAACGACAATCCGCGGCAGCGTTTGATCCTGCACCGCGCAGTGCAGCAAATACTCAAGAGGCTAAACGATGTGCGTCCGAATACGCCCCTGGAAAGCAGTAATCACGATCGCTGGGAGGCCCTGGTGCTGCACTATCTCTGCGTTTTGGTACGCGACACGGAACTAAGGCCGGCGATGAGCAAGTACTACAATGAGATTCTCTTGATGGCCATGGAGCACATCGACAACGCCGAGTGGACCATCTCAAACGCGGCGCTTCAGCTGTTTGGCGCCAGTCTAGGCAAGCTGGTCGGTCAGCGACAGGCCACGGAGTTTGAGACGCGTCCCAAGTGGGAACCCAGCGAATTGGACTACGATGAGCTGGGCTGCCTCTTGCCCAAAGCCTGCGAACACATGCTGGAATGCTGTGACCGTCAGGAGGTTACCTCATCGATTATCCTGTTCCTGGCCTTTCTCTCCAAGGTGGAGCACCTGCGCACCTCGGACGGCAGAGATCCTAGTCCCTTGTTACTTCGTTTTCGTCGCCTAAGCTGGCGGCTGCTCCGCCATAAATGTGACCAAGTGCGTCAATTGGCCGCCACCTGCTTTGTTCGCTCGCACGAGTTTCGCTGCGATCTGCCAGCGGTGCTGCTGGCCAGCGCCAAGCTGGCAGTCCGTCTCGACGAGGAGAACTTTTACGAGGGACTGATCTACGCCCTGACATCGGGTGTGCAGAAGCTCCGTCACGAAGCACGGCATGTTTGGGGCGAGGAACGTCTGGCGAGGTTCTTCGCGGAGCTACTAACATCACTGGATGTGACAGAGGAGCGAGTGAGTCGCTTCAAACCATACACCCGAAACGTGCTAAAGGAACTGCTAAAGATGCTGGGTGGTGCCGATAAGGCCTCCCTGGCGGAGACACTTGACTCACATTAGCAAAATGTAGTTTTTATCTAATCTAACCTAGAATTAAGCCAAAAATGTAGCAGTCTTTCAGCTTTTACAACTATTTAAATGACGCATTTAATGTTTTTGTACGCAGTAAACGAAACGAAAACGAACGGATCTATAAAATAACGAATGAATGAACCCAAAACCCACCATCGCGCGATCAACTGAAGCCCTCGCCGCTCTCTTGCTCCATCATGGCCTGCTGCTGCTTCTCCTGGGCCTCTTGGGCCATCTGTTGCAGCGTGCGACTAAGGATGTTTCGCAGAATATGCGGCTTGCAGTGCTCCTCCAGCCAGGGAATAATACCGGTAGTCAGCTGCTTGAAATTGTCCATGGGTATATGTTGGAATGTCTCAAACATTTCCTCCATGATGGCCTGGAACTGGTGGTAGCAGGAGCAGAGTCTTTAGAGCGGAAGGTTAATAGTTAAGCAGAATACTAACCACTTGGAACTTGGCCTCGTCGGTGAGGCGAGCTTCCTCCGGCCCGGGATTTGCCTGCTGGTGCTGCAGCATGTTCTCGTATCCGTTCTTAATAATCCGCAGCGCTGTGACCTCCTTTTGCAGTGCCGATCCCTCGTCTTCCTGCTTGAGCTTTTGCTGGTTGAGATAGCCAATGTACTCGATAGACTTCTGCAGGATGAGGGCCTTGCTTAGCTTGTAGCCGGAGGAGTCGTTGGGCTGGCAGCGTGGCACCAGCTCCTGCAGGCTATCGTAGCCCTTCTTGATGGCGTCCCGTCGCTTCTGCTCCGCCTGCGTGTGCGCCTCCCGACGTCGCTCCTTGTAGCTCAGCGTAGAGTTGGCCGCTGCCGAGTGTCTGGCATCGCCGCCGCTGTCGTCGTCGTCGTCTATGGGAGCGTGAGACAGAGCACAGAGGTATAAAATGTAATAAAACGCTGCTGCTGATAATCTGAGAAATTCAATGCCAGCTTTATCAGCTGACCCCCACTCCGCCCCACTCCACCAACCACTCCTGGCCAGCGTGACAGCTCCGCATGCATACCTGAATTGTGCGCCGAGGAGTTGGGCGTGTGGGTGCTGCCCGCGCTGCTGCAACGCGAGTAGTGCTTGCTGCTCAGATCCTGGTCGTGGTCCATACTGAAGGCGTCGTCTTTGCTGTTGTTATTATCGCTCATTTCCAAAACTGCGACGTTGTCGAGAATTCCCAAAACAAAAACACACCAGCAGCAGTCGTGTGACCGTTGCCTTATATCGTTAAAATACCCTCGCCAAAATCAGGGTCATACTGAGGATAGCTTTTTAAATGTTCCGATAGTTTTGACAAGCAACTTTAAAAAATATTTATTTTCCAAAATATTTGGAATATTAAAACAAAAGTTTAAAAAATTGTAATATTTACCCACATAGATATTTTGCCTGATTTATGTATTTAAATTAGAAAACAAATTAGTTCCGTCCTCCTATGCCAATATCAAGATAATTAAACTACATATGTTTTTATTTATACAAATTTGGTAATTTGCAGCTTACAAACTATTTTATTTTATGTCATCACTAGGGGAGAGTGCTAGAGCTGAGTTCATTTCGATTTTACCGAACAGTGCTGTTATCGATAGCAATATCGATAGCTCTGCCGGCCGCCGATGATGACTTTTGTGTTTTCTGGTTGAACTTTGCCGTCGTGTCGCTTTTTCTCGGTGATATTGCTTGAAAGACGTTTCTTTTGGTCTATATTTTGTGATCGGCGGACACAGAACGAAGCAATCATGGGCCTTCTGTACGGGCTGGGTCTGAGGATCATGAACTTCATGGTATTTTTCCTCATTGTTATAATGCTGCCCGGCCTGCCGCCGCGCACCACCTTTCCCTTCAAAGAGTACATGTAAGTAGTATGACTGCAATTGACGTAATAAGCGTTGTAATCCCCGGACAAACTCCCGACCCATCTAGTGTAACGCCGCCCAAGGAACTGAAGGGCGCTTTGGAGCCAAACTTTCACCTGGAAGGGGCCGAGCGACTGTTAGAAGGGCGTGTGTACGGCCCCGAGTGTCTAATAGCCCGTAACAACGAGATCTATACCGGCATCCATGGCGGTGAGGTCATCAAGCTAACCACCAACCATGTCACGCATGTCACCAAGATCGGCCAGCCCTGTGGTGGGTATTTGGTTTCTACAAAAGGGTTTATCAGCTAGTAATTCCTCCCCCCGTTGCAGAGGACATTTATGAGGAGTCGAGGTGCGGCCGTCCGCTGGGACTGGCCTTTGATACGCAGGGCAACAACCTCATCATCGCCGACGCCTACTACGGCCTGTGGCAGGTCGACCTGGACACGCACATGAAGACGTTGCTGGTGTCCCCGGCCCAGGAGCTCGCCGGCAAGGCCATCAATCGCCCCGCCAAGATTTTCAACGGTGTGACGGTCAGCAAACAGGGAGACATCTACTGGACGGACTCCTCGTCGGACTTTACCATCGAAGACCTGGTCTTTGTCAGCTTTACTAACCCCTCGGGCCGGTGAGTTCATCGCGAATTATAGCGGAAGCTTTCTAACTTAGACACAGCAGAGCTTCGTTAAGGCAAACTTTCATATCTTAAAGTCTGTCATTTATCATTTTATTAACTATAAAGGTAGTTGTATCATTAATTGAATTTGAATAATGAAGGCTAACATTTAAAATATTTGAGAACACGTTAAAAATAATGATAATTCAAAGGTTCGAAATAAGCTAACAAATAGGTAGATTACAAAAATATTTCATTTAATTCTTAACTTCATCAACGAAATTTACATTTCTTTAAATTTTTAGTTACGTTTCACAAGATATTTTATTTCCCTACGAATTATAGTTAGTTTCTAGGGGATGTAGTTTCTAGTTTCACTGAATACGCAATTCCCCTCACTAAAAAGTTATCCAATCCCCCGCTGACTTGTTCCGAATTACAGACGCTGGACTGTAATATGAACGCCAAACCGGTTTCGGGTTGAACGGGTATAATGGTCATTCTAACGGTCTTCTCTTTTCCCTTCCAGTCTCTTTAAATACGATCGCTCGAAGAATGTGAGCGAGGTGCTGTTGGACGAACTGGTCTTTGCCAACGGAGTGGTTATCAGCCCCAACGAGGACTTCCTTGTGGTGGCCGAGACGGGCGCCTTGCGCCTGACCAAGTACCATCTGAAGGGCCCTAAGGCCGGGCAGAGCGAGGTGTTTGTGGATGGATTGCCTGGACTGCCCGACAACCTAACGCCCGACGCCGAGGGCATCTGGGTCCCGCTGGTCCTCAGCACTGATAGCGAACATCCCAACGGATTCACACTCTTCACGCGCTTCCCCAGCGTTCGTTTGTTCCTGGCCCGTATGTTGGCCCTGTTCGAGCTGCCCTTCCGCTACCTGAACAGCGTCTATCCGAACAAGTTCTCGCAGCGCTTCGTTCACTTCGTGGGCCACATGGAAAGCATCAGTGTGCTGGCCCCCAAGCGCATCACCGTAGTGCGCGTAGACTGGAACGGCAACATTGTTGGATCCCTTCACGGCTTCGATAAGACCACTGCCTCTGTTTCGCATGTATTGGAGTTCCAGGACTTCCTCTTCCTGGGCTCGCCGGTCAATCAATATGTGGCGCGCGTGAAGTCGCCAAAGTCAAAGCAGCCCACGCTTAAGGTGCGAAACGTTCGCGTTGAGGGCGATGGCCTGGAGGCTTCTATTGGTGCACCACCACCAAGGGCAACCACCACACCGAAGCCTAAGGCGGCAACCACCACAACGACGCCAAAGCCCAGCACCACACCAAAACCCACAACAACGACTACACAGAAGCCAACCACTACCACCACCACCACGACTAAGCCACCAACAACTAAGCCAACAACAACCAAGCCACCTACGACTAAGCCACCAACAACCAAGCCACCCACAACAACAACAACGACAACGACGACGCCCAAGCCGGCTACAACGACCACGAAGCGCACGGTGCCCGAAAAGCCAGCTCCCGTGGAGGAGCCCATTCCTTCGGACACCAAGCCTCCGAAACAGGAGAAGCTCAAGGTCATCAACAAGCAGGGCGTCAACGTGGAGCTCTAAAGCAGAAGATTAGATTTGGATATTCCCAAACGGGAGATTCAGTTATTCACTCCTATCAATTCTATCCTTTTTTCCCTCCAGTATCTCAACTATATTTTCGGGGGATATCCATCATAGTAACTGGTTTAACATTCCCTAAAACTCAGTCATTAGTCCAAATACGTAGCTAAATGTACTGACTAGCCGGGAAGCATAGCAGCGCCTCGGATGATCCCCATCCTCCAAAGGGCAGGCAGCGCTTTATATGCCTCTCGCATATAATTTTGTTTCGCTTCAGCACTCGATACATTCCATTTCCCTTAGTCCTGCCGGAAGCGTGCATTCCCCATGTAGTTAAGATTAAAGAAGTAAACAATGCCCTCAAATTGTTGAACACGAGCAACTTTTCATTTTTGTACTGATATTGTTCTTATTTTCATTTAAAAAATAAAGGTAGTTTGTAAACATAAACCGTAAGTCTATTGAGGTTGTTTGGGTCTTAGGGAGTAGGATTTAAATTAGGAGTTAAGTATCACTGTTTTGTCGACACCGACTGGCTGTTCTTGGGCCGGCTTGGCGGCTCCTTGGGCTCCGTCCAGGCCCAGTCCGTGTAGGGAATGCAGCGGCCCAGCTCCTCGGAGTACAGCTGCGACTGAGGACAACGCTGGAGGCGGGCACGGGTGCCCTGCTTATCGCACACCCAGTAGGCCGTCGGATCCCAGAAGTTGCGGAACATGCGGTTCACCTCCTCCAGTCCTTGGCAGCCGGGTTCGCCGTTGTGCGCGTACGATTGGCGCTTCTGGATGGGCAGATGAGCTGATGCGGTGGCCATTGCTGTGATTTCTTCGACGTGTCTCGGATTCTGCAAACGTAACCGGAACTGGGGGTTAGTTCACGTTGACTGAGCGTGATCATCGACACATAAATTTACTATATTTCTTGGCAAGCCAAAGTATGCCAAATATTTTTTGTGAATTAAATTTCCCTTTCCTCTTACCTTGAGCTATTTCGTAGACGTCTCTGTAGTGCTTTTTTTTGCGGCTAGCAGCCTGTTGCTTGCTGTTGCTCACTTATTTCACTTCTGATTTGTCATACCCAATCATTTCTCGCTTAAATACTTTTCCGCCGGTTGGGGCGTCGACGTCGGCGTCCGCTGCTGCTGCCTGGCGATAGCGTCCGTTCCGACTTCTATTGGAAATGTCTGGTTCGAGGGCCGATTCCGCTGTCGGGACAACGAGCGTTTTTTTTATCTATGTGCAAAGCCCACCGCCAAGTTGAATCGCCCTGATCTTGAGGGGCGCCTCACGGTGGGGTTGTGCGGAGGTGGCTCGAAGCAGCTCGCACCATTCGTTGTCACGTGTAGCCTTCGTGGTCGGGGAATACTCCCGGTGCGAGAGTTGGACACACAGACCCAGACAGCCATATATTTCGCACAAAAAAAAAAAAATACGAATGCAAACATTTGGTGAAACAATTAGGTAACGGGTTCTCTTCGGGTTGGAGCTCTGCTATACACAAAAAAAAATCTTGCCAAAGTAGTAATAATGAACGAGGCAAAAGTATACATTTTTAAATAGAAAAAAAGAAACACTACGCTAAAATACAATTTCCACTTAAGGCTTATCAAGCAAATTTGATTTGCAAATTTAATCTTTTTATTCTCAAACACTCGTGGTAAGCTAAAAATATTCCCAATTTTGTTCTCGTTGTGAAAACTTATTATATATTTATAGAAAAAATAACCCCAATTTATAACCAACTTTGAGTTTTCTTTCTATATTCCAGGGGGCTAAGGTTAAAGGCTCCCTCGCTCTGTGACGCTAAAAGAAAATGTCAACAAATGCATATATAGACGTACTACAACTAAGTATCAGTCAATAAACCCCATGCGTTGGGGGCTAAGCTCGTTAGCGGCTGCTCAGCGGGTTCTAATAAGTATTTCAGCCAGATCACGCAGCCGCCGTGTGGTCCGGTGACGAGCCCCCACGATTTTATATACGCTAGTCAGTAACTTTCCCCTGGCGGGTGGTGTGTGTCACCTTTCCGCGAAACCTAAAGGCAAATGCCAGCAACAACACCTTATCACCTAATGGCCCAAGCAGCTAATAATCCACACGGAGGCGCGTAAGACTTTCATTGATTGCACTAACAATTACGAGTATATTATTATAGTATGCTAGCTATTCACGTGATTGCCCGGTGGTAGGAGCCTCATGGCGATAGACGGAGAGCGGAGCAAGTAAACTGGAATCAGTCTGTCGATTGCGTCAGTCTGCCGATTATGCGCGCACGTGGGCAGCTGGTGGTCAAAGTCGCCGGATGGCAGCCGGAGCATGCCGGTCTGGCGACCAAGACAAGTTCGATGTGTTGAGGTATTTCTATAAAAACACACGATCGGTTGTGCTCTAGCTTAGTTTCCCATTAAATTCAAGGGGGAATAGTTTATAGATGAGTTGGAATATTCTATGAAATAAATTATATCTGAACAATGTCTAAAGAAATTAGCAGCATTTAAACTAATAAATGTATAGCATAAAAGACAAAATATTTATTTAAGTATACAAAAAAAAAAAAACCATCATAACTTGAGATTATTTTATACCATGAGTCCAAAAATTCTTTAAACTAAACTGTACTCTAGGGAAGTAATTCATCGTAATCTTAATGGTCAAGAAACAACTTAAATATATATTTATTATGGTTCTTAATTAAGCTCGAAATACTTCATAAAACCAAACAATGTCTATAAATTCCTATCGTCTAGCGTTTCCTGGACTTTGGTTAGTCGTCACTCGACTTCAGCGGGAATATTTCATTATGAACTTTTAGAATTTCATGAAGCCGACTTTGTTATCTCAACAAAAGTAGATTTTTAAATGGAATTATTCAAGTCTGTCCCTAGGAATATTTCAAATTTATTAAGACGATGTCGTCACTGAAAGTACAAGTGAAATATTCCATAGTAAATTTCAACTATTTTTATACCCTTGCAGGGTATTATAATTTCAGTCAGAAGTTTGCAACGCAGTGAAGGAGACGTTTCCGACCCTATAAAGTATATATATTCTTGATCAGCATCAACAGCCGAGTCGATCTAGCCATGTCCGTCTGTCCGTCCGTCTGTCCGTCTGTCCGTCTGTCCGTCCGTCTGTCCGTCTGTCCGTTTCTACGCAAACTAGTCCCTCAGTTTTAAAGCTATCTCAATGAAACTTTGCATATAGTCTTCTATATACTCTCACTGCTATATATGTCGGAACGGGCCGGATCGAACGACTATATCGTATAGCTGCCATACAAATGTTCGATAAATTTTTAGAAAAAAAATTATAACTTGGCTGTTTTCCAAAATTTTTGCATCATTTTTGGGATATGGCCATTTTATATTATTCCAGAATTTTGGTAAAAATTTTATGAAAATCGGACGACTATATCTTATAGCTGCCATAGGAACGATCGGGAAATTAATAGAAAAAAAATTATAGATTCGTTGTTTTTCAACGTATTTTCATCTACTCCGGGATATAAGCTTATTTTATTATTATAGAATTTTGGTATAAATTTCAAAAAAATCGGACAACTATATCATATAGCTGCCATATAAACCGATCGGTAGATGTAGAGAAAATGTAAAGCTGGGAATGCAAAACTGTAACTGTCAAACTGTAAACATAATAAGTATAGGTAAAATGTATTGAAATAATATCTGCAAGGGTATACAAACTTCGGCGTGCCGAAGTTAGCTTCCTTTCTTGTTTTTAATGCTCTCTATCTATTAAGTCTTATCTTAAATCTATTTTTAATTTGATATTTTCAACCTCATTGAATGTACATAATACACGCTTTGTTTCATAGTAACCAGTTTTTTATTTTTTGAATAAACTTCATTTATTTTACAAACATAATACTTTATACAGACTACAATGAAAAATAATTTGCAAAATTACTAGGGGAACACTATAACACTATATACAATATACTCCACAAGCTATACACAATTAGTTGAAAAGGAAGGAGCAGCAGGAGTTCCAGGTCGAATTCTGAAGACATGGACAGCAAGGGCCGCCAAGTCATCGTCTGCGACAATGGGTCAGGGTTCGTCAAGTGCGGATATGCCGGTAGCAATTTTCCAGCCTTTGTCTTCCCATCGATGGTGGGACGGCCTATTATTAGGGCGGGAAACAGAATCGATGATAAGGCAGTGCAGGATTTACATATCGACGATGTGATAATTGGCGATGAAGCCTCACAGCTGCGTTCCCTGCTGGAGTTGACCTATCCAATGGATAAGGGTGTAGTCCGCAACTGGGAGGACATGTGCCACGTGTGGGACTACACATTCGGGCCTAAAAAGATGGATATCGATCCAACGAACACAAAGATCCTGCTGACAGAGCCACCGATGAATCCCACCAAGAATCGCGAGAAAATGATCGAGGTGATGTTCGAAAAGTATGGCTTCGACTCGGCTTACATTGCCATCCAGGCCGTGCTGACGCTATACGCCCAAGGTCTAGTCTCGGGAGTGGTGATTGACTCCGGCGATGGTGTGACCCACATATGTCCCGTCTACCAGGAGTATTCCCTGCCCCATCTGACACGGCGGTTGGACATCGCTGGTCGCGATATCACTCATTACTTGACTAAGCTATTGTTGCGGCGTGGCTACGCCTTCAATCACACGGCCGACTTTGAAACGGTGCGCATCCTGAAGGAGAAGCTCTGCTACATTGGCTATGACATCGAAATGGAGAATCGCCTGGCCTTGGAGACAACGGTGCTGGTGAAGTCCTACACACTGCCCGATGGACGAGTGATCACGATCGGTGGTGAACGATTTGAGGCACCGGAAGCTCTGTTTCAGCCGCATTTAATTAATGTCGAGGGTCCGGGAATTGCGGAACTCGTCTTTAACATCATCCAGTCGGCGGACATTGATATCCGGTCGGAGCTGTACAGGCACATCGTCCTGTCCGGGGGCTCCACTATGTACCCGGGTCTGCCCAGTCGGATGGAGCGAGAGATCAAGCAGCTGTACTTGGAGCGGGTACTCAAGAACGATTCGGAAAAGCTGGCGAAATTCAAAATACGCATCGAGGATCCGCCACGACGCAAGGATATGGTCTTCATTGGCGGTGCTGTTCTGGCCGAGGTGGCAAAGAACCGCGACGGCTTTTGGGTATCCAAGCAGGAGTATCAGGAACAGGGACTCAAAGTTTTGCAAAAGCTACAGAAGATTAGTCACTGAAGTCCCAGAGAGAGACAGAAAGAGAAAGAGAAAGAAGTATCAGTTATTTAAAAAAATTTGCAAACCAGAAGTATTATAATAAAACATATAGTTAACGATCTATTTTATCACTTCTAAAAATTAGAATATGGAGTATGTTAAAAAAAAGAACTTTTGAAAGATGAAGTATAATAAAACAGATGTAAGATACAGATACCAAATTTTAAAAATTAAATTGGTTTAGTTTAAAGTAATAAAATAATATAACATCCAACGAAATAAATCTAATACAAAAGTAGATTTCATATTTAACGCGAAAACCAGAAGAAACCAGTGAAAACTGCACTACACATCTACATAACGCCCACATTCCCCATTGAACGAAGAATTTCTCCAACTCATTTCAAAGAATTTTAGAAACTTGTTGGCTCCTCTCTGGTGCGTGACTTACTTCGCATGGCAACAAGCAACCGGTTTAGCACATGATTCTCCCAATATTAGATAAGCTATGTATATATTCCGTTTCGTCACAATTTCGCCAGGTTCACGTGAGTTGCGCGCTGCGAGTGCCGCGTCAATCAGTGTGCTACAAGTTATAAACATCTACTAATTGATTAGTCATACATTCATGGGGAACTGCGTGACGAGGCGATTCCTCGTCAAGCGACCTTCCAGCAATGACAATGATGTTGTGATAATGGAGATACGATTTCTATATAATAATGCATTTTTGTTAATAATTAATAGCAATCAATATATGTAATTAAATTAAAATACACTAGTTATGGTATATATTAAATTGTATATATATAGTATAATATATTAAATTAAAAACAGTATTTATTTATTTATATTTATTATTAATAATTAGTATATATTAAATTAAAATACAATATTTATGGTTGAAGTAGAAGTGCTACTCCGCCTAAAATCCATTTCGATGGACGTTCGCGTGTCTTCAAATTAAAGGTCCAAACGTAGGTATTGCCACGAGACCTTAAGGGACACATTACCAAGTTAGTTGCAAAATATTAAATACCAAATATGAGAGGGGAATCCTCACCCACCTTGTCTTGTACAAAGGGCACTCGTAGACGCGCTGCAGCTCCTGCTTTTCCTGAACAATGGACTTGATGTAGATAACGGGCATGGCGCAGAGCATCTCCTTGGGCCGCAGAGCCACAATGGAGTTCTGCTGGCAGTCCCAGCTGGCTCCGTCCATGTACAGGTCGTGGACAAAGGCACCCTCCATGGGTGGAAGCCTGTTCAAGGTATTTAAGTTTAAGAGATTACATTTTACTTCGATTTTAAATATACAAACTTTAAGAAATTGTTTATTTTGGACTTACGTGACATCGTCCTTCTGCTTCTTGGTGACATCGCAACTGATTAGCATCCTGTCCAGCGGCAGGTCGTGCTTGCGGGCACTCTCCTGCATGATGGCGGTCAGGAAGCTTTGCGGATTGAAGAGTCCTCCAAGCCAGATGGCGCAGGGCAGCTTGAAGTCATTCAGCCAGCCGGCCAGCTCCTTGATGCGGTGCAGCAAGTCCGCAAACCAGGCCTGCAGGCCCAGCATGCTAGGATAAGCCAGTCTGGCCCAGGCACCGGGCACATGGTCATAGAAGATGGCATGATCCAGGCGCTCCATTTCCTGGGTGATGGTTAGCTCGCCTCGCAATCCTAGCATCAGTTCTCGCAGGGAACGCTTGATCTCTCGGATGAGGGCATTCATCCGCTCGCATTCCTGCAGGGCAACCACGACGAAGGGCGTCTTTCGCTCTACTCGATTGAGCAGAGCCTGGAGGTTAAACTCGTCCTGCAGTTTATCCAGGAAGTCGTCGATCATGATCTTCACGAGCTCTTCCCGAGGTGCCCCACAATGGGAGCTTAACTCAGATTCGCGTGGCTGCAGCTCGAAAATGGTGCGTAGTAGCTGCTCCGAGGCGGTGGTCAGGAAGCCAATCTCTGCATTCGGGTGCAGTCCATACAGAAGGGGACTCTCCTCGGGCAGCATCTCCGTGATGTACAAGTGATAGCCCTCGAAGTCGAGATTTGGTGGAGCCGGGAAGTTTGGACACAGCTCAAAGTCGCCGTCGATGAGATCCTGCTGGAGCAGCTCCTCCAGATACGTCTGGCACAGACGGCGGTCCCAGTCATCCGTGATGTGTCCGCCGTACATGATCTCGCCGAAAAGGTAGCGGAGATCCTCCCACGGAATCCGGTTGCTGCCCTCCAGGTAGTTGTGCAGCACACTGGCCGAGATGGTCAGGTCGCCGATGTTGAACGGGTACACCTTGTTCCAGCCCTGCGGGCCGAACTTGCGCCGCTCACCGGCCACCGCGTGAAAATAGCACAGAGCGAACAGGATCGACTTGAACTCCGCCTCTTGGGTGCACGTTTCCAGCGCGTCCTGCGAGAAGTTGTCCCACGCCTTATGCAGGTTGGCCGCCATACCTGAAGGCGGCTCATTGACCACCTTTAGTGAAGACTCCAGAATGCCCTGCGGAATCACATGGTACTGCGGATCCGGCGCTGGTTCGGCGCTGATAAAGAGTCGGAAGCTGGATTCGCCCTGCGTCTCGCTCTGCAACACGATCCGTTCGATGAGCTTCTCCAGCGTGGGCAGCCAGTTAACCACCAGGTGGATATTCTGCAGAATGACCCACTGCTGGCCGGAAGCCAAGGCCTGAAGGATGGCCTGTTCGGCCAGCAGTTCCTGGCCTTGGCCGAGGGAGATGTTGACCAGAGTATCGGACTCCGTGTGAAAGCCCTGCCGTTGCCCATAGCGCTCCACATCCCGGATGGGATCCACTCCGGGCGAGAGGATGAAAAAGGCCGGCGTGGCTGCATTTAGTTCCTGGAAGATGGCTCCAAAGGGTGGCGTCTGCACCTCGGCATAGGATTTACCCATTGTCTGCTCCACAAACTGACGCATGGCGTAGGTCATGCGATCGGGTCGCAAGGCTCGGATGATGCACAGCTTCTGGAGCGGAGTACGGTGCTTCCATTCGCCGGGGAACTGCTCCCGCTCGGGAGCATCGCTGCCCATGAACTTGCGCCAGCGCTTCGTGTAGTTTTCCATGTCCTTGTCAATGCCGTAGAAGTGCTCGATCAAAGTCAACGACTTGATGCCGCCCCAGGCGCTGCGGCCCACAAAGTCCAGTGGCGATAGGGTGCTTGGATCGTGGGGATAGCGGAGCAGGAAGTCCGTCTCGTCCTTGGACACCTGGTCGGCGGCGATCAGGATGCGCAGCGTCATATGCGAGGTAAAGGTCAGCTTGTCCGCCTCGAAAAGCCCGCGTAAAGTGTAGCGATATGTTTGCAGGGTGATGGAGTCTACCAAGTTAAGCACTCGTCGCTCGAAGACCTTGGACTCGGCGGCCTGGGCGATGGCCTGCCGAAAGACGTGCATGAAGGACTTCAGTGAAAACTTGTAAATGGGATTGATCCGGCTTAGATCGGTGAGCACAAAGTACAGGATGGCAGCCCGCTTGGCCGCCGATCGATAAATGTTCCGGGTGTCGTCAATCTGCAAAGTGGTGACCCTTGCCTCGCGCACCTTTGCCTCGATCTCGTCCACGGTGCGCTTTGTATTTTCCAGATTGATCACCAGCGCATGGTCGTCCAGCACATTCTCTCCTGCGGAGGCCAGCCGAGCTAGGAGCTCGTCCTCCAGTGCCTTTAGCGATATCTTAAACTTGTTTTGCTGCACCGTCACCTCCGTCTTCATCTGCTCCAGGTCTGGTCGCTCGATTTTGACCACCTCGGCCAGCAGCTGCTCCTCCAGTCCGTCCGGCGTGACCGTAAAGTTGATCAGGGTAGTTTGCGCCTGCATTTCCGGCTTATAATGAGGATTGGGCAGTTTGGTGTGCAGTATGAGCCGGAAGTTGGCATGAAACTCAATCTCCTTGTCGCCAATGCGCAGGTATCGCCCCTTCTTGATCAGCGCCCGGCTAAGCAGTGGTTCCAGCACGGTGTCCATCGTCTCCTCGATCTGTTCGATCAGCACGGTGTCGCCCTGAGAGATGCTTTTCTCCAGAGCCTCCAGAAATCCCCGTTGCCGCAGACGCAGCACTACCAGATCAGAGCCAAAGCGGTTCTTGATCCACTTAATGCCCTGGCTGTGAAGTAGATTTATTTGAATTTGGTATATTAATTTTTTGGAAAAACTAGCTAACTTATTAAGTCTTATCCTTAATTTTCCCGGAAGAAAGTAAGTATTACTTTATGCACTTACAGTTGGGGGTCAATCATCAGCGGCCACCGCGTGGAGTACTGCAGGATGGTGGCATTCTCCGTCGACATTCTGTCCATGGGCAGGCCCTCATTGTTCCACGCGGCTATCTGGGCGTCATCCGAAAACAGGGCCAGAGTGTCGACGCCCTCGGTGTGCGGGATGTGCGGCTGCCATGGAAACGTGAGAAAAGAGGAGCAAGAGGATAGCGAGCTAAGTCCCAGGACTTGTCAAGTGAAAGTGCCGGCACTTTTACTCGGCTACTTACATCGATTTTGCGAAAGTTCGGCAGCCACATCTTGTGCTGCAGCTCCTCCCGGTAGCGGCGCGAGAAGCATCCCACGTACGACAGGAACGAGGAAATTAACAGTATATCTCCGGGCAGGGTTCCAATCTTGGCCTGCAGGCTGCTTGGTTGGAAGGGGGGAGCCATAAGAAAGGATGCGGAAGTCAATCGGGAGCGGGTGTCGGCTCCCATTGGGGGCGCGGGTGGTAATCTTCCATTTGATGCTAACAAATCGTATAAATTACGGTAGCAGGAAGCCAAAGGTTGCAGGCGCCCGGCTTCCCGGCAGCCGATGCAGCCTCCGACTCGAGCTGCCGCTGCATTTAAATTTAAATGAGGGGAAATTGAAAAAATAATGATGTCGGAGCGGAAGTAGCAGGTTGTTGCTGCCTTTGTTGCTGACATTGTTGATGATGGGAGGATGCCCGGGATGCCAGGATGCCGTGGGAACAAACTCAAGAGGTTGCATAAATTATCGGAAATTGCTGCATGCCAGCTCTTATTGAAATATTTTAGCTTATTAAGTCAAAAAGGGAGAGAGAGTCCTGCGCCGGACAGTGTCCTGCCCCAGTAGCCCACTTTATGCGACATACTTGAGGCAGTTAAACTATTTTCAATTAGTTATTCCCAGTGGCCTCCCCAGAACTTTAAAAGCACGAATGATTTATGCTCATTTGCGGGCACGTTCATATGTTTATGTTAAAAGACTCTGGCAGACGATGCTTTGTAATTGAATAATCCCCATAATTGCTTGTGCAGTCCAGAGACGTGTCAGTGCCTCCTCTTAATTGAATTCATTGTGGGTTTCCGGGAATTTTAAATGAATATCATTGGACCCCCCTTTAAGAAATTCCCGACTGCGCTCCTGGTGGTCTACCTTTATGCAATAATTGTTTTTGCCGAGCTGCTGTTGTGTTGAGTTTTGGTGAAATACCTGTCAGGTGACATAAGAGCATTCTAGTTTTATAACGGATAGTATTTTTCGAAGGCAGCAGCCCGAGCAACCCGAGCAGCCCAGGCATTGGCAGATGCAGTTGTAGAACCAACAACCAACAATAAGTTGGCAAACAAATGCGAGTATCCTGGCGTACAGGACCGAGGTGTGCGTCTGTGTGTGCGTGCGTAATGTCATTGTCAAATATGCAGAAATTTATATGCAAGTCAGAGCAGCTTACACACACCATGCACACACACCGACACCATCGCCCCCACAGGTACAAACAATTTGCTGTTGTGGGTCAAATTATATTTTCATAAATATTTGAACAATTCCCAGGAGGACCCAGAATCGAGGCTGCTGCTCCTTTGGCAGTGCATTCAATGGGCATTAGTTTGTATGGCCAAGGATAGCCCCAAAAACCCCACCCAGAGAGCATAAATTCACAGCCCGGCAGAGTTGGGAAATTTCTCATTTTTCGTAATTCAATACGTATTTCATATGCATTTTATATATTCCCTGCTTCCTGCTTCCCAAGCGATTTGGCTGCTGACGCTGCCCATTGCCCGCTGCCCTGCTGCCCGTGTGTGAGCTTTGCACTTGTTTAGGTGCGAAAACTGCAGCATTTCGAACACTATTCCCCCTGCGCCTTACCCCTTTATAATACCAGACCCGAAACCCATCATCATCGGAGCCCTTTGCGGATTTTCTTTTGGCTTGCACGCGCACTCAATTGAATTTCAATGAATGCAGGCAGGCAGCCAGCAAGCCAGCCAGTCAATGGGCAGCCAAAGGTGTCGGAGTGTTGTGCGTGTTGTGTGTACTGGGGTATACATATATGTTACTGGTACTGAATATGTACCTCCCTCGAACTGCCATTGACATCTATATGAATTTGATTACGTTTTTTTGCCGATGGTTTATATAATTGATGGGTGCGTTCGAGTGAGTGGAACATTTTTTGGTAAATTCATGGCCCCCCCCAGGTGCATGTTTGAGTTCAAAAAGGGGTGGAGTTTTAGGCGGATATTCATTAACTCGCTTATTCAGTAAAAACTTTGAAATATTCTAAAATTTTATCCAAAATGGACATGCAATATATAGTATAACTGGGAAACGATGATGATGATGTCACCTGTCGACTCCTGTCTATTATTTAAATGAATTTATCTAGTGTTCGAATATTTTGCATGCATTTCTTTTTATATCTGATATATTTTTTCATATTTTCCATTTGGTGATGAAACGAAATTGGAGCATTGAAAGCACTAATTTACGGTTTACAATGAAAGTAAAAGTAATATCAACATGACCACAAAACACTATCAATGTGTCAAGCATATTTTTTATTGATAATTGAGAGGCTTTCATTTTCAATTGATTCATTTGGATTGACTCACAAAGCCTTACAATTAAAAATAAGTGGAAAGCTGATTACATATCAGCTTGGTATATTTCAATGCAAACGTTTAAGTCTTTAGGTATATCTGTTTACGTTCATGTGTTATCCATATTGAGATGCATTCCAGCTGAAGGTGAACCTGAACCTGAAGAGCCTCTAAATCCTAATAGGCTTTGCCACCCTTCACACCCCGTTTTCCTTTCATCCCTGCATCTCCTTATATATGTATATATCCCTCTCATAGCGCCAACTTTCACACTTGTCAACTGCAATTGTTGGCTTGTTAGGCAACCGAGCTTGTCGCACCTTGGCACGACGTTTTCGTGGCTCACGTCACCAGGAGTGCCAGAACCAGGATTAGCATGGTCTCATCCCCTTACTCTCCTCAAGTGTGAGTACGTGAGAGCTGTTTAAATGCATTTCGGTTAACTGCCAATGATTTTTGCAAATTGTTGCCACTCCAGGCGGTTCATTGCCATCATCCGGCCAACGAGCACATTGGGCCGGGGTCGCCATTTGCGATCGAAGTCGGAGTGTTGGGGTCGCAGACCTCGGAGTGCGCCAAATGGGAGCGAGTAAATAAAATTTACGGCCTTTTGTTGCTGCGGTGGCCCGCAAGTAAGCGAAATTCGCATACACTTGCAATTATATTCCACTTATTTATCTTTTTTGATATTACAAAAATATATATAAAATTAAGCAGAACATGGCCGTAGGTCTGTGTAGATACTAAATTAGGTCTATTATAAAATATGTAATTGCGTGACTTTTTTAAGAAAAGGAACTCAAAATTGTCTCTAGGTGTATCACAGTCCCTCCATCGGCCTCAGAGGGTGTCAGAACAAGTGGCAGGCAAAGCAATTACAGCGATTGCGGCGCACACAGAATGTAAATTAAATTTAATAATTGATTACGCATAAATGCAGTGCACCCAGCCGCAGTGCCACCCGCACCCGTACCAACAGTGGAAGCCACTGACCCACTGGATAAATGGGAACTCACCTCTGGACGGACTCCCGCCAGCGCACATTCTCATTGGCCAGCCCGTTGACCAGCCGGTGGGCCAGGTCGATGGTGAAGGAGGTCTTGTCCGCCTCCTGCTGGCAGCGCTGCTTCTCCGCCACCGCGTTCTCGAACTCGGCCTGGATCTCGGCCAGTTTGGCCTCCAAATTATTGATTTTCGCCTTAAGGTACTGCAGCCGTTCGCGGGCCTCCAGCAGCTCTTGGTGCGAGTCCTGGAGAGCCTGTTGCTTGGGTCCGACGATCAGGAAGACCTGGTGATAGCGGTGCAGGTTGATCACCCAGGCACACAGACCGGCAGCAGCCACCGACTTTTGCACCACCTTGTCGGGATTGAACTCGGGATCCTGGAAGCAATTATTAAACAAGTTATTGATTGGTTAATCCTTGCAATGACTAAAAAACTTTGTTTTTCATTTATAGACTATAAAAACGCGCAGGTAAAACTTTTAATCGGTTTCCCGGGATTACAATTTCAAATAACTTTTTGTTTGAAAGTGGTTTTCAGATTGCTGTAAAGGTAGACAGTTGAAAAACCAAACAGCAGATAAAATGTTTAACAAAAAATTTAGTTTTTTAAATCAATTTGTGTACTAAATCCATAAATACTTTATCCTTAAAGTATCTTTATCCTTAATTTCGACATATACCATGCGCTCACCTTGAGGTATTCCTGCAGCGTTTCGATGATGTTGGGATGGATGTTATCCTTGTTGTAGTTGAGCAGATCATTGAGGAACTGGTCCACGCGCACCATCATCAGTTTCGCCGCCTTCCAGCTACGATCCCGGGGAATCTTTCCGTTGATGGCCAGCAGGACCATAACGGCGGCACACACGTTGATCACGGCCTTGGGCGGCGAGCCGAAGGACTTGAGCTCGGTGAGGTTATTCTTGTTCAGTGTGTTAAGCGCCGCCTGGGCAGCTACTAAGGCTGGCTCCGCCTGGCGGAGGTCTTCCTCACACATCTTGGTCTTAATTGAGACATCCTCCTCGATGATGCGCACCCGCTTCTCCTCCTCGGAGGCTATGTGTCGCTCTCGCTTTACCTTCTCGCTCTCAGCACTCACAATCACAATCAGCTTGTCGGCGGCTGCGTTCTTGGCGGCCAGCTGCACCTCCTGAATGGCCAGTTGGTGCTGTGGAAGATTTGGGAAGGTGGTGGGGTTTGGACGTCAATTGAAACTCAAAGCCAAAATCAAAGTGAGCTGAAAACTTTTTGGCTGACGAAAATAATTAAAGCCACGGCACGATGGCTCAATATTTACGCAGCGCAACTTTATCGCACAAACTGCGGGCAAATATTCGCCTGGGGTGGTTCTAGTGATGGCAAGGGTTCGTATCAAGGTAGTATTCTTACAAAATATTTGTTATTTTTAGGAATACCAATAATAAAAAAAAATCAATTTTAAGTGCTCTAAAAGCACTATTTACTACATGAGAGAATACCTTTTAGTTACTAATAATAATAAAATAAAAATTCTTAACTTTTTAAAGTCAAAACGGCTTTTCTACATTTTAAGTTCCACAAGTTTAAGCGTTCTTTTCCCATCACTAAAAAACACAGGATATCTACAAGAGAAGTGTGGGGAAAAACCGCTTTCAGGAATATCGAAACTGTTTTCGTTGAATGGTGGCGAATTCAATTTAATTCAATTAGTTTAAATAACATTTGGCCCCCTTTCACTGGCCACTCGATGGGCCGTTGTTTAGCGACACAGACGAAAAGCCGGTGGGCTTCCGTTGCGTATACGCGATGTAACCGGAAGCGGCGTTAAAAACTCAAAGAATGGCAGCGCCAGAGTCTCTGTGTCGGGCCTTCCGCTTCTCCGGTTTCCGCTATCGATGCTGGCCCCAGGGCTAAAAGTAAACGAACAAAAAAGCAGAGTAAGGCGGGCCGGCGGACATCAGATTTGCTGCAACAATAATTCAATTAAGCGCACTAATTGAAAGGCAGTCGCGTCGCCACCGGATCGAATAGCAGAATTTCCATTGAAAGCTGATGCCCCGTAAAGATCCATTTTGAGGGCATTCTGCATTCGTGTTTAATTAATATTTGATGGCAGGCGTGCGGATTTTCGCTTTAAACTCTGCTGAGATGTGCATTGTAAACTTTTATATGTATGGAATAGTATTGAAAGCACATGAACAAGGAGAAAAAATTATTTTAAATTAAATAAATCGGAAGAAGAGTTTATGTTTTATATTAAATAATATATAATTAAATAATATATATCTGCTTTTAATGTAAATTAAATTATTAAATGTAATTAAACCTTAAAACTGCCTTCTTTTACTTTACCAACTTTCTTTCGGTATAATATCATTACTCTATAATTATCTGTAAAAATGTTCTATCTAAAACTACAACATTGGTGGAACAGGATTCACTACAAGCACAGAAACACCCACATCCACCTCCACATTTCATTCTCATATGGCATATGGTCGCCACTCCATCACTTACTCACCTTCAGCGTGTCCACCTGACGGGCGCACTCCGCCAGCTTGGCCATGCCGCTCTGCAGCCGGGCGATGCGCTCCGCGAACTCGCCGTTTTTGTCCACCAGCAGTTTGCGGTAGAGAAATATGTATTCCAGGAAAGTTTTCGGGGTCGTGTAGTTGTAGCGTTTTTCATTCTGCAGATAAATTCTCGATATCTGATTCACGGTGCCATGGACGTAAGCCATAAAGCAGCCGATGGGCGGCACCAGGCCGGGCTGCATGTAAATTTCAGGGAAAAGCGGAAGAGAAAAAGGTCGGGAAGGTCAGTCGTTTCAACGCCGGTGGGGCTTATAGTGTCCAACATGACATTTTGCAGTTGTAAATTGTGGCCGGCAGACAAATAAACTAAGGGAGATGGTGCAGCCGGAACACTCAGAAAAATAATCACTTAATTTGTAGAAAAAAATATAATAACTAAAATGACAGAATACACAAAAATAAGCATATTTTAAAGAACTTAAATATATACCCTAAATACCATAAAAAAATTAATTTCCTTACCTCCAGAATCCCGTTGATTTCGTTGAGAAACTTCTGGGAAACTGACTCCAGGGCGCTTTTGGGCCACTCGTGGAACCAGTCAATGGCCGTGCGGCTAATGATCGCCGGGAATTTGCGGGCACGTACTCGCAGCGTTTGGCCCACCGGCGAAAAGCAAAGCACCACCTTTAGCAGCCGGCGCACCTTCTCCACGAAGTACCGCCAACAGTTCTCCTTGGTGTCTAGCGTACCGCTCTGCTTAACCTCGTTCCGTATCCCGTTGGTGATGGTGTCCAATTGATCGTCATTAAAGAGCTCCGGAATTTCTCCCGAGGCCAGCAGATCATTGATGAGCATCAAGATGGATTCGTCCGGTATCTGGGCGTCGGAGATGAGAAAAACCGAGGCCAGATTCTTTAGGCCCACCTTCATATAAAGGCTGGCGATTTCCTCCCGCATATCAAACAGACCAAATCCTCGCTTGATCTGGATCTGGGAGACACTGAGCGAGGAGATAAAGGCCGCCAACCGGGCCAAGGTTTGCTTGCCGGAACCACCGACTCCGATAAGAAGAGCGTTACCCCGTGGACTTTCCAGGATGCGATTGATCCTAAAAAGAGTCGAAATAAATCGTACAAAATATACAATAATTTCAAAAACTATAAAATAATAGAATTTAAAATATATATCCACTTAACGATATAATTCCACTTACCGGCACACATGTATCATGGCATCCTCGAACAGGACGAGATTCATGTAGCCCACCACCTCGTTGTAGCTACCCTGGGCCTCGAGCAGCAGCTGGTAGAGCGAGTCCCAGCTCTTGAGGGGCATGTACTTCTGGTCCACCAGCGACTGGGCAAAGTGACTGTAGATCAGGGGCTCCGCAAACACAAAGTCCTCGTCAAAGTCCTCAAAGTCCTTCTTGAAAATGTCCCGAATGGATGACTTGAACGACTTAATGTCATAAGGATCGACCAGGCGATCATGATAGACTCGAAAGGCCTCGTGGACGTAAAACCTCATCAGCTCCGAGGGTCGGCCACAAATGGTGCCCCCATAGCCGGAAGCACCTCCGCCCATAGCTGCCGGAGCACCGATGCTGTTCATCAGACCCTGATAGATGCCCGTTAGATCCCGTAGGTTGAACAGGTAGTGGAACTTGAGGGCTGTCGGCAGAAAGGCGTATTCCACCCGCCGGTGCAGGGCGATGCCTACACGAACCAGCAGACTGCCAATTGATCGGATCTCCTTGCTGAATCCTTGGGTAGGGCTCTCCAAGTGACTGCCCAGAATGCTGCCATAGATGTGGTGCAAGGTGTCCTCACTCGGCGAGGCTACCGAGAACACGCAGAAGTGCCGTTGCAGGCGAGGATCGATGGTAAAGGAACCAGCGGTCGGATTCATGCAGGCTGCAAACTGACAGTGCCGGATGTCCTTTAGTTGCAGCCGCTGTCGGTCGTACCTAAACAAGAAAAATAGAAATATAAACCGGAAATTATGACAGTTAAACTTCTCACTAACCACTGCCTGTAGTCCATGAACTGGCGCATTATCGTATGAGGTTGGACCGTGCCGTAGGCATCCACCTCCGGCATATTAAGATCGTTCACAAAGTAAATGAGCCGGCGCTTGGGACCGCTTGGTGCATAGCAGCGGCCGGACTTCTTCTCCAGCGGCCGGTCCAGCATCTTCTGGAATATCTCCGAGCTGGTGTAGAAGTTAAAGTGTGTGGCCTGCACTGTGGTCAGCAGGGGAGTGGCCGAGGAGGAGGCTTTCCGGCGCACAACACCCACACCTGACTGGGCAGCAGTTTGATTTGATTGTTGCTGGTGTGTGTCCGCCACGGAAACCGATGTCACGGCCACTTCAAGCAGCTCCTGGTCGCTGGCATACTGGCTGAACAGCTCACGGAATATGGCACCCTTGCCGCAACCGGAATTGCCAACGAGCATGCAGGCCAGGTTGCGGTCGATGAGCAGACGGAGGAAGTAGCCCAGCCGAGTGGTCTCCGCCGTGGAAATGAGAATGTTCTGGACCATAAAACGGAGAGCTCAGGGAATACTACTTATATATACTTAAGATTTCTTTAAAATTCACACCTGCAAAGGAGTTTCCGCGTCGATTTGTCCCTCCAGCTGCTCCTGTGTGGCTAGTTCCGACCAGGGCTGGAACTTAAGGGTCTGCACATTCAGCTGATAATCAAAGATAGTGCCTTGGCTGGGAAGCTTGATGTCCTTGAACTCGCCAATCCACCACTTGTGGAACTCCCGGTGCCAGTCGATGATCACATCCTGGCTGAGAGCAGAGCCAAAGCTCCACACGGTTGCGTACACGAAGATGGTTTCCAGAGCAGTGATCATCGCCTCGTGCGACAGTTCGCCGTGGTGTAAGCTGTGTGGATTTCCTGCTCCCCCAGCTCCACTGCCCCGACCTCTTCCATCGCCGCCGCTCTCGTCGCTGTCCAGCAGACACTCGAGCAGGTAGCAGGCCATTTGAATCATGGCCATGTCCGTGATGGGAGTGATGCGGCGAAAGTCGCGATGCCGCTGCATCAGACAGGGAAAGTACTTCTCGAACAGGGTGGTCAGGATGCCCCGCTCAATCATGTCAACTCGGGTCTCCAGCCACGAGGACACGTACCTTTTAAATAATAAATTTTTGTAATATTTTATTTTCAAGGAATTATTTGAGACTACATACGGGGACCATCCCAGATCCTGTGGATTGATGTACAAAATGCCCGCCCGGGAGACTGTTGCCGGAGTGGCTGCCTTCAGATGTCCCACTTCAAAGAGCAGGCGCATCTCACGCTTCAGCGAGATCCTCTCGTTGCTGGCCAGGGTTAGAATCTTATTGTCATCCATCAGCGTATTTAGACTTTCGATCCACATGGGATCAATGTCTCCGTCCAGAACTATCCACTTGGGATTCCCCGGCGGCATATTGGCCTGCTCCCTCATAATGGAGGAAAACAGGCCATCCTTCCACTCCCGGGTCGTGGGATTTACGATGCCGAACAACTCGTCATTGGAGAGAGCCTTGGGATTGAGCACATGGCAGACGGGCTTCATCTTTTGGATGCGATAGGTTTCGCGGAGCGTTTGCCAGATTTTTGTCTTGCCCGTGCCCGCATTGCCCACAATAAACACCGAGTGACGCACATCCAGGAGCTCCTGCAGCTGCACTACCTTCATGAGGAAGCCCTCCTCCGGCTGCAGCTTGATCTCGTTCACCGCCCGCCTGATGGTCTTCTCGAACTCAAAGACCCGCTTGCGTGGCACATCCAAGGCCGGAAATAGGTCCCCAATCAGACCCATAAATATGGGCACGTCCTCCGTGACAATCTTGGGTATGTTAAAGTCTCGGAGCGCTCGCATCAACACCTGATCCTCCGGCCGGCTGTGGTCGTCTCGCTTGAGAGTGCCAGCCACCACCAGAACCGATTTGATGGCCCGCAGGCCCCAGTCGTAGTGATCCTGCTTGGACAGCAGCTCCTTGCACAGCGTGTACAGGGTGATAAATTTGCGGGCCAGCAGACGGGCGTCCTGGAAGCCCTCGGCCATTAGCATAATCTCACAAATCAAGGCGAAGTCCGGCACAATCATGGCGCACGGCCGGAACAGGGTCTTCAGGTTCTCCGGTAGCTCCGTGCGACCGGCGTAGCCGGGATTCATGGTGATAAAAATTCCGACCGACGGCTCCAGCGAAATGCGCTCGCCCATAAAGATAAATTGGGTTTTATGCATCTGCAAACAGTGGGGGCCAGAAGAGAAGCAGTACGGAGCAGGACAGCAGTGTCCGGGAAAAGTAATCAATGCAGCATGGCGGAATGGAGGAGCAGGAGCAGAGTGGGTAAAATCAATTTGCAAGCGGACAGCGTCGTCGTGGCCATACCTTTATCGCCTCCTGTATGGTCTTCACCTGGACGGCCACCACGGAGAGGACCTCCACGCAGATGCGATTGAACTCGTCAAAGCAGCCCCAGGCTCCCGTCTGCGCCAGTCCCTTGTAAATGTTGCCGCAAGATTTGTAGTCCATTTGCTCCGAACAGTTGAAGACATAAACCATTACGCCCAGGGCGCGTCCCAGGTCCTTGGTGGTCTCCGTTTTGCCTGTGCCAGCGGGTCCGGCGGTTGCACCGGCCAGCCGCAATCGCAGCGACTGATGGCAAGATAGCAAGATAGCAGGATGCCAGGTTGTCAGGAGAAGGTGCAGCAGGAGCAGGAGAGGTGGCATATGTAAATGAAAAAGGAGCATTTATTTTCCACTAACGAGTTGTTTAATTTGCCGCGGGACGAAGCGAAGCGGGGGAGGGAGGAGGTAAAGCAATACAAACTGGTGATCGCCTTGTTAATGGCTGCTTCCGCTGTGGTTTTATACAATCTCTCCTCCCCTCAATTCAAATTTATTTCTCAATTGTATGGCTTGCCGGCTGCCTGAAGGATGTTTATGATTTCTGTGAGGATTTTGTGTTTATTGCAAACACTTTTGGTTATCCATAGCTAAGCAGCTTTATTCCAAAAGCTAAAGGGGTTTTATCAAATTTTTATTTGGCTTCAGTTACAATTAAATTTCTTTAATATATATTTTCTTTTATTATGGCTGGCCAACGAGATTTTTGGATTAAAATTGGGTTGTATTATTTCAGAAATATACATGTTTGCTTGGTGATAAAAACATTTTGTTAAACATCTTGATTGAAATGAAATGAATGTGCTTCAGGTGGCTTAAATACGCAATACATTTATTATAGAATAAATAAACATTTGGCAGAACAATGCTTGAAAATGGTGATGTCCTCGAAATACATAAATATAAACCCTTCTCCATAATAATATCAATTACAAAATACATATTCAATTCCTATAATTTCCCTTGACAAGAGTGAGTGATTCACACTGATTACATTCACACTTTAATTTTGTTAGAGCATTCGACACATTCTGTCAGTTCGATTCAAAGGTGTCGCCGAGATAACATCCGATAAGGCAGCCGTGCATGAAATATGCCACTGTCAGGGACAAAAATCTGTGCTAATTGCACGCGCAAATACATTTATTTTATTGAATTTCCGTTCAGTGGTCCCTGTCCTCTCACTGCCACACCGACACTCTTTTTACTTTGACTTGCCGCTGCTGCTTTTAATATATTCAAGCCACGGGACAATGGCTTTCAATTATTCAAAGCCGGCTATGGACTTTACATTTGTAGCGGATTTCCGCTGCTAAAACCATTAACGCCCACTGGCAGGCGACGAACAGGTTTATATTTAATTCAGTGCTCGTTAGAAGGGATTTTGCCTTGGCAACTACTTGCTGCAAAGTGAAAGTGAATTGGCTTGGTTGAGCTATCGACGTTGCCATGTGCTCGGCTTGTTAAGGGTTATATTGCGTATACGCACCTGGGTCAGGGTAATGTAGCAGCGATCTGTCAGCGGAGTGATGACCAGCCGTGAGGTATTTCCAAGATACTCGTAGGCATACCGGAACTCGGCATCGCAGATGTTGGCAAAGCAGTCGTCATCTCCGCCACCGCAACTGATCGTCGTGCTTGCCCTTCCGCTAGAGCTACCCGCCTGGTCGTCGTCCCAGCGATGCCGCAGCTGGCTCTGCCACTGGAAAGCCAGGGAATTGTCCACCTTGGTGGCTATGATCTTGCCCACAACGTCGCGCGAGTGCACGTCGATGGTGCAGATGGTCATGATCTTTTGGCGATCGCCAGGCGACAGCTCGCCCAGCAGCAGATTGATCAGCGCGTTTAGCTGGGCAATCTGGCGCTTGTGGAGCTCCTTCATCACGCCCTCGTAGCCCTCCTCCATGCAACTAAAGGACCTGTTCACGTCCGCCGTCCAGCTGATCTGGCTGCAGCAGAGCGCCACCTGGGCGGGCCAGTCGTAGAGCCACAGTTCGCGGGGTTTCTCCCCGAAGGCCCGCAGCGCCCTGCGGAACAGTTCGTGCAGGGTGCTCCGCATCTGCAGGATAATGGCTCGCAGCCAGAGTTCCACTCGTCCGTTGCACACAATAAAGGCAGGCTGATCCTGTTCGCAGGCCACAAAGGGCACATACTCATCGTTCTCCTTCGAGTGCATGCCCACCGCGTTGGGGGTATTCGTCTCGTACTGCAGTCGAAGTATCGAGTCAAAGAGCTTGATCAAGTGGCGGTCGATCACCTGGGGATTGTTGCCATTGGACAGGATGTCTAGCAGATCGGCCGCGGAGATGAAGTAGAAGCGGGGGAAGGCCAGCCTCTTGGTCTCCAGGTAGTCGTTCAAGGCCTTTTCACATATTGCCAGGCGCTGTTGAAGCTGGAGCAACTGGGCCAGGACATCGTCGTGGCCGAGGACCACCTGCATGACCACTCGTATGGTACTGACCTGTATGTGGGAAGTAGAAGGGTTTAGTAACAGAAATGAATAATTACCTATTTCACCTTGGCTAGCAGTTCTGTGAAGTCCGCGTCGATACGCTCAAAATTCGCCGCATCCGCCGGCAGCTGGGCGCGAATGTCCGCTGAGCCTATAAAGATGCACTCCAGGTAAATCCACTTGCGCTGCACCTCGAACCAGTTGACGATGAGGGTGTCGATGCCTCCCAGAACGCGCTGCCAATGGGAGAGCTTGTCCAGCAGATACTCTATATGCTTCGAGGTGGAGATGTTCTGCAGCTGCATTTGATTGTCGTCTAGAGTCTCAATGAGCTCTTCGGACACCTTCAGTAGCTGGATGTTAGGCCGAGTGTGATGCTGCTCCAGCTCGAACTCCAGGTGCGCCCAGGTGGCCTTGATCTCGTCCAATACCTTGGTAACAGTCATCTCTTTGATGGCACGGTCCACAGTGTTCTTGATATCCTCTTCGTGATGCTGCAGCTGCAGGGTCAGCAGCTGGGCCAAGCTCGTGGATTGATTGCATTTGTAGGTAAGCTAAAGGGGCGTATACACAATGTGTGTATTTCAAAGGAATATTACGCATACGTAGCAAGGGACTCATTAGCTACCGAAATTTGAAATTTGAATATATTTAAATGGCTTCAAGGCTTACTTGGCCTTTGTGCACAAGCTTCCTAACCCTATGCTACTTGGTGTAAGTTAAGTAATTATGTTATGTTTTGAATTAAAAATAAATCAACTATTAATCAGTCCAGTTATTTAAATTATATATAAAAACATATACAAATATTTTGATGGTCAAGTAAATTTGAAACATCTTTAAATAATTTCTCTAAGCAGGTCAGTGTATAGTTATTAATCGGTCTGCATGCATAGTTATGAGATAACCCGGCTGTCTATCCAAAGTCGTACAGTGTTCACATTAATTATCCCATATTTTGACTGAATTCCGAAAATTTAATTAACAGGGCTGAGCATTGCATCCATTCCGCTCTCGCCTCCGGCTATGTGGAGCACAAAGCTCGGATAAGCCCATTGTTGCCGGACTTTGTAATGGATCCAATGCCAATGCCGTTCAACAATGCACATATTTCCATGAACAAAACCCCCCCCAAACAGCGGACCTTTGGCTTGTGGCTGTTTTTGATTAGGCTTAGACGAGTAAATGCGATAACTAGAGCTTATTTCATGATTTAATGATTTTGTTATAGTTGCAGCATTAGATTTTCATTTACACTTACCAGCTCCTCCATGGAATGCTGTCCACTTAGCTGAGCATAAAGTCAATAAGCGAGGAACTTGATTAGATTTTAGCAATGAATGTGACAGACAATAGTTTCACAAGTTTCGGGTTGCAAAATCATATTCTTATGGCTGCTAGGACATCGCCTCATGTGAGTCATCCTGTAGCTGCATACCTGCAGCTTCACCTTGCCATGGGCTTTTGGCACCACACCACCTCCGCTAATTTGTGTTTGCCAAAGCGCCTTATTGTGCACTCGCAACAAAGAGACACATCAGCGGGGATTGCAGATTGCCGGCTCCATGCCATTGTTGGCTCGCTCAATCATTTGGAAAGGACACACAGCATTGCATCTAACCCGAAATCCCCAGACACAGAACCCACAACCCATTGAGCAAGCTCACCTTTGTCAGCTGCATCAGCTCCAGCCAGTGGCGCTCCGTAATTGCGGGATTCTGCAGCTCCGTGATGGCCCTCAACGAGGCTAACAGCTCGCGGAGTACGCCCACAATATGGACATAGGGCGCCCACTCGCGTATACACTTGTCCAGGGTGCGCAGGTCGCGGGTGAACTTCTTGCACTCGTGCTCCATGTCGTCGGTGTCGATGAGCAGCCACGGCGTGGCGTGCCAGTCCACGATGCACGACTCGATGACGCGCACAAAGTCCCACAGTTGCTGCGGGCAGGGGTTGTAAGGTTATAAAAAAAATGGATTGACTAGATCTTGTCAATGCCCCCATCATCACTCTTACCTTGACTCGACGCAGCTCCACCATGCACAGCTGCAGGGTGGCGGAATCGGGAGGCGTTATGTCAAGGAGGCGTGCCCAGCGAGAGTAAAGGCGCTGCTGGCGACTGAAACGGTGGAGACGTACATAGACCTCGTCGCAGGCTTCGTAGACATCCGAGCAGGGCACCCGAAAGAACTGTAAGCAATAGGGAATATTGAGTAGGGTATCGAAGCCTTGGTGTATATCAGCACTTACTGGCATCTTTTGGAACTGGCGGGCATAGTGATGCAGGTGGCATGTGTGCAGGGCAATGAGGGCCGTCACACGCTGCTGCTGGTGAAAGCGCGTGTCCTGGAGCGCCTCCTGCTTCACCGTGCTGCACTGTTTCAGTTGCTGCCACAGCTGCGGCAGATGCTCGATGCTGCGCAGTAGCTGGGGCTCGAACTCCACGTTGTAGGTCTTTAGCAGACCCATGATCTCTTTTAGCGGCTTGAAGACGTTGTCTGCGTAGGGCTCTCGCCGCCGGATCTCCGCCATGATGGCAAGCACGCGAAGCAGGGCACGGAAATCGGTCCTGGCAATGTGAAGCCGTAAGGTCTCATGACCGCGGGCTATGAAGGCAGTTAGTTCCTGATTTTTTAAATTTAAATTATAGTAAGTAGTTTATAGATAAGATATAGTTCTAAGGTTACCTTGAGCGTGCCTTGGACGTAGCGCAGCAGCCACTTCTTACACAAATGCGACCACTTACAGGCCAGGTTGAGCAGGCCGAACTTCAGGGGCTTGAGGTCCAGGGCCAGCCATCCATTGATGCATTCCCTGTTCTCGGTCTGGTCAATCGCGTCGTGCACTTCGTTGTAGTTCTCGATCTGCGGAGGCGGACATGGGATGACTTGACTGCTGACAACTTCATTGGCCAGGCCCAGTTCTGCCTAATTTATTTGCTAATTTGCCACACATGCACATGGGTGTGGGATGGCTAAGCCCGTGTGCTGTTTATATACTATTCGCTCCGCTGGCGTCGCTTTATTAAGCGCACCAGCTGCGCCAGGGGCAACTCAATGGCTAGTCATAAATAAAATGCCGGCCAGTGATTTCTCGTGCTCTATATTCAGTTCGGGTATCCCTAAAGTGATGCCTTGAATAACTAAATTTTTTGGGATCAAAAGATCTTTAGGAAGACAGCTTGGCATATTTTTTGTGAAAGAAAATAATAATTACTTACATTAATTACATATTAAATATTTTAAGAATTTTCATTATACCACTAACTTCATTCAAGGGATGTTAGAACTATTTGGGAATTATATGTGCACACGTGGGAGATTTTTTATTGTCCGATTTTTAGGGCAAATTCGCAATGGTTTAAGAAAGGATCTAAAAAACTGCCTAAACTTAAGAAAAACAAAAAAATGAAGCCTAAAAAAATTATATTATTAGTTTAAGGGTGAATTTCTTTTAGAGGCGATTTTTCTTAAATATAGAAAATTATTTATATCAGTGCACTTCTGCTAAGTTTCGGCTAAGCTTCAATGTATTTGGCTTCTTTGAAATGAAAAAAAGAAAAAAAAACTTCCCCTAAATCAGATTTAATGTGCCTTATCAGACCATTCAGAGTTCGTTGTTTCCCGGTAAAGAATCTCCCTTATTTTATTGGGGCCACACCCAATTTCACACGCCTTGCCCTCCGTGTCTGTGCACTTTGACCATGATTTGTTGTAGCCCGTTGTGTGCTTTGTGTGTGCTTGTGCCTTTCGGGTAATTTATTGCATACTTTTCGGGGCGTTTGATAATTGTTTAAAGAAAATATTACGCATACGTCGGCGATTTGCCTGGCTCCCAATTGCCCCCGAACATAAGTCAGCGACGCCATGCGGCGCTTAAGCAGTTGTTTAGTGTTTTGCCCTGCTTTGTTTCGTTTGGCTTGGCTTGGCCCGGTCTTCCGCCCTGGTCAGTTGGCGCTGCCACACATTTGACCCTAAATGGTCGACATTTATCAAGCGTTATTGGTCTCAGGGGCTACATGGCGTAAATTGTGCGGTTGCCAATTGAGTTGCGTCTGCGAGCCACTTTTCCACTTCGGCTTCGGCGGGTGTGAGTGTCGTCGTCGTCCGTCGCCAGCCACTAAAGCTGTTGGCATCCGGTGCCCCAAGGGGCACTCGTATGTGCTCCTCTCGGATTCCTCGGCTTACCTCTTTCTTGAACGTCTCCATGATGGCGTAGCTGCCACCGCTGGCATGTATCGTCTGCTCTCTGGCCCTCTCCATGCAGGCGGCTAGAACGTCGCCGCTCTGTTGGGTCCACAGGAACGCATAGGCGTGGAATTTGGCAGCAAAAGCCGATGCCGCTTCAACCGTATCCGCCAGGGCATCGCGTATCGCCTTCTCCAGCATTTCCAGGCCATCGACTGGCGGATAGGAAATGAAAGAAACAGAAGGTGGCGAAAAAAGGACTCTTTGAATACACTTGCTGGAAATCTAGAGAAACGTTTACTAGTGGGGCTTGCTTCTGGGGAAACTTTATGCCCCTTCGAAAGGGTATGCGAAAAAATGCGGCAATTTTAGGGGGGAGGCATACCAGTGCATTCCATTTTTTGGCTATACTCCTTGGCAGCTGCCAGTAGGTTAAACTGCACGGCCTGCGGCTTTGGGTACTCCTCCGGCTCGTGCTCCTGCTCCGGCTCAAGTGCCTGCCCCTGCTCCTGATCCGGATCGTACTCCTTCGCCGTGTCGTCCTCGTCGTCTTCATCATCCTCTGACAGGGCACTGTCAGCCACAATTCTTGGCATGCAGTCGCATGTCTGTTTTATATCGAGCAACAGCTGCTCCACAATTTGTTGAAAGTTATTTTCCACACTTGCATCAAAGGCGGGCGAAAAGCGTATTTCCGTTTCCGTCAGCTCCAATTTTACTTCGAACAGCGGAGCATCGTTGACAGCACCACCTCCTGCCGCTGCTCCTCCTCCTGGTGCCGCTAGTGTTGCTCCTGTTGCCGATGTTGTTGTCGCCTGTGGCGTTGTGATTTGCTGTAGGACTACCCTTGCCAGACTTGAGTCCTCTGTTTGCTGCGCTGGCGCTGGAGTTGCCGTTGCTGTCATTTCTTTGTACAAATACTCTAAACTGAATTACACGGCGTATGAGTAATGTGAAAATTAAATTTAGTGCTGAGTTTGTCTTGCAGCTTATTTCGTTTGCCACAGTGGCAAGTCCTGGGAGCTCTACCCGCCCTCAGTTTGTCAGTCAGTCTGCCTCTCTGGCTGTCTGTCTGCATGCAATCACGAAAAGTGCCGCTAAGTGAAACATGCAATTGACGCATGAATGCCCATCCCGCGGCCATTTCTTGTTGCAATTGTGCTGCGATTGCTACAACTGTTGCCTCATGTTGCTGCGGTCTCGTGCCTGTGGTTGTTGCCGTCGCCTCTCTGCAGGTGTCTTTCGTATTTTTGCGGTTGCAGTGTGCGATTTCGTGCTCATTTACTTGATTAGCTCTGATGAGACATGAAAGCCGCTGCCAGCGTGTCGAAATGCAATGAATTTAGCTGTTTGGCTGCCAGTTAAAAATGGGTGCAATTGATTGGCGATGAGTGATAATGGATGGCAATGGCTATGGATATGGTATAGATAGAAAGTGTAGGGCAGGGTTCAAGTGCTAGTTGTAAACCTTATTCTCATCGCCTGGCGAACTTCGCGGTAGATCAAGGCGTCCACGCTGGCCAGGTACTTGTGATACTGTCGCCGCTGCTCCTTGGGGAATTCCCGAACAAACTTTTGTTTATAGAAAGATAAATAAAAACTTTACAGTCTAACAAGGATAATCCAAAGACCCACCTCCTGCACACTAAGATCCCGCGAATAGAGCTGAAACTCCTGCGATTCGTAGTTGAAGAACAGACAGAAATTGGCTATAAGCAGGCGGTTGAGCAGCATTTTCGTCTCATCGCACTGCAGCAGACGCAGACGCACTCGGTCCTGCTGATGGCGAAGATCCAGCAGATTCCGGCCATATAAGCTGCGCTGATGCAGCGGTTCCCGGCTCCAGCGACGCATGCTGGCCAGAATAGCGTCCAGATTGCCGTGCGACTGCTGCAGGCGGGCGTATAAGTCCCGGCTCTGTTCAAAGATACCGGCCACCAGCGGATCATCTGGAGGAGTATATAAATATACATAAGTATAAATGAGGAGAATAGCCTGTTTCCCCCACCCACCGTAATTCCGCCAGCTGAGCTGCTGACAGGCCACTCCCACTTGGTGGTCGATGGCGGCCAGTTCGTGGCCAATTAATTGAAGCTCGGCGGCAGCACACTCCCCAGAGCGAATGCCGTTGTAGAACTCCCCGATCTTGATTAAGCGGATCCGCCGCTCCCAATAGGCATCCCGGTGGTCATAGAGAGTAAGCAGGGGCTCCGGAAGCTGGAAGAGTTCGTCGGACAAGCTGCCAATAGCCTGCAGGGCAAGCAGATACTTGGTCTCCTTTAGCAGGGTAAACAGAATCGGCGAGAAGTTGAGGTATAGTTGACTATTATCTTGCGAACGGGAGAGCACCGACTCATCCAAGCCCCGGACAATAAGCCTGTCTATGCCCTCCTGCCAAGTGGTCCAGATCTTCATCTGCAGATTGCTCAGCTTGGTGGTTAAAATATTGCGACGCGACTGCAGGGAATTCCACTTCCGGGGCAGCGTATGGAGCTCCAACTTTTCTTTTAGTCTAATCATAAAATAAACTATTTGTACTTCATTATTTTATAATCATCTGGGCACACCTACAGTTGCTCAATGAGCTGGTTCAACTCTTTAGCACTGAACTCATTGCAGCGGCTTATGTGTTGCTCCAGCCACATCATGGCCCCGGCAATCGGCGGGAAGTTATTTGCCATGGGCACGGCAACCAGACCACGGATCTCGTAGCCCAGTAGCACCTCACCCACACCCTCCTCCAGCTGCACAAGTTCTGTGTCGTAAATACCAAGAATGTGTGGTAGGACACGAGCCAGCTCTGGACGGACGGCTCCGCGCTGCAGCAGGCAGCCAAACATCAAAGCTAGTCGAAGCAAGTGCGTCCAGCTGTGGCACTGCTCGAAAGCCTGAAGGAGCACGGTGGCTAGCTTCTGCTCCAGGACTTGCATGCGACCAAAGAAGAGGGCCTGCTCGCGCCGGAAGCTCCGCCACTTACTGGCCAATGGAGCTGTCAAATCGATGTCAACGCTGCTCCATTGCTCGAAGAGCAACTTGAACTCGCTAAAGATCTAAAAAAGACTCGTGTTTATTTATAATTTAATGAAAATAATGTAGAAAATTTAATATATTAAAGTATGTACCTCCCTGACGTGTGCGGTAAGAAGTTTTCCCCGCAAGCCACCAACTTCAAGCTTCTCCAATTGTTGGAACTGCACCGCCGCCTCGAACACCTGACGCAGCTCCGCAAGCTGGGCGGAGAAGCCATCCAGGGTCTGGCCAAAGACATCCTCGTGGCAGAAGCGCCAAAGCTGCTGCTGGTCATCAGGTGACGGGGATGAAGAGCCTACGGCCACTGCCCCTTCTCCAGGCAGGGCGGGCAACAGGACCTGGCTGCTGCCGTAGCGCTCCTTGTACTCCAACATACGATGTCTGTAATTTTTTAAAATTTTTGTTCCACTTGTAAAATTAAGACTAAAATTTTCAAGTATAGATTAATGAGCTTACTTAAAGAGTTCCAGGACCTCGGTGGTGCGATTAATCTTAAGCAAGCCCTCATCGGCGTCACCCTGGAAGAGTAGCTGAAACTCCAGATCCTCGGCAGCGCGGTGTACCAGCATATTGCAGATGCAGCGCAGCAGGACGCTCATCCTTTGGGTACTGCGATAGTACCTAGCACTGCTCCAAACCAAATGGACCACGTGAACGAGCGGAGCCACCAGCTCGTGGGCATTGCTGAACTGCACCGAATTGAAGGCAGCAGTCTGACGAAGCAGCGGCTGCAGCCAGAGGGATACGTCCTGCGCCTCCAGCCAGGAGGCAACCAGCTGACGAAAAGCCTTGGCATATGGCTGATGGTAGGCCGACTCAATTCTCTCCAGGATCTGGGCAAGAGTCTTGTGCGTGGACTCCCGCAGCTGCTCATAGATGTTCTGCAGATTCAACTTCCGGTTTGTCCAGAAACCTATCTCCTGGGCGGGCAAGGAGACATAGGTGATATGCTTTACAGAATGACCGATCTGGGAGGGAGGTGACAGCGATCCGAGCGCTTGACACTCGGACCGTTCCACGACAATGTCGTGCATTTGGGTGGTCCAGTTAATGAACATCTCCTCCAGCAAGTTGCGGAATTTGGGATCTTGAGCGGGTCTCAGGTTACTTTGATGGGAGAAAATAAATTAATTGAAACAAAAGGGAATGAAATGACAAATTAAAGAGTCGTTTAAATTAAAATGTTCTATTTTTCAAGGCTTGGGTAACAGCCAAACTAGTAAAACTAATTTTCTAAAAATGTTAGCTTGACTTTCATCTTTATGCATTTCAGTCGCTCTTAAAATGGTTGAAAATATATTTTCAATAAAAAATTGATAAACGTTTCAATGAATTCTATTTTATTTTGATTTTTGCCTTTGCTTGGCTTTTAATTTTGCTTTTATTGATTATGCTGGCATTGTGAGTTAGTGAAGCAAATATCTTTTAATACGCCTTAAAGACTCCTGATGTGTGTATCGACGGCAATTTTGACCGAATTTCAGTCAATTTTCTTTAGAATGCTGATGTCCGGCCCTAGATAGCATTTCTTTAATATTTGCAATTTAATTAAAAGCATTTGTTTTATGGGAAAATAATCGAAGTGGTTTGTGTTCGTGTGTGCAAGGCCAAGGGGTAAACAACTTGAATTTTCCCCAATTGCCTGGCTAAATAAATTTGCACCAATTCATGCGAAAAGTTATGCCAATGAAAATCAATTTGGTATCATGAATAAGCCTTTCTCTGTCTCTCGGCCCACATAAACAATGCCAAAGATAGCTTCTCGGGGCGACATCTCCCAGCCCGCCGGCGGAAGAGGAGGGAGCTGGGCGGTACACTAAGACAATGGCCATTCAATGGCTAGAACTTACCCTTGGCTCACGTGGGCAAACACTTCCTCGACGATTGTTGGCGAAACTAATAACGATAAAATTGTGCGATTGTTGGTTTTGCCCTTAATCTGCGGGGATAACAATAAAGTATATATATATATTTCCGCAGACCGAAATCTATATGTATCGCCCGTAGACACATGAAAAGTTTTGCCAATTAAGCGAAATACTTCCAAGACAATGGCCGGAGTCGCCTCGATTGGGATCGGTTTGGGAATCGCCGTCCCCCCGGCTCACTCGAAGCCTTCGCCCCACTGCACTCAATTAGATTAATTTGATGAGATAACACAGCTGGCAGCTGCACTCTTAAAAAAAAATGTAGCCCTTCTTCAATATGGGCAATTTTTTAATATAACTTAGAAGATATAAATCCGGTTTTTACTTTGGGTTCATATCAAGACCAGTATATTAGGTAATTAATTTTGAAAAACACTTACTTTTAATGTCTCTTTTATTCAGGGCTCATTTTCTCGGAGTGTGTCTCAACCCAGACTCACCTCGGTCAGAATGTTTCTTACTTCCTTGATGCGCGCCTGCAGGTCCTTCCGAACAATAGCCGGCCACTGACTCTGAACCTGCTCCAGGAGTGGCTGCAGCACCTCATCGAACAGCAGCGACATGGTTTCGATTTTACTGTGCACGGGAAAGTCCCCGTAGAGGACACTCTCCGGGAAATTGGAAGCAGTTAAAGATCCACCGGAACTGTGCCGGCGCACAAAATAGGCACATTTGCCGCGCGGCACTCCGTCCAGAGTCGTGAAGCTGGATGAGGCGGGCGGCATTGTTACAAGCAGGGCACCGGGAGTGACCGCCACAACAGCGGACACGGCGGCTGTGGCTGTGGCCATCGCTTCATCCTCGAGGGGCGGCAGGCCAATAGAAGGGACCGATTCGCGTGGTGCCAGTACCGAGAATGGCAAGTACAAGTCGCTGAGGCAGCTTCTGGGCACTAGATCTCCTCCCGGACTGAGAGTCATTACTAGGACGCGAGTATGGCCATGAAGCCATTCCAAGACAATTCGCTGAGCACAAAGAAAATTTTGCCATTAAAAAGTAATCCACTGAGATTAATTCACCGAGGTTTCCAATTATTGGCTATGACTTAAAGTTGCCTTCCTAAAATTTTCTATATTTTCTAAATTAACTTCCACACTTTTTGACGTACTTTTTTTAAACATTTAATTAAATCACTTTAAACTAGGACTGAGAGTTTCCCAATTATTTCCAAATCGCGTTGACAACTCACCCGCAGCTCATCGCTGGCCATCATTTTGGTCCATTTATCCGGTTTGAGTCGCATCGTGGTCGTCGTATAGCTGGCAACCCGTTCCAGCCGGGAGTCGCTGTAGTCGCGCTGGATCCGCTGGCGACCACTGCCGCCACCGGAGGGCAGACCCTCCTCATCGCTGCTGACCAGCCCGGCCGCATCGGACATGCTTTTGATGGTTGGATTCAGCGCTTGCCGAGGGAAATCAGGTGCAGCCGCTGCGATGCGGCGAGTCAAACAACGCAGCGCGGCAACTGGCGTTAAAATGATGATGGGCCTCGCTTCGTATGACCTCTAATGCCGGGCGGCCAGTGGGTGGCGGCCGCAGCGCCAAACCACGCCCACATATCGATCAAACTTCAAATTCGAATTAACAGAAACACTTTAAAGTGTGTGCCCGCGCCGCGGTTTCAAATGCATAGCGAAATGCCAACTGGAAAAGGGAAAAGTTTAGCCCGTCCGAGGAGGGTACAACTTTAATTGCACACGAAGTGAGCGAAATGTAATTTCCGCTTTTCCGCAACTTTTGAGCCGAGCTGAGCTAAGCTGGGCGCTCATAAGTCAACATCAGGCTGGTGGACAGGTGGGCTGGGGGTGGGTTTTGGTAGGTCTTTGGTGTATGCAAATCATGTTCTGTTGATTTGCAGCGTCCAACACGGCGTATGCTTAATGGGCGCAGCTGATCGAATGGAAAGGCTCTTCATCCGCTGGCAGTTTAAGTGCCAACCCGATATGAAGTCATCAACAACAGCTAAAGTGGATAGGTTAAGGATGTCACACTGTGAAGAAATCGTAAGACCTTGAACGTAACTAGTTATACTTACAATCACAAATTTCTTTGTAGTAATTATTACCGACTTGCAGCCTGTACCTGGCCATTAATCTTGGAGAAGTAATTAAATCGAGGCTATAGCTTTTAATTATTAATCCATTTTCGTTCGGTGCAATGAGAGTGAAATTTATGATATCACATCCTGAGTTTCCCTGCTCCACACCCTTGTCCGGGCGCCCAAATCGCAGTCTTCCGCCTCGCTTCCCTCGAAAGTCGAGCTCAGTGGGTGAGTGACATGTGTCAACTAACAGCAGCAAGTAGTTGCAGTTGCAGTTGCACCCGCAGCAACTAGCAGCAACAAAGGCAACAGCAACAGCAGCAGCAGCATAGTTAAAATGCTCTGCAATTACCGCAAGTACACATGCAACATTCTGCCGGATTGTACTCGACCCACATGATGCCCCGGCTTCTTTGAAGAAGTGTGCGTACTTGTGCTTGGGGAGACCTCAAAGAGTTTACCCATGATTTCTGAACTTGAGAGCTCGCTTTTAGCTCGTTCTAGAGACATAAGTAGCTTATGTTGCATTGACAACTACAATGTTTAAGCTCACTTCTTTCAATTTTAAAGCTGCCCAATCCGGTCCCTTTGTCCTGCTGCTAATATACTCTACGAAAAGGATACCCCCATAGGAGCAGCAGTCCTGCTGACTAGTGATTATGATGATGACGATGACGGAACGGAGGATGGGAGCTGGACTACTGTGTAACTTTGATGTGAACTCCACTTTTAAATATCAGCGTCACATCAAAAACAAGTGCTTGGCAACCCGCTGCTCTTCGCTCCAGTTGCGGCTCCGCGCTGGGTTCGCAGAGCTCCGTTTCTGGCTGGGATTGGGCGCTGACGCACCCCCGGGACAAATGCATTGCCCTCATTTCCAGATTCAGACCGCAACTCGAAATGGGGGATTTGGACTTGGATTCGCATCGGGGGCGACGGTTCTGGTCTGTTGTTAATGAATTTGCCCAAGCTGTTTGCGCGCGGCTTAAAATCCACTCTGGCTCCGAGCTGGCAGCTAGGAGACGAAGCCACACTGGGAATCATATAATATATGTTACATTAATTAGTTTGTTTTTAAACAGTTGACTTGAACAGTTTAGAAATCGCATTTTAAAATGATTTTTAGCAAATTTGTAGTATCCAAAATGAGTAATATTTTCTTGAAATTTTGTATATTACATTAGGTGAAAAAAAAAACTTATTCAACATAATACATTGTTAAAAAACTAAGCTTCTTACATGTAAAAATAAAGATATTTTCACTTCAAAACCTCATTACAAATCTCTTTAAATTGAAACATAGATTAAACTTTTTTCTTTTTCTGCACAAATCCTACTCCACATCTGCTTCTCTTGATCCATAAATTTGTTAATATAAAAGTATATATTTGAATAAACAGTTCAGCTATAAAAGAGATTATTTTACATAGTTTACTTAGCAGACAGAAGGGACCTAGGACGGAAGCAGGAGCTTAAGTTCACCTCCTGTCCATGCTCTGGACCGGCTTTAATGTCCTGGCCCAAGTGGGTCCTTGCTGTCTGCAGAGCAAAGATGTGCATAAATAGTGCGACAGTCCAAGTCAAACATTGGGAACAAACGAGGGAAATATGCGATGGAGAAGAAAGCCGCAAGAAAAATAAACTTCGAATTGATTTTAAAAGGAATGGCCCAGGCACACTTCAAATTAAGTAAATCGTACAAAAGCCGAGCTGTGGCAGGACGCAGGACGATGGACGGCGGCCGGCAGTGAGCCATGGAAAATGAAACTGTAAAATGCTTTTACTACATTCTCCCTGCGAGTGGCAGTCATTGGGCTCTCGTACTTTTTGAATTTATGCCAAGCCTCGATCCGAACAAGTTGGCTTGTACTTTACGAGCGAGCGCGAACCCTTTCTCCCGACTTTCGACCGACTTTTTCCGGACTATAGCTATAGCTGTAGCTGTGGCTGCTGATGAGTTTCATTATGTGCGAACAAATCATCACATGCCACTGGGAAGGAGAAAGGACGAACAAAAAAATGAAAACCCGAGCGAGCGAGAGGCCGGCAGACTGCACGGCGTCGTCCTCGTTTAAAAGCAATTTCGTGCATTTGTTAAGGGCGCGCTGTGCGAGTGTGAGATAAGTCAACACTATTTCATTACGGACAAAGGCCATTTCCATTTGGGCAAATTTATGGGAGCACGGGAATGCAGCGATGGCTTAAAAGGAATGCGTTGGCCACTCAATGAAAGCCAGCCAGCCAGCAGCGCCGAATCGATCAGCGCACAAAAAGATAAATAGAAAATAGAGCGTTTGACAGTGCAAACAATGTGACAGTGACCATGTATGTAGTTCTAAGCCGCAGGAAAAAGCCCAAGCTTGAAACAAACAAATCGGTAGGCGAAAATATGCGATGTGTTCGGACTGTGTGATACCTGGTTTAAGGGGAAAAAAGCTTAAGGTAGGTTTTTATTTTAAAAGAAAAGATAATAATGTGATAATAAATAGTAAATATTTAATGAAATTTTTTTCAAATTTAATTAAAAAGATTAAATCTACATTTACCACGTTTTCAGACTACAAAAAAATGAACAAAGAAATAAGGTATTAAAATTAATTGTCAAGTTTTTTAATAGATCTATCTTAACTTGTTATCATCGCTTGTCTAGCATACCCCAGTATTGAAGCTAAAAAAAAAGAAACTCCAGTGGGCCAAAAAAGCAAAGGCAAACTAAGCCCACCCTGCAACTCCTGTCCGGCTGTTAGCGGCATTGTGTGCAGTCTAACGACAACATTCAATAAACAATTCACAATTGATTGACAAACGGACGGACGGCCCTATTTTTCGGCTAGGAGTTCCTAGTATCCAGTTATCCTGCCATCCAGCTATCCTGCTGACGACTGCCGATTGACGACTGAGCGGCCAGGAATGGGAATAGTGACCGGCGGACTGAGCGAATGCGGCCATGAATGAGCAACCACGACAAGTCAGCGGAAGGATGTTAGTTCGAGTGGATGAGGAAATTGAAAGCGAATGCTGACAACAACAAAGTTGGGACAAACAAAAGGAGAAAACGTAAAAACAAAAAGCGAAAATAGAACAGAATAGGCGACAGAATCCTCCACCGAATGTTGGGTACGAAAAAAAAAAGAAACAGGCAAATATAACGAGAGTCGTCCGGCAGCTGGGACAAAAACAATGAAAGCAAATTTCTGTGCGGACATCCGGCGGCGATTAGACGGTGGACACTGAGCAATGAACAGTGAACAAGGAGCTCCGAACACCAGTGGTCAGTGGTCATCGCTGTGGTTGGCCGGCGGGAGTGTCGAAATTTATACGACAGAAGGGATATTTGTAAATGTTTTCCAGTCCCGCAAATCCTTCAAGTGATTTTCTTACAAATGAAGATTCATTTTCAATTTACAGAAGGCTTTTATCCTGTTAAAGTCTCAAAAAACCTCATTAAAGAGAAACAAATCTGTAAAAAAGATCTCAGAAATATTCGAATCCGATCCTCGGCACTCCTGCGATCCTGCGGCCAGGTGGGGCTTAATTAAAATCCCTGCCCGGCTAATTGCGCGCGTGACTCTTGCAGCTCATTAGCTCGACTCACGTAGCGCCGTCCTGGGCATAGTTTGGGCGATTGCGATGGCCAAAAGTTTGCAGCGCAACAACGACAACTGAGGTGGAGACGAGGGCGGCGCAGATAAGGATTGGGTTGGAGGTCAGCGCATCGTTATGTAAGGCCGAAGTTTTGCAAATCCTTTTGGCAATTAGATACTTGTAGCCGGGGACAGGAAGAGCGAAAGGCGAATGCCGAAAGGACGCCCACAAATATTGCACAAGTATCAAGTATCGTCGCTGGCCGCCGTGGCATTTCGCAGTGCAAATATCCCATTACTCGGATGAAACTTTTAATTAAAAAGTTGCCAATGACAAACGGGACGGGGTTGCGGGTCGCTCAGCTCCGCTCCGCTTTGCTCAGCTCTGAGAAATGCGCCTTAGTCTCACCAGAAATATTTGGCTCGGCCACTGGGATGTGGTGGCGAACGCTTCTTCTACACAGGAACTCGGGGGATGGGCTGACTCAGTCTGGCACGCACGTAATTGAGACAAACTTTGAGTCAGTAAAACATTCGAATAGCGCCTCGGGTGGCACTGGCTGCCAATGAGAAAATTACGACATTTAAACCCGTAGGTTAAGTGTACGTGAAATATTAAGTTTAGTTGCTTGAGAGCGCACTAAATCTTATTGTAGGTCATTTGTCGGCTGTCCTATTTCGTGGCTGCCAGCGTGGGCGGATGCCTAATTATGGCGCTGGCGGAGTGTGGGCTCTGTGAAGGGTTAGGGGGTTCCTTTCGGTGCCTGCACCACAGGAAGAGGGACATAAATCTGCAGCAGCAGACGTGCCTTAGTTTGCAGGAAATCATGATCTGGGTAATCTGTGAAAAGTTTAGGCATGATTATAGAGGGAACTACTTGATTCTCAAAGGTTAATTTTCAAGGATTTAAACGGTCGATTGATACCTTGATCTCCTTCTTTCTATTTTCTTTGAAACGTTGTTGGGGGGAGCACCCATAATGATAAGTTCTCGAGACCCTATTGAGGTGGATCGCCAATTATGAAGTAGCATTTCGCCTGGAAAATCCTCCCAGGTGGCGAGACCTCTTCATTGAAATTATGGGTCGTGACTGCGAGTATGAAGTGCGTACGTCCTGGTCCAGAAACGAAAGCAGGACGGTCCGAAATGATGGCGATTCTAGCTCCGGATTGCCCCGGAACGACTCTATCAGATACTACCGGGATGGAATTGCAAACGCATCGCTTGAAAAGCCAGTCGAGTGTGCACGTTGTGGAAATTGAACATCGACGGCCGGATTTTTGCAGTCACAGCTCGCTGGGAGGGAATATGGGCTTGGGTGCGGCCATGGAAGCTGCGACTGTGGCTAATTATACTGCCAACGGCCAGGGGTCCGGGTGCGCAGTGCTGTGTGGCAGCGGTAAATGTTGCGATTCTGCCAAATAATCAGAAAAGGCTTTCAACATTTTACGTAAAGCGAAACTGCACGGGGATGTGCACGAGGGGGAAGGATCCTGTGGCAAAAGTGCCTAGCTAGGCACGCCCATCGGTAAGCGCCTCCATCGTCCGTCGGAGCGCGGGTGCCGAAACTGGGAGCTGGAGCGGAAGTGGTGTGGCTCCCACCCACTCCACCTTGTCCGCCGTGTTGTTGCTTTGTTACGATATCTAATTACAAAGGAATCGTGCGGCAACGTCACACAGTTGCCGGTCCACCGATCCCGCCACTATCCCTCAGCCCTCATGCCCCAACCATTACGCCCTCCTAACCTTTCTATCTCCCGAAATGTTCCAGCAAAATATTATTTCTGTTCAAATGCACAGCGGCAGCAGCCGGGACGGGTAGCTGCGGGCATCCGATTGATATATGCAGATGCGTACTCGCAGTCCCTGTATCTCGGTCCGCCCGTAGAACTACCCGCAGTTAGTTACTCACACTCAGGCACACACTGAGCCACACACACACACAGACAGTGGCGGCACATAGGAGACCCGGAGCTCCCACACATGTGCGCTAAATACACTTGTGTCTAATAAGTTTTATCCGAACGGTCAACGAGGCGTGCACCCACACAAACACAAGGACACACGCCCCATTTTGGGAGCACAATGGTTGATATACACTGAAAATAAAATTCAATTGCATGAAACCCTTTGAATAAAGGGGAAATTGTCAGGAATTGAGTTATAAGGCTTTTAGTAAGAGCGTGGTAACTTGCTTTATTTTCCTATAAAAAGCATACATTTAACAGAAATATTTATATTTATATTTAGAGAAATTATTAGCTTAATTTCTCCAGTGCACAAATGGTTCGGTGGGCGGTTAGTTGGCCAATATAGAGGGGGGCCTGGGTGGCCTATAAACAAATGAAGGGTCGTGCTTCGGGGTACCCAGCTGCGTATGCGGCATATTTGAGCGGGTATGGCGAAAAATTGTCAAACTGCCGGCCGCGGCCCCAAAGTCAGTTAGGTTGGCAATCTGCTTAGCCGCCTTCCGCACCAACTGCCCACTATCCAGATCCCTGCTCCTGCTCCTGTCCCTGGCCCATCCATCGTCGCAATCCACTTGCATTTAAATTGTGAAAATATTTGGACGCTGTCGACCGGTCGTTAAATGAAAATTGAAGTTAGCAGCAGGGCCATTCGACCATTTTCCCTTGCTCACAACCCTGCACGCGGGAAATCTTTAAACAAACGAGGTCAACGGGGCTTTTTCGACAGGGAGGGGCGAGTTAAGGGACGCTAATTGCGTGCTTGTCAACACTCGAAATAAAAATAATATTTGCAACAATTAAAAGAGCGCCAGCGCCAACAAAAGAGTCAACATTTTTGAGCAATTCAAAGGCAGGTCCCCACAAAAACACAACAAAAAAAAAAAAAAGAAAAAGGGACTCCAAACAAAGGGCTCCCCAGCGGTTAGAAGCATTCCCCACTGAAGACCTCTGCCACCTGGTGCATAATTTTTCAAATTTCAAATTGTAAATTATAAAAGGGACAACTCGTTTACCACCGGCAACAGGGACTAAGGAACAGGAATCAGGGAGCAGCCTCAAATTATGCGAACTGTAAATGCGCCGAAATCAAAGGAAATGTGCGTCGGGAAACTGCCGTGGCGTCAAGTGAACCGCAGGCCTTGAAATGGTGTGAATTCGTTTAAATGCCTCACTCTGGTGTTGACCTCTTGGAATACTTCTTTAAATTCAAAATGTTTTTGGGGTTTTCAACGAAAAGAAGCGCTTTCAAATTCTTAGCTTTTTTTAAATTTTTTCAATTAAATTATTTGGGTTAATGTGGCTCAAAATAGTAGACAAATAGTTCAAAATAAATAATATAGTACATGTCTCATTCAAGTACACTTAAGAATAGAATCCCAATCCTAATATTATATTAAACATAAAAAAATAAGATAAAATAAGATTAAAGGTGGTAAAATAAAATAATCATAAATTTTATTATTTGATTTAAATTTGCAAAAACTCATTGATCATTTTCATAAACAATTTTGATGTATCGAGAAAGCGGAATGCTGTTATCCTTCCGGAGTTCACCTCTACTTGACGAGAGTAGGCTTCCGCTTGGGCAGGTTCTGCTTGAGAAGCCGCCAGTTGATGCTGGTGGGAGGAGCAGCGGAGCGTTGCTTGACCAGCTTATTGTGGCTGTATCCCTTGGAGAGCTTGGAGCGGCTGGCGGCCAGGCCGCGGTACTGGCTGACGCTGCGCACCATCTTGTTGAGCCCCACCTTCGAAGCGGCCTTGTTACGGAACTTGCTCTTGAGGACCATTTTGCCATGACCGACCTTTCTCTTAGGGCCCACGGACTTCGACTTGGATAGGTTCTTGCGCAGACTCTTGGACGCAGACTTGGCCAGCTTCAGCGGAGACTTTTGGGCCTTCAGGGGCTTGGTCAACTTCGAGGTCTTCGTCGTATTGCTTGACTTGAGGGTTGACTTGGTTAACTTGTTTGACCTGGTTGACCCGGTTGACTTCGCTGACTTGGATGACCTGAGCGACCTGAGAGATTTGAGCGACTTTTGGCCCTTGAATCCCTTAAGCTTGTCCAGGGTCTTAGACTTGACCCTGAGCGAAGCGGCCTTGGTCTTGAGGCTCTTTAGAGACTTTTGGGCGGATATGATGGCACCACCCTTGGCACGTATATCAACCTTCTCTGGAGGCGCGGTTACTGAATACTTGGGCAGCGTGGCCGGCTTGGCTGCCAGGGCGCGATCGGCCTGGACGACGGCATCAAAGTTGCCGAACACCTGGCGAATGTTGCGGTTCACATACTCCAGATACTTGAGCGACGAGTTGCACAGGGAGCACTTCTTATCACCCTTGTCGCCGTTGTTGCGGATGAGGCTCTCCAGGTATAGGAAGTTCTTGGCCATGTTCTCACAGTAACGACACTTGGCATCGGAGCCGCCTTTGGGAGATTTTTCCATGGCGTTGGGCGTGGGATCGTAGGGCCCGGTCTTCCGTATGAGATTCAGCGACGAGTTGTTGGGCACGATGTAATCTCCGGGGGCTGGTCTCTTTTTTTGGACGCCTATCATTTTATGTAATACCGAAATTTGGTTTACCTTTTCAGGCTGTGAACGATTCTGTTGGGTTGATAAAATTTAAATGGCAACGAAGTCCGTTTGAGGGATCAGAATAGAATGAATAGAGTTGCATCGCCTACCTGAGACATTGTTTTTGATCCTCGGTTTACGTTCGTGGCTGGTCAGCTGCTCGGGTAAGTGCCTACTGATGGTTTTGGGTCAAACAAACTGACATTGAAAGCAGGGCCTTGTGAGTTCTGATACGGATACGGCTTCGGGGAGTGCCTCAATTAATCTCAATTTTCTGCTCATCAAAGACCGGCCAATTTGTCGGCAAATCGTCAACCTTGCCCTGCTCAATTATCGATCAAATAAATTGCTGCGAATATTTAAAGACTTGTTCCGAATTAATTTAAATGTTGCCATGCAATACCCTTGAACACAATTGAGGTAGAAATAATAGGACAAGGGGTTAAGTTGTAAAAAATGTATCTGTGGTTTGTTGAAACCAGTTTTTAATTGGTATGCTTTTCTCTTATAATTTAGCAATGAAATGAAAGCTTTTTTTACCTTTTTATTTCTAAAAAATAGCGTTGAAGGAAATATTAATATTAGAAAAATGTTATGTGCCGAAAATACTGTATAATTTTATTAATAAATATAAATTTAAGAGGTAATAATTTGTTTCTACCTATCATCTTTACCCCTGCTGTGCGAATCAAGCTTGACCGCTGGCCAGGAAGTGGGGTCCGTCCTCGATCCCGACTCGTTTAATTTCTATTTCCTTGGGCACAATTAGCGATAATCAGCTGGCAACGGCAGCCAGCATTTTGTCGTTGGTCCTTCGCCTTTCTATTCGCATTCGCATTTTGATTCCCATTACCACTCCCCTTCCATTCCGAATTGTGTATTTGGGTCAGCTCGTTGCGATGTGCACAATAATTTATTTCATTCCGAGATTTAATCGCGAAATTTTAGTTTGTCGTGTCGTTTGTTTTGTCCGGCTAACACATTTTTAAATGCCCTCGCGGACACAGCTGACCTTGGGCCCTGATTTCTGGGCGTTATGTAAGTTAATGGCGCCCGAAATGGGTAATTACACCATGTCTGGGAGGTTGAATACATTTTATTCCGAATCGATTCGGTAAACTATTAAGTCCAGAAAGGGTAAGGGCTTAGCCTTTCATCCTTTCACATCCAATTAGATGGTTGTATGGAGCCAGAACCTTGCATTCTTGCCGCGAAGAAAGTTATTCGTATTTACAATTCGATGCGCGTGGCATGTCTCAATTTAAGCATTTTTTCCGGCGAGGAGTACGAGGAGTACGAACATCTCCGACATCCTTCAGTTGTCGTCCATCAAATTGTTGTGTTGCACACATCCCATCAATAAGACGATGACGCTGCAGACAACGCCCAGAGCCACCCACTTTGGCAGACAATTCCCTGCGACACATAACTTCCAATTGAAAATATCTTGGAAAAGTCAAACACAAGTGCAAATGCCAATAAAACAGAATAGCCCGAGGGACGAGGATGGTATGGGGATGGCGCATGAAAGTCTCACAAGCTAAGAACATTAAACAGAGAGAAAAAGTTAAAGAATCTGGAAATGAATCAAATATAAACGGGTAATTATTTTTTAAAGTTCAATTTTGAATTCAATACTTAAAAATTTTTATAAAAAAAACGTACAAATTGTAGTTATTTAAAATCAAGATCTACACCTTATTATCAACTCAATAATATATTTTTTTCTAATTCCTAAAATCTTATTTTGGGTGCAGTGCATGTACCCATTGGTTGTGCGGCTATAAAGTTGATTGTTCATAAATGTACGGGGCGTATACGTAATGTCGGGCACTGCACTAAAACAATGCAGCACTCAGTGCATAGGGGATAGGGAATCTGGCAAAGAGGGCGGGTTGGGGTACACTGGCGGGGCAGTCATAAAGTGGCAGGGTAATGAATTTATTAAAAGTTCATTTTGCTTAGCAGCAGCAACAAAGACGGCGGCTAGCAAAACGTTTGTCTTGGGCCCCGACTTGGCATGTTGGCCAAGTTTACGTAAATAGACTTCTATTATTTGCGCTCTGCATGCGACTCAAAATGTGAGTGTTAATGTTAATGGATTTGTGCCAAGTTCTCGCTTGGCTCACTGATTTATTCGTGGTCGAAAGCGGGACACCGTTTTCTTTTTGTTGGCTTGTCGCCTTTGTTTGTTGCGTTTGACTTTGTGGTGGCACACTTCGGACCTGTCCTGCCTAGTTGTTTTTTTTCCTTGTGTGTTTGCCTGTTTTCCACGTAACTTTTGACCCACAAAGGTTGCCGCTGCTGCTCCTTGGCATGTCCTCTCCCGGTCTAACGACTTCCTGAGACGTCGACTGCACACACATACGAACCTGAGTACTTAGTCCAATTTGCATGCCGCCGTCGACGTCGGCGTTAAAGCCAAGTTAAGGTGGGCCCCGCCTTGTTTATTTTGCTTGACTCTGGTGCTGCCTTACGTGTTTATCGCCTGCAAATGGCGATTCTTGCGGAAAGTGAAACCGGTCTCGCCTTTGGCTTTTCTAGGATTTTCCCTGCCTTTTCTGAGTTTTCTTTTTTGGTCGTTGGCGAGTGGGAGTCCGAGACCAAGTCCGAGTACGAGGACGAGTGCGAGTTCCAGGCTGAGCTCGGCATTTCAATATCAACGGAGGCATGCATAATTCCTTTGGCCGCGCCTATGTAAATTTGCTCGGAAGTGTTCAGCTGCGAAAAAGTGTGGCTCTGCTGGCAGCGGCAGTGCTTTTGGCCCACATTTCCCGGCGGCGGAAAGCGGGTCAACTTCATTTTTCGTGCTGACCCACAACCACAACAGCAACAACAGGCGGTTGTTCGCTGGCGTTGTTGCAGCAACGCTAGCAACAGCAGCAGCAACAGCGACGGCGACAACAGCAACGCGTCCATAATTCCTTTTGCAACACTGCGGCGGGGACTTCCCCCACTTTGCACTGCTTTCGATTCGCGTTTTTGGGCTTAACTGCCTTTGCCTGGCTTTTTATTGTTATTATTTGCCGCTAGAGCCGCTGAAGTCGCTGCCGACGTCGCCAGCTACTTGGCATAAAGTCCAAAGTGCAAATGTTTTGCGGTCAGTTTGGATTCGAAGTTGGCCAGCTACGCGACGCGCACCTGCTTTTGCAACGAACCACCTTCAGGGGAAATCAAAAAGAAAAAATCTCAGCCGTGTGTACCGTGGTTTTTCCGAATTTCTACCCAGTTTTGCGGTCACCTTGCGCCCATTTGCTTGTTTCGCGTGTTTGCAGCTCCCCGGAATAAAAAAAAAGAGGAATCGCTCAGCAAAGGCAGCGGATGCGTTTATCCTACAGGACAATGGCTGAAAGAAAAAGCAATTACCAGTGAACAAAGCCGAGGAGGGTTCGAGCCGCAGCCCGAAACGAGATTTTTAAAGACACTCAACCGTTTGTCGGGGTAAGCCAACTTTGGTTTAAGCAGGTCTCAGCGTAATCACCAAAAACCATCTGATAATTACGGAAACAAACTTTAAACGATTCAAAAGAAATGTTTTCCTTTTTGTTAATGTGTGTTGATTTTTTTGTAAAATAAAAAAGCTTGTTAGGTTTTCAAGAAAAATAAAAGAGTTTAATATTTCAAAAGCCCCTTAATAGATATTAAATAAATTAATATTGACTAATAATAATATTTAATATTTGACTATTTTAATTAACTCCGAGTTTATCTTTAGCTCATTAAATTCATAGGGCTTAGTATTGTATTTTAAATTTTTAAGTAAGAATAAGAGAAAATATAATAAATTCAACTAAAAATCCATTTAAGATGGTTGAATAATTTAAACCTAAAAACAAATATCCTTTTCAATATTTCAAATAAATTCTATTTAGACCAGTATTTGTTTCACTTCTTTTGTAGATTATTAATTTAGATTTCCTAGATCTTAATTATTAACGTATAGTTCAAATAGTTTAAGTTATATAGTACATATATATTATTTTACTTTATGATTTGCAGAATTGAGGTGCAAACAAGTGTAATACATACATTTATAAGTAAATACCCAACTCAATGAAATATTTACATAAAAACTACGTTCTGCTTATTCGCCTGAAATTGGTTATTCAACTCGATCTCTTTTACCATAAGTTTAAAAGCGATAAAAAACGATTAAGCTCTGATATGTTTTTCTCCTCCTAAAGTATGCCTACCTATTAAGCCCGCGGCTGGTAACAAAAAATTTTCGAAAGGAGCTTTATGAATTTATGATAATAAACTCTATATTTGTAAATTTATTTTGTATATACACAAGCAAATATTTATTGTGTCCGCTGCAATTTTTCATAAAAGTTTCTGTTTTTGCAAAGTGGGCGTCAGACGCTGTACAAGAAAAAAAGCAAATAAAATGAGACCCGAAACAGTTGAAATTGTTGCCCCAACTAAACGGGGAAAATGAGGAAAATTAAAGCGCTGCCAAGATGCGTGGTAGTATCACCTGGTAAGCACACTAATGGGGGTGTGTGAGGGGCATGAAATCTAAAATAATTTTATTTGCCACGCATTACTGCAGGCAGGATCCCGGTTCTCCTGTCCTTTTCAGGATTCAGCTGAATAAAAGTTTTTACGCATAGCCAGCCACACAGGCAGAGCTCGCAACGCATTTTAGCTAAAAGCATTTCAATGCTGTTAACTATTTTTGATGGCGTTACGCACTATAAAGCGGAGAGCAGAATCCAAAGCGACCAGTGTTGCCAGAATAAGGTACAGGATAGGGAGAATATAATAATAATAATGAGACTTTTTGGTTGCATTTAGTTAAAATTCAACTTAAACTAGGTTTAATTTCATTCTTAGCGTAAAAGGATTTGTATTCAAAGGGACTTCATGCTATTAAGTAAAAATATTTTCTTTGGATTTCATTTACAAAATGTGGAGTTTATTGAATTCCAAACAACACCTTTATATATTCCCCTTTAAAACTTAATAAAATTCCGACCAGGTCAAAGGGAAATTGTGTCACAGCATTACTGCCTGCCGCCTGCGTATAATTTCGAGAGCCAGGATCTCTGCGGGAAGAACTGAAGGCTGAACTGAAAATCTCAACGGAACTCAAACACTTAATTTGCTTGCGAGCTACTCACTTTATTCCGCGGTGCATACGAAGCGACGTGCACCCGGCGATAATGAGACAAAGCCGCTTAGCGATGCACGGACGCCCTTGATGT